ATAGATGTCGCAAACCGGAAAAATAACAAACCAAAATGTTATTGGCTCAAATTGTCAGTGAACACGTGCTGAAAGAATGATTACGATAGAAACTGGGCTATTGTGCCAGTTAATGAACAAGCATGCAGTACAGAGGCATAGATCGAATCCTTGAGCGAAATAAACAGACATAATTGGCTTATGGAGGTAAATGTTTGAGGGAATGGCTAATTTTAATACATGCACTGTGTATACGTGTATAAATAGTAAAAGTAGCTCTAATTTTTGTTTACCGTATTTTTTGCACATCAGCAAAACACGAAGTAAAAAGTTATCCATCACGGATTTCATTTCTCTTTGCACGTGATTGACATTCTTTCAACAGAGTAGGATTCATTGTACATGAGAAGTGCTTTCTGCATGTTTATTATGATGTCAGAGATAATTAATGCGCCTGTGCGCTCTAATTGTCCATTAGTTTTTATATAGACGAATCTAGAGACTTTATACGTAATGCAACTCAGGTAAACAGTATTTGCCTCTGCACGTACCAGGTAAATTGTTCTGTTTAGTGATTTTATGACCAAATATTGGACAGTGGTATTCAATAATCCATGCTGCTGTCTGCCAGTAAATAATTTTTTTTTATTTTAAGCTTCCTTTAATTAAAGGTAGATTTAAATATCTCTGAAGGTTATCAATAATTTGTGAAAAAATTAGATCATAGACTACTTAAATTAGGCTATTTGACCACTGTTTATTTGTAAATATATTTACAATATTAAATGTTGACATTTAACACATTATCACAGATTTAAAGGATTATGTCAGCGTTAGCTCTTCATATCATGGTCTTATTGACAGTGAAATGTCGACAAGTAGGTCACAACTCTAGGGGTCATGATAAGCGAATTGTTTAAATGTCTTTGGTTTTTGCAATATTATGTACTTGTAAATAGATTGGATATAATTTGTGTGTGTGCATGCATTTTTTGTTTGTTTGTGCTTTTTAATTTAATTATTCTAAGGAGATAACTATTTATTACAAGTTCGATATGTTAGATGTAATATTGAGAGAATGTATTTGTTAATAATACAAATGTATTCTAGTGTAAAAGCAACCCATTTACTGTTTTCACAAAAAATGCTTTGCAAGATTTAATTTATTGCTTGAAATATTTACAGACAAGTAAGTTGCCATGGAAACCTTCGGAGGGACATGGCGAGACAATTGCCAACAGCATGGTGACCGGATGGATTTGGGTGAGGAACTTCTAGAGGCAATTTGGTGCAACAAACCTGATGAAGTTTCAAAACTAATTGATGATGGTGCTGATGTTAATCAAATGGGATTGGTTTTCCAGGATGAACCTATTACTCCTTTAAGCCTAGCATGTAAGATGGGACATGTGGACATAGTGAAAATTCTAGTCCAGAGGAAGGCTGATTTGAACCAGTCAGGCCATGATGGGAAGACTGCTATGCATTATGCCTGTGAGGGAGATGAACGAAGGGATGAAAAGAAAGAGAATTTACTGGAAATACTGGGCTTTCTTATAAAGAATGGTGCTAATATGGAGGCAATGAACAATATGCGCTGTACTCCACTTTTTTCTGCATGTGAAATGGATGACGTGGATATGGTTAAACTGTTGGTGCAGTCTGGTTGCAAAGTGAATGTGCAATCAGTGAATGGGGATTCCCCCATGAAATTGGCATGTAGGAATGCTAAGTTTTGGACTTACTGGCACAGTAGGGAAATGTATGCAAACAGTTCACAGTGCAACCCACATAATTTACCACCAGTTCAGATAACAAAGATATTGCTGCATTCCAATGCTAACATTTCAGAGGCCACCCTTCTTCCAACTGCTGTGCAGTTTGGTGACCTAAAACTTGTTAAAGAATTAATTGAGTTAGGTATGGATATCAATATGCTGGATGACAATATGTGCACACCTCTGGGTTCAGCGTGTTCATGTGTGAATGTGAAAGCAGAAGTGGTGAAACTGCTTCTGGATTATGGAGCTGACATCAATAGGGGAGGTGGATGGAAAAAGCAAAAACCAATCATCTTTGCCTATGTCCACAATTCTGTGAATAAAATCAAACTTTTGCTGTCCTACGGAGCAACATTGACAAGGGAGGAAATGACTAACTTAGTATCGCTCTCCTTTTCCAAAGCTATTCTAGAAAACCCTGAAGTCATAAGTCCATGGAGCAAAGAGCTCATGTCTTGGAACTTGCTGCTTGCTGCAGGATTTATTCCTGTTGACAATGACCCAGTTCTTGCCAATAAACTGGACCAACTACGTCTGTGTAGTAGCTATGATAAAATCAGTCCATGGATATGGGATATGATATTTCCTTCAAGGTCATTGAAAGATTTGTGTCGTATTGCCATCAGAAATAACTTGAAAAACTTTGTTAAGGATGTTGCCATTGAATTGCTTCCATTGCCTGCAGAAATTAAGAAATATCTGCAATTTAGTGAATTTTATTTGCCAGAGAAAGCCTCTTCTAATGATTCATATGGTTCTAGATCCCCTGTCAAACCACCCTGTACGTAATGTTATAATAGATTAAATTGCTGTTGACCAAAGTATGTATCAGATTTTATATTGCATTAATAAGGAGTTTATTATTGTTGAATTTAATTCTTCATTTGCCATATAATTTTAAGAAGTGCTGATTGTATTTCATTTTCATGGGTATTATGTTTGCAAATTATTCGCTGATTGTATTTCATTTACATGGGTATTATGATAGCAAATTATTCACAAGTGCCATATTTAGTTGTGAGAACTAAGTGATTGGATTTATTTTAAAAAAGAACAGTCTACTTCAAGGAAACTTACATGTTATTTTGATTTGCAACAAAGCATTATTTTCTTTATGTTAAAGTATTTTAAAAAATGCTTATAAAAATGTTTTATGCATCTAGAGTTATTCCTCTTTGTTTTCTGGTTTCATAACTGTTAGTTCTGAGTTGAATGACCTTGTACCAATGAGGCAATTATTGCTAGCGCTCTCGAGCGCTAGCAACTACGTTAGTCTATATTTCTGAAATACGCATGCTCGACTTCACGGTCGGGGATTCTGGGAAAACTACTGTAGATAGACTGTACGATAACAATTTCGTTTTGTCATACAAAAATAGAAATGATCCGAATTTCAGGCCTTTCCTGTCTGATATGCGCGATATACATTTCGTGGGCTAGAGACAGTCAATACCAGTCCAGATCCGGACTCTGAATTTTTTTTAATTTATTGTCTAACCTACACATAAAAGTACAAGAAAAAATTTGGCCATATAATGCCAAGATTCTAGACATCTAGCTTTCCTTACAGTTTTACCAGCTTAGTGGATAATTCCGGCAAGCTCGGAAAACAACAACAACAACAACAACAAAAATCTTTTTCAGAGTATGTCGGAAAGACATGTCAATTTAGTGTTTCGTGTTTTGTTGTCTGACCTGCACGTAAATGAACAAAAAGTAACAGTAACTCGGGTCTTATAAAACCAAGGCTGTTATTTCTAAAGTTGTAATGAATACATAGCTTTGCTAATCTACCTTCATGGATCTTTCCGGCAAGCTCGGAAAACCGCGGCAACCTCGGATATGTTTTCCGAGCTTGCCGGAAAGGCCCGAAGGTGCTCATTGGTTCTACTGACCTTTTATTTTTCACCTCGAAATTGAAATTACAGTAAAATACAGAATGCTTAAAGCACAGTTAGGAGTTATGCCATTGCCGACGTGAAGCACACTCTTAGATTCACCATTCTGAATTGTGACACCCCCCTCCCCCCAAACTCAACTCCCAGTGCACCAATCTGCCTTCCTATAAATAATTAATCGATTCAGCAAATTTAACAAATGGTTCAGATATCTTCTTCTGTATGTTATTATGCTACAGCGCTAGCTCACCAATCTTTTTAAAAGATAAGCTTGTTGACTTTAAAGTTAATAAACAGAAAGATCCAGTTTGTAAATGATGCTGTCTTTAATGTCATTAATGTCATTAGCTTATTGAGGGAAAATGTTCCTTTTTAAAAAAAAAAATTAAATAATAGATTTTCTTGTATATACTCTAGTAAAAGTCAGTTTGTTTAGTTTATTACAATTCTTGTTTTGTTTTGTTTGTTTGTTTATTTTGTATGACAATACACTCTAGTAGAAGTCAGTATATTTCATTTTTTTTAATTGATCATAGTCCACCTTACATGTAAAAATGTAGAATATACGGGTACCATTTCCTGATAAATAATGCAAGGTTTTTGCGGGATTTTTTTTATTTACGTCCCTGCATCTGAAACTTTCTGTTTCAGTAAAAATCGGTTTTAAGTAATAGTCATGTAGGAAATTGAAGATTTATATGAGGTTTTAAGTAATAGTCATGTAGGAAATTGGTGATTTATATGAATGCACTGTTTATATGTACATATTAAGTGTTTTACATGCATTTTTCGCAGGAGTTTTTGGCTATTAATTACTATCTACAGGCGAAAGATTTCGTATTGTTGGCGTTATTAGACCTTTTTACATTGGAAATTTGCAGCTAATATTTTTAAGGACACAGATAAGATATATATATATATATATATATATATATATATATATATATATATATATATATATATATATATATTCAGAGGACGGTCTATTGATTCTAAATAGGGAGGGGGGCTGGCAAATTTTGTCGAGTCGGATTATTTATGTTCATGCCTTCATTTAACAGAATATAATTATTTCTAGTATGACAAGAGAAATTTATTTTCTTCTTTACTGAAAAATGTTTGACAAGCAAAATTGGGAGGAGATGGGGTGTCCAATCTCAAAAATAAAACGTTCTTATTTTTTTCCAAAATCTTTCAGCCCCCCCCCCCCAAAAGAAAAAAAAAAACAGGAATCAAATGAAATGGTCGTCCTTTTTTATTTCTTTAAAAACACTGGTCAGAAATTTCTAATTTATATAAATTTCAAATTATCCCGAAATTGAAATTATTTGTCTTCTGGATAAATCAATAACACTGTGCTTACGAGCGTAGCTGAGGTGGATTGAAAATGAATTTCAAACTAGGATTTCCATCCAATGTTTTCTCAGACACCCGCGCCGAATTGTACCCGTTTTTTTCCCATTGTTTTGATCCTAGATGGGAATGACGTAAGCTGCATATTTCCAATCTTGCCAGGTAATGTGTTTATTAAGTTTACTATAATGCAAACAAATTACAAATTATTTGAATTTGGTTCAAAATTTATTATATTTAATTCTTAATATATTATTATATAAACATTATGCATGCATTCCCCATCCCCCAGTAAAAATTAACAGGGTGCTACATCTCCTTTACAAATACAAGCGTCTTCTAGCTGTCATTCAAAATTACGGTCAACTTTCCATTGTGACGATGCTTGATTATGACGTCATAATAGTCCCTTTCACGACAGTATACAAGCATGGAGGCCTCTAGTCGTTTTATGAAATTCTTTAGGCGTGGAAAGAGAAATAGAGTGAGCGTGTATGCCCCGTCAACGGAGACTGCAGGGACATCTCAAGTTCCTGCTGATCACCATGCAAGGGAGGGAATTTTCACGTCGTCACGGGAGACTGCAGGGGCATCTCAAGTTCCTGATGATCACCAAGCAAGGAAGGGAATTTTCACGTCGTCACGGATGACTGCAGGATCATCTCAAGCTGCTGCTGATGACCAAGCAAGGAAGGGAATTTTCCCGTCGTCACGGATGACTGCAGGGACATCTCAAGCTCCTGCTGATCACCAAGCAAGGAAGGGAATTTTCACGTCGTCACGGGTGACTGCAGGGACGTCTCAAACTCCTGCTGATCACCAAGCAAGGAAGGGAATTTTCGGGCGGCTGAGGGACGCCTGGAAGAGAGTAAAGAAGATAGGGCGTAATAGGGTACACCCTCAGCCGCCAGAAACCGATGACTCATTACCCAACGATCCAGAGATTGAATCTCCACCAGACTCATTGACCGGATCCATAATTTTAAGCTTTGACAAAACTCCATCATTAATTTCCGTGGTGGAAAGCCAGGCCTTAACTTGCATTTTATCTGACGATGAGGGTTCCGATAACATCTTGATTTCTTGTTACGACAGATAAATATTTTGAAGGTAATATACCATAGCCATCAAACTTAAACGATACGTGTATATATATATATATATATATATATATATATATATATATATATATATATATATATATATATATATATATATATATATATCTCATTGAAAATAGAAATAGTATACAAGTTGAAATTCGCATTGTTGTTTTTGTTTGATCAAGGAGTGGAAAGTATAATTATGCATAAAATGAGTTAAAAATTGAAACTTTCTTTTTACAGGCCATAGCTGGTTTGATGGCACTGACGAGCTGACCGTATACAACTGTACCACCGGTCTTTAGTTCAAGTCGGGTCTTCTTTGAAAGTCAAAGGCCATATCTGGATTCCCGGTTCAGCAAAACCATAAAGGATTAAATATATCAACTAACGACTGGAAGCTAATTACTAAACGCAATGGAATCCTATTCCATATGGAAACCGTTTTAAAAAGTTAATATTTAGATTTCAATTTTTAAATGTCATGTACGTTTGCCTTTGTTTCCGTTTGCTTTTTGATACCAATAAAAGTTTTCTTTCCTTGTATACTTGTCTATTATTTTTCAAATTTTGACACTGAAGAGAATTTCTTTTTTCATGGGTGAAACAAAATTGTGTTAAAAGAAAAAAAAATCAGTGAAAAGGTTACGAAACATAAACAAGAAAGGAAATTGTACATGAGTTGTGACTCAGGGGAAGTCTTTGAAAAAAGTACCAGGTATATATTAAACTTTTGAGGTGAAAAACCTGCAGGCATGCTTATGAAAATTTTCTCAGATACGTCTTATAGGATGTTTCTTGGGAAAAAGAAATGCGTACAGTATATATACATGTTTATATAATATCACGAGCCGTGCATGGTGTTTATTAATTATACATGTACTAAGCAAACAAAGAACAGGGTACGTTATTGGGCAATTTTGGCTGAACCTTGAAATATGTTGAGGTTTATCAGACACAAAATTTAAAATTTTATATTTCTAATGATATATATCTTTCATATATCTGATCGCGTGTAACACATCGCAAATATAACGTATTGTAACGTCAGTTTTGCTTGACGACGTCAATGACGCTCATATCTCGCTTTCATCATATAAAACTAAAAGTTACATTTAAAAATGATAGACATCCCAAGAAATCCCGTCTGATTTAGCTTTGAGCTGAACTCAATACAAGTGCAATTAACGCTAATCACCGATATTCCCCTAAGAGTGATTGGAGACAATTCATGGCAGAGTTTTGGAGAGGTGGATCTAAAAAGAAATACTTTTACAAATATTTTCTTCGGATGTCATTGATAATTATAGCATTATTTCCTTTAATATGCTCAATATTATTTTGCTACCACGCTGTCTTCTGCTTTTTTTGCATGTGGAATTTATTTAAATTTTATTTAGAATTAATTAAATTTATCTTGAAATTTAGCGATTTCTTTTTTATCATAGCCTTAAAATATTTTTAAATCTAAGCAGAATCTATAGTGTACAAGTTCCTCTAAGACACCGTGAGTTACCCCATACCCTGCATATTTACATGTAACTTACCCCTTGAGAAGAAGGTAAACATGGCCTATTTACACCCTTCCTACTACGCATTCAAAGGCAATATTTCTCAATATTTGAAATTTTAATTCTTTTCCCCCTGACACTCTCCTTCCCATCTATGCCCTAAAATCAGCCCATTCCACCCCATATACATCCGAAGACATATTTATGAAAAAAAAATGTGTTTTTATATGGCACTACTTGCGTGGTCAATGAAATGGGGTAAAATAAGTAACCTGTGATATACTTATGCTTTCTAACATCAAAATGAGGGTTACAAACTCAAACATGTATTTTAATTTCCTTTTTATTTTAATTTGTTTATTGTTTACTCGTTTATTTTCTATAACAAGCATTCTGAGAGTATTGCATTAGCAATACTAGTCCCCTACCGGCAAGTGTAATCTGGTTGCCGTTAAGAATTGAAAATGCCATAATTCCGTCAAAAATTAATGAAGCGGGACGAAATGCAAACTTGTTCTATAACTAATCAAGGTAAAGCCACATACTAAAAATCAGCTCAATATCTACAAGCGTTTAGAAGAAAATTGCGGAAAACCCGTAAAAATTGAAAAGGCCGTAATTCCGTCAAAAATTAATGAAGCGGAACGAAATGGAAACTTGATCTGTAACTCATCAAGATACACTCACATACCAAAAAATCAGCTCAATATCTGCAAGCGTTTAGGAAAAAAGTGCGGAAAACCAAGTGGGACAGACTGACAGACAGACAGAGGGACAGACAGACAGACAGACGGACGGACAGACTCAGAGGAAACCTATAGTCCCCTCCGGTTTCACCGGTAGGGGACCAATTATATGTTTCATTTTAAACTCGTTATTATTATTGAGCACCTAGGAAATTGAAATCATGCCCCCCCCCCCTCCCCTCCAATGAAAGGTCTTATATTGTTCTTTTAAAGCTTTAATTTTAAATCTGAAAAAATGTTGGATCCTTCCCTCAACAGTGCTGCCATCATTTGTCTCGCATCACTCTCACGGGTAATATAAAGATTAGCGTTAATTGCGCTTTGATTGAATTCAGTCTAAAGCAACACCGGAGAAAATCCACAGAATTTCTTCCCATACACTGTAAACAAGCATTCTGAGAGTATTGCACTAGCAATACTAGTCCCCTACCGGCAAGTGTAATCTGGTTCCCGTTAAAAATTGAAAATGCTATAATTCCGTCAAAAATCAATGAAGCGGGACGAAATGCAAACTTGATCTATAACTAATCAAGGTAAAGTCACATACCAAAAATCAGTTCAATATCTGCAAGCGTTTAGAAGAAAATTGCGGAAAACCCGTAAAAATTGAAAAGGCCGTAATTCCGTCAAAAATCAATGAAGCGGAACGAAATGCAAACTTGATCTGTAACTCATCAAGATACACTCGCATACCAAAAATCAGCTCAATATCTGCAAGCGTTCAGGAAAAAAGTGCGGAAAACCAAGTGGGACAGACTGACAGAGGGACAGACAGACAGACAGACAGACAGACAGACGGACGGACAGACGGACGGACAGACTCAGAGGAAACCTATAGTCCCCTCCGGTTTCACCGGTAGGGGACTAATAAATACAAGCATTCTGAGAGTATTGCATGAGCAATACTAGTCCCCTACCGGCAAGTGTAATCTGGTTCTGTTCCCGTTAAGAATTGAAAATGCCATAATTCCGTCAAAAATTAATGAAGCGGGACGAAATGCAAACTTGATCTATGACTAATCAAGGTAAAGCCACTTACCAAAAATCAGCTCAATATCTACAAGCGTTTAGAAGAAAATTGCGGAAAACCCGTAAAAATTGAAAAGGCCGTAATTCCGTCAAAAATCAATGAAGCGGAACAAAATGCAAACATGATCTGTAACTCATCAAGATACACTCACATACCAAAAATCAGCTCAATATCTGCAAGCGTTTAGGAAAAAAGTGCGGAAAACCAAGTGGGACAGACTGACAGACAGACAGAGGGACAGACAGACAGACGGACAGACAGACAGACAGACGGACGGACAGACTCAGAGGAAACCTATAGTCCCCTCCGGTTTCACCGGTAGGGGACTAATAACAATGAATTCATCACAATTTTTCAAGAATTTTGAAATCTTGGCCATTGAAAAGGTGGGGTTACGTGGTTTACATGTTAAAGAATGTCAAATTATATCAACTACCTTAAAAAATTATTAGTCCCCTACCGGTGAAATCGGAGGGGACTATAGGTTTCCTCTGAGTCTGTCCGTCCGTCTGTCTGTCTGTCAGTCTGTCCCACTTGGTTTTCCGCACTTTTTTCCTATATGCTTGCAGATATTGAGCTGATTTTTTGTATGTAAGTGTATCTTGATGAGTTTCAGATCAAGTTTCCATTTCGTTCCGCTTCATCGATTTTTGACGGAATTACGGCCTTTTGATTTTCAAGGGTTTTCCGCAATTTTCTTCTAAACGCTTTCAGATATTGAGCTGATTTTTGGTATGTGACTTTACCTTGATTAGTTATAGATCGAGTTTGCATTTCGTTCCGCTTCATTGATTTTTGAGGGAATTATGGCATTTTCAATTCTTAACAGGAACCAGATTACACTTGCCGGTAGGGGACTAGTATTGCTAATGCAATACTCTCAGAATGCTTGTTAAGTTTATTTATTTGCTCAATGTGATGAGGTTCCCTCATGTTAGATGATTATCTATATTTGTAATTAATATTTCATTAATAGCGAGCGCAGCGAGCGGCGCGAAGCGCCGCTCGTCACTGCGAGCTCTAACGACAACGCCTGGGCGAAGAGAAAATTCGGACTACTGCACATTCATTCAATAGAATTTTTTTCCGCAGTAATTCTGACCCACAATGCATCGCTTTTTGTTCTCGCTGCTAACTTCGTTCACGCGGTGACAACAACTAAAATTTCACAAAAAATAAACTCACCTTAATTAATGGCTATTGCATGCAGATAGTAGATTAAACGTTCTTTGTTAAAATATTTGTACTTTTTAAACTTTGCTAACATACGACGTCATGTGACGTCACAGTCTAGACGTTCCAAATGTCTCGTGCGGTTTGAAGAGGCGGATCTTAAAATGAACTGAACAATGCGCTCGCCCCAACGGTCGCACCGTCAACTTATTAGCGAGCGCAGCGAGCTCTAACGACAACGCCTGGGCGAAGAGAAAATTCGAACTACTGCACATTCATTCAACAGAATTTTTTTCCGCAGTAATTCTGAACCCACAATGCATCACTTGTTGTTCTCGCTGCTAACTTCGTTCGCGCGGTTACAACAACTAAAAATTCACAAGAAATAAACTCACCTTAATTTAATGGATATTGCATACAGATAGTAGATTAAACGTTCTTTGTTAAAATCTTCGCACATTTTTTAAACTTTGTTTATGGAAATGCAACTAACATACGACGTCATGTGACGTCAGAGTCTAGGCGTTCCAAATAAATGTCTCGTGCGGTTTGAAGAGGCGGATCTTAAAATGAAGTGAACAATGCGTTCGCCCCAACGGTTGCACCGTCAACATATTATATTGTTCGTTACGTATATTTACGTTTTACTGATAACATACAAAACACACGATACGAGGCAAGGGAAAGTGGAGGATAGTTATTTATGGTAGCTGTAATTCTTTAAATCACTCAAAGAGTGAAGACAATATTCCTCTGATTGACTTTCTGTCCTACTTTTCGATTCGTCCATAACATGTGCAGCATCGACGAAACCTCGCCTTCTATGAACAACCCGTCATATTTCTGTGGACATCGAGATAGTCCGCCCACTTTCGAGTGTAACTATATTTCGAAAAGTATATATACAATCGAACTTGCAATTAACTAAAACCAATATTTAATCAAACTATTTCGTAGTAGGGACATTAACAAAGTTTATCCGTGTTAGTTTGTATCATTTTCTCATTTCCTTTTTTTTTTGTATCATCTTTAGTTTTTTTTTTAGTTTTCCCCATCAAGTTCTTTGGTTGTTGGATATTAAATAAATACTAAGAGAGTGACTTTGGTCAGTTATTTTCTTTTTTTCTTTTTAATGTTTTAAGGGGGTTGTGAACTATTTTCTAGCTAACTTTTCTAGCTAACCCCCTTCTTTGAATAACGATGCTACAATGTACATGTATCTGCATACTTGTAGTAAAAATATATATGATTTAATATTTGCAAGAAATCTAATAAATCCTTCGTGATATTCATGTTTATGTACATGTGAGTTCAATTTTAATAGTATTGTTTGTATACAACAATGTAATACTTGATAATATTGACACTTTTACCATATGTCCCCCTGATAAAGGCACGTTAAGCAATTTCAAGTTATATTTTCACATAACACACAATACCTAGTCACCTAAATTTGTTCGACATATGAATGCAAGAATTACTGAGTATGGAAACTAAACATCTGCCTTTCAGTCATTGCTATCAGATGAAAAAAAATATATAAATGGATTATCAAAACCTTCCAGTAATTTATCTGTTTTCTTTTATGGTAACTATAGCAGCTACTCCAGTATCAACGTCGCAGGAGAGAGCTACATGTATGAGAAGATAGAGACGATTTTCCAGTGTTATTTGTAAATTATCTAAAGGATAAAACGGGATTCTAAAATATTATTAAAAATTGCTGAAGTAAGAGGGGTTCAAAGATGCTAACATAAGCATTGAATTATTATTTTTTAAAGAAGTCTCATATTTGCAATGGTTTATGAACGTAACATAGTTTGCATAGGTACTTGAGGACAGGACTATATGTGGATTATATATCACAAATATGTTACTAAAAGATAGTTTATGAAAAAAAGTCAAAAAGGCCCGGGGGTCTATATTGGGTGGAGGGGGGGGGGTGTCCTCAAGCACCTATGATCGTTTGGAATTCTGGAGACGGTTTTAAAACTTCCCATTCTGTGAATATATATTATGAACACTTGTTCATTTCTCAAAAGTATGCGATTTGTCCGCAAAAATGGTATGCCGGGGTCGGACGGAACTCCCTGCCCCCCCCCCCCCCCCGATCTACCCTTGTTTACCTACATATAGTCATTTAGGGTATTCCATATTATTTACTTGTCAGGCCCGTAGGAAGCAATTTCAGTTGGGGGGGGGGGGCACAGCCATACATTTTTCAGTTGACAGTTGAGGGGGCACTACCAAAAAATTCCTGACAAGCAAAAAAAAAAAAAGAAAAAAGGTCGTCAACTACCAAAAAAAAAAAAAAAAAAAACGCCGAAGGCGTTCATGCATAAAATTATCACGCAAGCTAATCGTTTGATCATCGTCATGAAACAAAAAAAACTGACAGTTATTCCTTATATTTACATGCTCTTGATTCTGCAAATTCACGTGCTACAAGTCTCTCAAGCTTCTGTCTCTATTTGTCCCGTCCCGCACATGATTTTTTTTCACCACGCCTATCGATGAACCAGTAGATTTATGTAGAAATTAAGTATTTTTACTATTTGAAATTTTATCTCGGACAAAAGACATTGGAAATGTAAATATATCGTCCATCATTCATTTTTTTTTTTTACCTTGGGAGTCACCTCTAACTTCAAACCCTATATTTAAGTACCAGTAATTATCACCTTTGGTTAATCGTGTTAAATTTATATCTTCCTTGATTACGCCTGCTCAGCTAATTACAAGTGCCAATTAATTAAATTATTAATACATACTTGTTTTACAATAATAGAATTATCTGTTGATTAAATATCACTTTACACAGAACATATAGTTCGAAATGTTTATCATTTATTTAAAAAAAAAGAAGAAGAGGAACTAACATCAGAGACTGAACAAAACTACAACATTGAAAATGTTCTCATCCACTTTCTTTGTCAACTGTAGATTGGTAAACTACATGAACATGATAAATAAATCCAAAATCCAAATACCACTCTGACTTATAGACATGTGGGAAAGCATATTAATCGATCACAAAATGTGAGAAAGTTAAGTTATGGATATAAATTGTGTGGTCATAAAATTTTTGTTTTTCTCTTATAAAATATGTGTAATGAAATTCATTACTTTATCAAAGTAATTGTAATTTAATTAATTACTTTTCTGAATGAGAGTAATGGTAATTGTAATGGTAAAAAATTCCAAAGTAATTGTAATTTAATTCATTACATTTCAAAGTAATTGACCCCAGGTCTGATCTATAACATAACCAGAGGCCTGTTCAACACAGCGAGCGCTCGCCAACATTTCTGTTGGAAGTATAATTTTGAATTTTGTCGAGCGCTCGCGAACGTTCGCTCTGTTGAACAGGCCATTGGTTAGTCTATAGCCTATTACTCTTGCATGCAATGGATTTACCTTTAATCAGAGGTGATGAGGTAGATCTAAGTTAAATGTGTATAAAAGTTTTTGATGGTATAATTTCAGACATTTTGCATTTTAAAAAAAACAACGTTACAAAATATCTTTAAGTTATACATACATGTACTTATATAAAGAGTGTGCCTGATACCACAGGCCTTTAGATCGCTTTAATTCGACTTTTAAAACGGGAGGAATATTTTTTTTTTTATACATGTACCCCCAGTTTTGTCAGTCGAATCAAAGCAACCTAAAGGTCTGTGGTTTTATACATAAACAACGCTAAGACATCGATGAGAATTTCCTACACGGGCTTTTCTTCGGCAAGGACGATAAGTTCGGGGGAAAACAACTGTTAATTAATTGATTTTTGTTGTTTTAAAATGACTGTTGGTTTGTCAGAAATGTGAAGGTGTCTTGCTAAATACAGCAATAAGGGAGATTACCGAGAGACGGGAGAGCGAGATGGTTCCTAAATTTAGGAATTTACATCCTTTTTTCAGCAACCATGCATTAGGCTATACTATCACATAGTAACTGGTGATACAGTGTAGCTAATTGTACTATAAATATCTGAAATTCTGAATGATAACATACAGAATTATATTTGAAAAGTTTATCTATCACTGATGAGGACATCACCAAATGCACATATATTGAGAAATAAATACACCTGACCATAGTGTACTTTAACCGACCATACAATTCTCGACACAGGCATTGTTCAATCTAAATCATAAAAGACTTCATAAATTAAATATATCAGACAAATATGGTACATGTATAAAGTTCATTTATATATTTAAACTTATTACGGATTTGGATTATGTTTGTGATCACATGATTTACAGCTGTTCATAAAATTGTGCAAAAGCCATCTTCGCCAGCCAAGGGTTTCTGATACGCTACTCTCCTCATAAGCCCTTGGCATACGGTGTTAAAAAAAGTTGGGATTTTTTTCTCAAGTTGTGATTGGAGTTGATCGACATCGTTCGACCAATCAGCAATTGTTTTTTGTAAATGACGATATTTGCGTTCGGGATATATCTTGACTCTTTAATATCGGGAATGAAAAACGCAAGTAAACAACGATCCGTAAGATAACATGCCATTCTATGAATAGCTATATGGTGTCATCTAATATCTTAAGCTACGTGCAAAATATGTGATTAAGAATCAATACTGAAGATTTAGATTTGCATTTTAACATGTTTAAATAACAAATTAACATAACCCAATACCTTCTTGTTAATTATTCTTTAAAAACATTATTGTTTTAAATACGCTTTTTATTTCTGTCGATGACGCAATCTGTGCGTACCTGGTAGAATCGTGATCATGCGACGAAAACAATCCCGTCTTTTGTCAGCACCGTATGCCAAGGGTTTATGAGGAGAGTAGCGTATCAGAATCCCTTGGCTAGCGAAGATGTGCAAAAGCATGAATGTTAACAGTGCATGATATTATAATTATATTCATTTCCGGTCTAATTATTTTCAAAAAGTGTCTCCACTCATTAACAGACACGAATTTAATTATGGAAAAGGTTTTTAGCTAGCAATTTTATACAATTATTTAATTTAATCAAAGTTTGCTGATATTCTATGAAAAATAAACCAATTTTGCTGAGCAGCTGATGTTTGGCGTGGTTTTGTGACGTCACTATTGCATATTACGTCATTTTCATACAAGTGAGCATAAGCTTTGATCCCAATGTGAACAAAGCATAAAGACATTTAATTGTGCGAAAAATATACATGTATAAGTTGTAAAATAACAGCCAATAACATACATGTACTTTGTTCTTCTGAAATTAATAAAAGATGAATCAATTTATTAGTCTGAATTCTTTATATAGTATGATATACACATTATCCACCCCTTACAAAAAAAAAATTCTACAGGGTTCCACACCTCTGTATGTGTATAAAAGAGTCTTTTCTGTCATTCAAAACTATTGTTAAATTTCCATTGTGACGATGTTTGATTATGACGTCATAATAGTGCTGTTCCCGGAATTACAAGCATGGGGGCTTCTAGTCGTTTCATGAAATTTTTTAGACGTGGAAGGAGAAATAGAGTGAGCGTGTATGCTCCGTCAACAGAGACTGCAGGGACATCTCAAGTTCCTGATGATCACCAAGCAAGGGAGGGAATTTTCACCTCGTCACGGGAGACTGCAGGGACATCTCAAGTTCCTGCTGATCACCAAGCAAGGGAGAGAATTTTCACGTCGTCACGGGAGACTGCAGGGACATCTCAAGTTCCTGATGATCACCAAGCAAGGGAGGGAATTTTCACGTCGTCACGGGTGACTGCAGAGACATCTCAAGCTGCTGCTGATCACCAAGCAAGGAAGGGAATTTTCGAGTCGTCACGGGTGACTGCAGGAACATCTCAAGCTACTGATGATCACCAAGCAAGGAAGGGAATTTTCACCTCGTCACGGGTGACTGCAGGGACGTCTCAAGCTCCTGCTGATCACCAAGCAAGGAAGGGAATTTTCGGGCGGCTGAGGGACGCCTGGAAGAGAGTAAAGAAGATAGGGCGTAATAGGGTACACCCTCAGCCGCCAGAAACCGACGACTCATTGCCCAACGATCCAGAGACTGAATCTCCACCTGACTCATTGACAGGATCCATAATTTTAAGCTTTGACAAATCTCCATCATTAATTTCCGTGGTGGAAAGCCAGGCCTTAACTTGCGTTTTATCCGATGATGAGAGTTCCGATAACATCTTGATTTCTTGTTACGACAGATAAATAGGCCTATTATGAAGGTAATACCAAAGCTTTCAAACGTTCAACGTTACGTACATGTATACTTTATTTTATATAACACTGAAAATAGAAGTAGTTCAAGTTAGAAATTGCTTTGCTGTTTTTTTTTATATCAAGGAGTGGAAAAATGCATAAAATGGGTAAAAAAATCGAAACTTTCGTTTTACAGGCGATAGGTGGTTGGATGGCACTGACGAGCTGACCATATGCAACTCTACGCCAGTCTTTAGTTCATGTTTGGTCTTCTTTGAAAGTCAAGACCATAATTATCTTGATTCTCAGTTCAGTAGAACTATAACAGAGAATCGAATATATCAACGAACGACTCAAAGCTACTCAGTAACTGTGAAAACCAAATCACTAAACGCACCAGTGGAATTTCATTTCATACGGAAACTGTGCAAAAACAAACAAACAAACAAACAATTGTATTTCATTTCACATCTAGATTTTAAATTTTAGATGCTTTCAGGAGTACTGAGTATATCATATAAATTTGCTTTTGTTTCTGTTTGGTTGTTGATTCCATGCAATAAATATTTTTCTAATCTTGTATACTTGTGTATATTTTCAAATTTTGACCCTGAAGAGAATTTCGCTTTTCGTGGATGAAGACAAAAGAGTGTAAAATTCAGTGAAAAGGTTATGAAACATTGCCAAGAAAGGAAATTGTACACTTAGTCTAGTTGTGACCAAGCATATGACGTAGAGGAAGATTCTACCTAAAATGAAAAACTAGCTGGGCTTGTAAGACAATGCAAACATATGGTATTATCTACACTGTATATTTTCAAGTCTTTAAGCAGTAAACAAATTATCATGTATAATTAAAATGCTCAATCCCACTATGACTTATTTGCCAACAAACTGATAAAAATATATATCTATTTAGTCCAGTGGATACAACTACAGAATATTTAATAAACCGTAGTTTTCTGAAGTGCAAAATTTCCAAGACACTATAGATATAAATATATAAACCAACTGTAAACAATAATGAAATCATAATGTCAAGTAAATATACATGTAGTAATTGAAGTCCATGACAGCACATGAAACTCTACTACAGAACTGTTTTACCAGCTGTGTTTATTGTTATGTGTTAACTATAAAATATACCACAATGTAGTGGTACTAAAACTTCTCTATTACTATTTGACAAAATAAAACCAAACTTTTCTGACGCTTATTTGAGAATGTTTGTTCTTTATGAGCACTTATACAAGTCTTCAGTGGAAATTCATCATATCAAAATCTTATTTGAAGCATTTAGAAGCAAATCTCTTGTTTCTCACGGTGGCCTCGTTTGCAAAAAATCTTCCGAAACCTTTCATTTGATAGCAATATTGTTTATGACCATACCAGGTAAGAATTTTCAATGATTAATAAAAGTGTTTTTTTTTTTCATCTATTGTGAAATACTTAATCCTTAAAATTTATCCTTGCAGAAAAAAGTTAACTGTACATTGTATTTACACATTAGATAAGTTTTAACCACATAATCAGCTTTAATTGATAAAAACATGAATTCTTAAATTTGAATCATGAACATGACAAAAAAAGTTTTCACATGGAGGCGTGTCTTCAATTAAGGTAGCATGCATATTTTCACAAAAAAAGGAGTGCGAGAATAAAGTTCGGGAGATCAAAGTTGCAATGTTTACGATGTTAATTTTACACGTGTAATAAAAACAAAATGGACACGACTTTGTTTAATAAAGACCCCGTCACCTATCTTTGGCAATTACTGGCCACAACAAATTGATTTCCTCTTCATTAAACGGTGCATTAAATCCACCAGAGAAAGGGCGTTTGTATGATTATAGCTGTATCACCCTTACCATGGAGGAAGGGTAAATATTTCTTTGGTTTTGAATGTTTTTGAAAAGTTCAATACGGTAAGATTTAATTACTAACTTCTGTATGTTCTAGGACCCTCCTGATTCTAGCTGTTTTGCTGATATTGACGTCTGTTGATGGTAGGTATATTTATCATCAGAATTAATTATCTTTGTCTCTTCTTATATTATGTAAGAAAAAAAGTTTTCAAAGATATGCAAGTTAATATGTAGCTGCATGTATTTGGTGGGAAAATATGGATATTCTTCACAAAATCATTGATACGTGATATGTTGATTAAGCTGTGATTTTTCAAAATTAAATGTATACAGTATATCTAAAGGCAGGGAAGTTTCTCAAACTCTGCAGGCCACGGGATCAGTTCAGTACTTTTCTTCCCCGGGATATCCCATCGAATACCCAAGGCAAGCAAGTATTGTAATATTAAAAGTCTATTTATATTTCAACTTTGCAACTTCTTAATTGTTACACTGTTTTCGAAGATTGCCTTGAATTCACATGTACATTGAAGTAATGTATTTTATTTTTTATATTTCGTGTTATTTTAAAAATCATTGGAATTTTTAGCAATTTAACACTGAAAACAACCATTATGACAATCACACAGACAGATATTCTTTACATCAATTTCTTGGACTGCAACATTGAGTATGCATCGGCAAAAGTACCATATTGTCAACTTGACCAAATTACGGTTTACGATGGTAAATTTTAGAATATCTTTAATTTTGTTATTTTTCTTTCATTTCTAAGTAAAATATGCGACGTAAATCCTTATCAGTGCATGTCTTTCATCGTGTGGAGTTTGACAAATTCTTTTTCGGAAAGATAAAATTGATCTTTTAAAGTTTTACAAATAGATTTAAAATAAGATACTTTTATCAAATGCTACTTTTAACAATATTCAGATGGTAACGCCATTAAGTTCTAATTTATCATATTTCATTCCCCCCTAAAAACAGGTCCTTTTATGAACGATTCCCTTCTGTACCAGGGCTGCTGTTTGAATGACGTCACACAATTACGTAGTTCTGGGTCCTCCATTTTGCTACGATTTATTTCCGATTCCACGGTAGCTGGGAGAGGGTTTTATATTCAGTACTACTCAAACGGCACGGCTATTAGTGAGTCTGACTTTTATTTTAGGATGAATATAGTTACATGTATATTTTGTTGTTAAAAATATTGTTAATTCCAAAATAACAATCCATTTACATGCATTTATTTACCGGTATTCATTTACAATAATTTTGGTAAATTTTATTTTAATGTATTTATACCCTATTGCCAATTTTTGTTTACTTGTTTGTTTGTTGGGTTTTTAAAAAATGTAAATTGATATAGCTGTCAATTTTACTAACAGGGGACGGCAGTGAGTTATCAGCAGGAAGTACTATCGTCATTATCGTTGTCTTGGTCATCGTTTTTCTTACAAGCATCGGCGTTGCTTTTCCTCTTCTGTACTACAAATACAAAGCCCGATATAAATTATGTGGCAAAATTCTTCCCAAACCAACAGACGGTTTGATTAAAACGAAAACGGAAGAAGACCTACATGAAGCTCAGGTAAAGGCGACTTGCGGATCGAAAGCTCCTGATCTTTTAAAATCTTGTAGTCAAGGAACTCAAGACACAAATTCCAGCAATAACGGAAAAGTACCGAAAGAAAATAAATAATCTTACTTTAATGTACACATAGGAATAAAAAATTTATTAATGGATGTATTTCGAAGCGTTGCATTTTTGTGCATAGTGAGTTTAATTTCAGTTGATATATAGCATGTATAGAAACAGTTATTTTTTCTGTTGGTAATAAAACATAACGACAAATCTATTGTACATTAAGCTGAAAATAAAAATTGCTCAATGATGTCTAGTTTTCCAAATATTTTATAGTGGAGTTTTTTAATAAACGATGTGTTTTAAAGTCTTGTCTCAAATTTGAATTACAAAATTACATACCTGGTATATTTAGATTCACACATACATGTAATATAATTGCGTTTTCAGAATCGAATAAAATTCTGTCTTCGCTCTGGACTATTTTATAAGGTCACACCAAGGTATTGCTTAAAAATGGATACACCCCCCCCAAAACAACCATCAATCACAATATATTGAAGCATATTTTTCCTACTACATATAATATCATTTTTGCATTTTTCCACAGTATACAAATCTGTTATGTACATTAAAGGGAACTTTTATATAAGGTAGGGGCACTTTACAAATTATACCTTATCTCAAGGAGGACCAAAAAAAAAAATAGGACATCTCAAATTACCTTATTTCAATGCAGACCTAGAAGAGTTTAAAAAAAGGTGGTAGCTCCATTGCCTACTAATATATCAAAATTGCTGAAATTTATTTGAAAGCCGACCCCCCCCCCCCCCCCCGAAAAAAATGTTGATTTTGTTGATAAAGAAAAAGGCTGATTTTTTTCCCGCGAGATAAATTTACGCTTCACTTTTTCTCAACTTTTTTCTACTTTCGTATCTTGGTGGTGAGAAACTGGTCCTATGAATGTCTATGTTGTACTTTATATCTGTACATGCATGGGCGCTGGCTAACGTACGAGGCATTGTAGCAGAATGTATACTTATATATGTGGGGTAATGTATACTATTTTGTAGCGGTTATGACTATGTAGCGGTAATCATTATGATTATTTTGAAAATGTAGCGGTAATGTATACATTTTTACAAATATCCCTTACCGTTCAGTTGTTTAAATGCACAAAACAGCGTCCTCTTTACAATCCATATAAAAAGTTTGTAGTAATTACGAAATGCATTTTGAGACATTAAAACTATTTTATTTACAAAACTATTTTATTTACAATGTTAAATGTTAAGGAAAATATCTGTTAAGCAGCCTTTGATGATCGATGAGATTCTCCTCCAAGAATCAAGACTTGGTCGTGAAAGTCTAATTTAGCAGTGTAATGAAAGGCAATGTTTGAAAATACCACGAAATATTCACAGGCAGCGAATCCAGTGTATACTAAAATATAAAAGAAATTCAATCGTATCTGAAAATGACGATTTAAAATTTTATCAATTTAGCTGCTTTCTACAAGCACCTTTAACAATTATCCCGAAAATAAACATCGTGCCCGCTTTTATATTTATATCAATGAAATGAACCTACCTCCACGCTCGCAATACCAGTTATGCCTAAAGTACATGTATACTGCCACCATGAAAATGGAGAGATTGAAGATAAATAAGCCAACTTTATAGTGGAAGGATTTAGTTTCCTGCAAAAAGAACAAAAAGTCCATTCAAATACATGAACAAAAATGATTTCTACTATTTTCCCCCTCAAGCTATTATCCCACGTAAAATTCTGTTTAATATTTGCAGGAATGGTGTAAAAGTTATACACGGACAACATAGGAGAAAACTAGTATCAAACCCGTTATCTTTGGTTTTTCCCGCAATATCTGCTTGTTTGAGAAATCTCGGTACAGGCCCCGCCACTTCATTGGGGAGGGGAAAATATTCATTTTAAGACCTCCAGCTTAGCCCGGTAGGTCCAAAGAAGAAAGTCGCAAATTTGAATATATATATATATATATAGAGAGAGAGAGAGAGAGAGAGAGCTTGGCATTAAACTCACTTTTAAGAGGGAGGGGGGTTTAAAGGAAATGTGCATTTCGGAAGTAATTTATGTTCTAATGTAGCAGCATGATAACAAAAAAGCTTATCAAAAAACGCTTTACTGTTTTAAAACGGCTGCACATTGAATCTACGAGTAATTTAAAACAGGACATTTTCCTTTCATAATGGATTATAAGTTATTAAAACTTCTTAACACACTGACTGATATTTAATGACCTATATATAAATGCTTCTCAAAAAAGACTTTTTCGATCTGGAGGGCCAGCGTGCAATGACCCCCAGCTGTTGGGTGGGGCCACTATGGGTGATCAATGTTTAAAAATGAGATTCATAAGATTCTGACCTTTCGGAGAAAAATGTGACTCTCTGAAAAGTTTAGTTTTCAAAAGAAAACCATTACGGTCAGTTTCTCCTGAAATAGATATTTTTCAAGCAATGCTGTAGTTTGCTAGACAATCAAAGCATACAATTTGCACTTAGGAAATTACTACATTTAAGTTGAAGCGAAAGATTTTGACATGGCAGTCTTTAATATGACCATTAATTGACATATATTCAATGAAATATGTGGAATATTAGGAATCAACCGGTATCTTTGTGAAGACAGGGCATTGTTTAGAATTATTTCGCGGACACTGGATTAAGATAGATGTATCATACTGGGATTATTTGTATAATGGTAGATTACAATATTTACTCACTGCAGGTGTCATTTCACGTCCTTTGCCGGAATGACCCCATCGATACAGAAAACAGGTCAACAGCATGTAGATTTCAGATGTTACCATGAATAATACAAACATGTTCTCATGAATCTCTGAAATGTAAATATAAAAGTGTTATCACTTGTTTTTCTTGTCACTGGTGAATAAACATATGTAAGTAAAACAAGAATGTGAAGACGGCCAAGGGCATTTTTTTTAATTTGAATTTACATTTTCAGTCCCTGTGACCTTGAAACATCAAAATTTATGACCATGGGTCAGTGGCATGACATAATGGGCTACCTTTGTGTTAATAATGAGTTTTCTTGATTCAAGGCCATGTGAAAACCATTGATTATAGGCTACCTTTGTGTAATCGATCAGTTATAATGTTCAAAGTGTTTGTACAATATAGTAGTTATAAGTATATTCAAAGGACACGTGTTCAATGTCATCGTACACCCTAGTCAGGCAGCATCTGTCTCAATGTTTCCTCACTAAATTCATGAAAAAAAGAGAAGCATATAGAGACAGATAGACCTCCCACCCCCAAAAAATTAAATCCAAACTCGAGTTCGGGAACATTAAATTACATTTGCCAAAGACAATGAATTTCTTTCTAGAATCCGATGGCTTCATTCTTTCTGTCACATTACTCCAATTTAAGGATACATGTACACTTTAGATAAATTAATTTTTTGGGAAATACTTTCGCAAACTTGATGACAACAGGGGCGTAGCTTCCATTGTGGCAATGAGGCATGCAACTGCCTCACTAGTTTTTTCAGCACCACCGCCTTCCCATACATTGATAATACATTGCAGAAACTATTTGATTTGTTTTATTAACTAATTGTTTTTATTTAACCTTTAAACAAATCTATAAAATGTTGTACTTTCATATCAATATGTTTGGGATCAAAATTCATGAGATCGGGCTCTATTAAAGTAGTTTATGTGGAAAAAATAAAAATGTTAGGCCTAGAAGTTTGAATACTCTACTAAATACTTTAGAGATATGAAGTATCATATGCACGCTGAAGTCTTCAATAATGAAACCGGTAAAATTACGAAATTTCTGTCCAGAAGAAGTATGATTTTTACATTCTAAACTCCCAAATTCATTTTCCGTCGGATGGCTTTGCCCCCCCCCCCCCCACCAGGGCTCCGCCAGCCCCCCGGCCACAATAGTTTTGCCTCACTAGAATTTTAAGTCAGGCTACGCCCCTGTGACAAGCATCAAGAAAAAAAGAAAACGTGAATTATTACACCAGACAACAAAGAATATCTGATCAGAAAAGCTCCAGGCATTGAACCCTTGGCCAAGCAAGCCATTAAAGTAAAACAAACCTCTATTATCGAGAGAGGATATATACGTTAGAATGACCAGTGCAAAATTCTCCACAATGTGTAATAAAGTACATAGCCCGGCTAAAATGGTATAAATATTGCTCCAAGTATCCACTACAAATCGCACGTGGTAGCGGTAATATGCACAAGCAATCAGGAATCGTGGAAAAGCGTGGAGGGCAATACAGATCCTCCAGACATTTCTCTGAGGGATGTATCCTCCAATGGCTGCACTTATAGAAGGTAGGTAATTGGCCACCTGAAAATATATACAAACTAGAGGTACTATGCCCGTGAGCTCACAAAATGATACCCCGGCCCGCTCCCATATGAGTATAATTGCAAAGTCCCATTTTGCTATGGTAAACCCTGTCCAATCGAAATGTAAAATAGGTGAATAATGTCATTGCGTTATAAAAATTCTGTAAAAGTCAGTAATTTTTATTCAGTGGCAAAGAGGAGTTGTTGATAATAGATGGGTACCCCCAAGTGTAACGGACGTAAAGAAGAGAGTTCACTTTGATTTTTTCATCTTTTTGACTTGCACTGTTTGAATCTTACAAAACTGAAAGTAGACACGCATGTATGAAAATGTTACAAAAGAATTTGTTAATACAAATGACCGAGTGTAGCACCTGGAGACAAAAATGCTCTTGTTCTACAAATCAAATTGATTCATGGTCATGAAACAACCCACCTTTGTGCAAGGTACATGTACATGTATAAGCTGTCATCGCTTCTACTGCATGAACAAGAGTACATTTATGAACCGGGCAATCTACTGTAACCTTGATCCATTCAAATGACATTAATGTCTCTTAGCCCAAACCTTATGTGTCTGATGGTCAAGGCCAAGAGACATTTTCTGGTCATAAGCTATCTTTGCCAAGGGTAAATTTTGCATGTTGTAAAAAAAAGTTACAAGTAAGATTACAGATCAGAGAGACCAAAAATTATACCTCCGCTCCATAAAAATTAACTCACCCGACAGTGTGTTGCGGTAGATTCCTCGAAATTGAATAATACTGACCAGATAACACAAAATAACGTTGCGAAAAAAGGTAGTCCGGCAACAATGTTGCTCAAAATTGAAAAGTGTAACCGAAAGAGAACACTTTGATAAGCCATAACACAAAACGGTAAACTCAGTTGTTCTGCATACTAAATGTTTCAAATTTAAATTTAAAGATACATTAAGTATAAACCAAAACACGAATATAAGTCCAAAAGTAAATTAAGTACTTCTGAAACCCTCACATTTAAAAATCCTTTATCATTAGCCACGTGAGGTAGACAGCAGGGTTCTAAATCTAACATATCCTATACATTATATATAGTTATAACATGAATATACATGTACATGTAACCGAGACTGATTAGATCCGTTTCAGATATACTGAATGCTATGCGGATGATCAATTTTCACAGCTTCATAAATTGAAATACATGAAAGGAAATGTGTGTTTTATAATATGTTGCAGTTAAGTCTGTACGTGTTTAACTAAAATCGATTATATTACCAAGCTTTATAGGAAAAGTAAACATGTGACTAATTTCGATGGCCACGTGCTTATATAATCCCAACCCTCTTCCAAAAACCATTGTATGCTGTGATGGATTGTGTATGTGTGTGTGTTGGAGCGGGGGGGGGGGGGTGTGCTCTCCTAAAATTTGCCAATTTTTGTATAAATATACCCCAAGATAACTGCATGTGTTCCTACTGTTGCATTCTGGTTTATTATAAAATCATATGTAACACCACAAACTGTTTAAACAAGTGATAAACATACATGTATATGTAATCATTAAATATTGTCCTATTGTTGCATGGAACATATATTCCTATAAAGAGGATATTCTAAAGTTAATCAAACGTCTAATGTTAACAAATTGTTAATTTTATTAAAAAAAAACAAAACGGTAATATCAGACAAAACTGTTTTCAGCTGGAACACCCAAGTAAACTTATCTAATTTATGTAGAAATATTCCGCTATCACCTGCGTTTTTTGCCCTGTTCACATATTTGTATTGTGTGTAGATTTTTTTTTTTAGATCGATCACTGTTCATTTTCTTCACCTTTTTCATTATTTAAAAAAAAAACACTTTAGCTGTAGCATGATAAAAATCAAAACAAAATTGATTTAAAGGGAAGCTTTTAAACAAATTCTAGCAGAAAAACGAATCATATTTCTACTGTGCTGAAACTAAAAATTATATTAAAATCACACACATATATAAACTCTATCAAAACAATGTGTCTTGATGTGTACAAACTTGTCTGTCAAACTTCTTAGATTCAATGTCGAGATATTCATAAATTGTTTGAAAGTTATGAAACGTGATATCAGAATCTGGAAACAGAATTTCGAACGACATCAACTAACGTATCATAAACATGCGAGACATGAAACGTGTATATTATATATTTAAATCAAAGAACAAATAGATTGTTTATGCGGGGAGATAAAATATTTCAAGAATATTATATAGTGACTTAAACTGTCCATCTCTCCAGACTCTTCATCATCTAAAATTAGGAAAGAAAAAGGGAGGGGGAAATTCATGAAATCGCACATTTCTCATAGTTTTCTCCACCACAGACTCGCAAAGAACTGTAAATTGTCAGCACGATGTGTATGTTAATTCTTGAAATTATAATGCCAGTCTCGATTCACAAGTTAATATTCAGGTAAATGCATTTCGTCAAAACCTTACTGATTTTTTCCCTTTAAATATAGGCCATCTATCTCTTACATTTAATTACTACAAGTTTTCTGCACTCTACCATGCAGTTCTCTCTAGCGTGTCTTCATAATTAAACTCTGTGCGCCGAATACGACCAAAATTGCTCCAATAATCGAATTAAATGTTAACCTAGCTCTCAAAATATTTATTTTGTAAATTTCTCGTAATTTATTTTTTTCTACGTTGTGAGAATTTTAATAGGCAAAGGGGTGTTAAATTTCCATCAATTTCGACATATTTATAGGTATACCATCAATTCTAGCAACCGTTATAAAAATGGATTTCCCCTGATAGTGATTATACTGAGTCAACGTTTGGCAATTTTCCATGTATTGGTTTTACTTGAAAAAAAAATGAATTAAATTTTAAAGCGTAATTATTTCGAACGAAAGGGGGTACGGTTCATGTCATAATTCAGAAATAATTATTAAACAAATGTTGCTTCTAGATTTTCCTGCTTTAGGACTTAATATGACAAGAAAACTGCCGAACGTTAATTTGAAGCCCTTGCTTCAAATTCGTTATGCAGAAAAAAAGAAGTAAAATGTTTACACGTGCTACTGCAAATGGACGGGGCCTTCCCGAGACGTGGTATGTTAATATCTTTAGTATATGCCCCGAGATATAAATTTGCAAAGGGAATACGCTTACCAGCTAGGGCATTTCATGTTTCAAGGATTTCCAGAACGTTAATTTAGAAAGTAATTACTCTGTTTATGGGCATTCTTCTACCCCTATCTAAGCACTTCTTATTTTACTATTATCATTAAGCTATTTGTACAGTATGGAGACAAGTTTTTCTTCTTCTAGGAAAAAAATGTGTTTTTCTTCGATAGACTTGTTGGTGGGGTTAGGGGGGGGGGGGGGGGGAGGCTATTGAATTTAGATAATTTTACAAAAACATGTATATGCAAATGTCAACTATCAAAGAGATATATACAATGTCTAATACTCTTTAGAAGCTGCTTCAATGAGGAGGAAGATATGGCCATAAATAAACTTAGAAAATCTTTTACCTCTTACTACTTTCTTTCTTTTTTTTGGGGAGGGGGGGGGGCATCTTAATAAATCAAACTATATCTGAGTCCTATATTTTATTGTGTAAAGTTTTGAAGACTGACAGTTGTCAAGCAGGTTACAATGTGTACTTTACACCAACACTAGCCTTTATAGAAAAGCATTTACAATAAAACAGAGAGAAAACACACTATCTAAAATGTCAGTCATTGATTCTCAAAGTGATAAACTCCTAGAATCAAATGTTTCTCATATCCAGATCTAAACTGAAAATGTTTAGTAATATCCTTTAGTAACACAATGATTATTTCAATAGCTGTATAGCACAGTGCTGTGTTACAATGATAATAATACCAAGATGTCCTTAAATAGAAAAGTTTTCTTCCCGGCTGCAATTCTTGAAAATGGATATGTTAGAATTATATCAGATATCCACAGAGGGTTCTACTGAGAATTCCAGCCATTCTGGTCACTAATTCTGTCACAAAAGTCACACAGGATGTACTGATAATACCCTGCAAACATAAAGTGTATCATATTTATTTTTTGAACCTGCATATCGAAACAAATTTCAAACCTGTGCATACATGTACGGATATTATAACAAATTACATTTTTGTTTTAATGATAATCAAAAGTGTCTAAAGATGAGTGTATATATCAACTGACATAAGTTAAATTCAATCTATTTAAGAGTAATGCAGTTATGCCCCTTTGTAATTATATTTTTCTCCTTTAAGCAGTAATACAGTTATGTCCCTTAACAGGGTTGGTCGGGAAAATACTATTAATTTTCTCTAAACTGGAAAATATTAGGAAATACAAAGTAGTTTTTCAATTACTGATTTTATGAAATACATAATTGAGAAATATTTAAAGTAAATATGAAAACACAAGATGAATATGTCTCAAACTTCAATTCAAAATGTTCAGAGTGTAAGTACATGTGTATTACATTGCATTTATCACCACTCAAGGTTCCCTACCCCATAGCATTTTGGAGCACAACACAAGATTTTCTATAGGTGTCTGTTATACAAAATTGAAATTTTCTAATTAAAACTTCTTTTTATCTTTGTATCATCCTTAATTCTGTTTTGTAATGGTTTTTCCTTCTTTTAGCAGTAATGTAGTTATGTCCCTTTCTAATGATTTTTTTTTTCTTTCAGCAGTAATGCAGTTACATGTATGCCCCTTTGTATTATGACACTAACAAATAAGATCATTACAAATTCTATATAAAAGCAGTGTAACTCTACCAAGGCCTTAAAAAAAAAATCACCACAGTCTCCAGCAGTAATTACCGAAATAGCCTTTGGGTGGGAGATGGGGCTTACATTTCTTTGTAGGCATTCCCACTCTCTTCTCCTGACAATAAAACCTGCTGATCTGAGAAGTCGTATTTGGCAGTGTAATGAAAGGCTATATTGGAAAATACTACAAGATATTCACACAGTGCAAATATGGAATACACTGAAATAGAAGAAAAAACATACAGAAAACCAGGCTATATATAATGTATATAAAATAATATAATTATTTTGGTTGTAATTTCAAAACTTATCATTTGATAAAACCCTACACTGACACATAGTAAATTAAGTGTAAGAGAGCTTAACTTGACAGTGTTGATAGTAAATAAATGTCAAATTTTTTACCTCCAGTTTCACAGTACCACTCATGCCTAAAAAACATGTATACTGCTGCCACGAACATGGTAATGTTGAAAACAAAGAGAATCTTTTTATACTGGTAGGACATGACCTCCTAAAATACAAGATACATTGTATTTTAAGTCACAAAGGTTACCAATAGAAATCTTTTTTTCTTTCACAATCAGTCATCTGTGGTCCCAAAATCCAGAAACACACTTGTACTAGCTCTCACAAATCTGAGAGATAAATTCTGATATCAGTGAGTTTTTCTATCAAAATTATGCATATATTCATATTAGCCAATCACTAATATGCATTATATGGGGGATAAAACAGAATAGCAAATGTGTGTAAATCATAAGCATTAAAAATATAAATATATATACTAGGTACAAAGTAATGATTTTATTCTGACTAACCCACAGGTGGGCATACAAACAGCAGAAGACATAAACTCAGATGACTTTGACATTATCTCAAGGGCTGTTTCATGCAAACATCCCATTATAATGAATTAATGTAACTGCTGACTTACTGAATTCAATATGTACATGTAATTATATACATGATATAGAAACCAATGCATGAATTGACTAAAGTGCATGAGAAAAAAAAAGAAGTATGATCAAGTATCATTACTATTTTGAAAAATGAGATTAATGTACTGTGTGTACTTAGTATTTCTAATCTACATACCATTTTTGTCATGGCACGTCCATTGGATGTGTGACCCCATTTGTAAAGAATACAGGAAAGCAACATATAACACTCAGAACACACCATAAAGATGATAAACATGTTCTCATGCACAGCTGAAACAGAACAAATTCAGACCTTTTATTAGTTTTAAATTCAATTCATGGGCATCATTATTTTCCCCAGGAATGTTTTAAACATATGAAAATTGCATCTACAGCTTTATAACTTCAGCTGGTTTATTTCTACAATTTGGATATTGAATATTGTAGTACAATAAAATCAAGTAAGAGATAAAAATATACAAAGGTCCTGTCAGTATCAATGTCATGGATTATCTGCCCTTTTATATAACGTTAACTCTATTGTGACATCAATTCAATACCATTTCCTATTGATTTACCTCATAAAAACTAAAATGAGTCCATAGATTTGTAAAGTCTAATTTCAGATATATTCATATGAGGTAGATGGACAGATGGAGGAAAAGACAAAATCTACTACAGGTGTATTTTCCTTTTCAGTAAGATGGATGGGGCAGAAAAATATATATACTTCATCTTGATGATCAAATGCCTTCCGCTTACCATAATTATCAGTAGATGACACATAAGTAAGAGTAACTAGAGCTGCATTCTCAATTATATGTAAGAAAACACAGAGCTTTGCAAGGGTCTTGTATAAAGTGTTCCTCGTTCCAACATGAAAATGTATGTAATAGCCATAATATGAGAAAGCAAATAAAAATCTTGGTGCAGCATGAAGAGCTATACATATCCTCCATATATATTTTTGTGGGGCATATCCTCCAATAGCCGAACTAATGGAAGGTAAGTAATTTGATACCTGAAAATGGAATTTAAAATTCAGTTTATTAGTCTGTAGACAGAGAGTGTAGTTATTAATGTCACAGTATATGTTTTTCTAAAGATTACAATTACGACTGAGTTTTGAACAAATTAAAATATTTCAGAATATAATGGGTGTTAAAGTAAATATATATATATATATATATATATATATATATATATATATATATATATATATATATATATATATATATATAATGGTTCAATATATTTCTCTGAAACAAACAAGATGTCATAAAATGATATTACAATTGAACAAATTAAAATATTTCAGAATATAATGGGTGTTAAAGTAAATATATATATATATATATATAATGGTTCAATATATTTCTCTGAAACAAACAAGATGTCATAAAATGATATTACAATTGGCAAAAATTAAACTTTAAAATAAAAAAAGGAAAAGAAAACAAATTTATATGCTGTAATAACTTAGTGTTTGAAGACCAAAATTTTCTGTTAATATTTCAAGATTTTGTTAATCTGTGTCTTGATTTATTTTATTAAATAACATACAATGAAAATAGCTTTAAATACATCGAGGAAATTCGAATGTCTCAATAAAACTATATAATATTCGATTATTTAATCTGGGATACTCACGCGACAGTGTGTCCAAGTAGATTCTTTGAAATTATATAAAATCGACAAAAGTATACAAATAAGAGCCCCTAACAAAGGCAAAAGCGCTGCAACAGTAACCAACAAAGAAAAGTTAATATTGAAAAGTGCTTGCTGTCGAGGCATCGTTGACGGAAGTAAATAAACAAACCATAGTCTCACAAGTGTTTTGATTTTTCATTGAAACTCGGTACATCGATTCCAAGCTTCTTGCAAACATCGACGACTGCTTATAACGGTCTTGACACTTCAACGTGTAAACATTTTCCCCAAAGGAAACAGAAAGGCTTTATTAGAAAGAAAACCATGCTTGACCCAACCCTCTTTGAATACGGTTGGTTCCCGATATGCAGCACTACAATGAATTGAAGGATAAGTGGGTTTTGTGTCTTCAGCGTTACTGACAAAGATCAAAATGTCTAAACTTACTCAGCAAGACAGAAAAGACTTGGAAAAATTCACCAAGTTTTTGATTTATAAGAGTTTGCAGATCATCGTGCAGTCCAGATTGGGAGAAAAAATCCAGACAAAGTCCAAGCCATTTTCCTCTGGTGCAGATTGGGTATTCCATTAATTTTCACTATCATTTTTTTTTCCTTCAATTTTAATCTGTGTAACTTATTTAAGTTGCTTACACAGATAAGCAAGATTGTTTGTTTGCTTGTGCATGTCCTTTCAAGAAATTTTCTGTTATACATGGCCACCCGTTGCCTGTAGAAGGCTGTAAATTTAAACCTGTATTTGGCACTTGTGGGCTTGGAGCAGTGAGGAATCTTTTTCGTGTCAACACTTACTGTGACATGGGACCTCGGTTTATACTGTTTCATTCAAAGAACTTGTCGCCATGTTTGCAGGAGGGCCCAAACCTGTGACAGGGATAAAGATCAACTCCCTATTCCACAGCTTAAAAGCAAAAAAAATTTTTTTTATAGATCATGAAAGCAGAAATACCTTAATAGTGTGCGAACTTGATTTACTTACACTTTTTACATCATGCACACCTTTCTTAATCAAAGGGGTGTAGACTTTTGTTGTACACCAGGAGTACACTTTCCTACACCAAATTCAGGGCATGTGTTGAAAGGTGTAGCACCGAGTCCAACATGGCGCAGAAAAGTATGATTGAAAATTTGACAAACAATTTTATATAAATATAACGGATTAGAAATCACATTCAAGACTTCTTTTGTATGTAAGCAGTTACTATGACATGATGTTTTAATTGTCTTTAAATAATTTTGTCAATTCCTAATAATATTTTACTTTTTTTCTCCAGACCTGTATAAATATTCTCCATCAGCCCGAAACTGGCAAGATACAAAACTTATACTACACTGCACTTTGTAAAGTGCATTTGATTATACAATACAATTTTTTACACCAGTGTACACTAGTGTACACAGAGTTAAGCTAAATCAAGGACACCAATTATGTTGATGGTGTAACTGTTCGGGCAAGTGCAGAACTTTGCAGAACCACTCGAGACATTTGGAAGGTCTAGACTGTGACGTCACATGACATCATATGTTAGTTGCATTTCCATAAAGAATTAGTCTAAAAAGTGCAAATTTTTAACCCCCCCCCCCAAAAAAAAAAATTGATTTACTATCTGTTAGCAATATCCATTAATTAAATCAAGGTGAATTTAATTTTTGGAGAACTTTTGTTTACTGAGAAAATGTAGTTTACGGCAAGATGCATTTCACAAAGGATTGTGGGTCCAGAGGTTACTGTGGAAAATTTTTTATTTGGATCAAGGTGAACAGTCAGAATTTTCTCTTCGCCCGGGCTCCTCTTAGAGCTGGCAGTGCGAGTGGAGCTTTCTAAAATTTTGCATCACTGTATTAAGTTTTTATTAATTGAAACAAAGAATTTGAATGATTTTTATACTCTTTTCTTATATTACAGTTCAACCTTGCAATAAAAGATGTTCAAGAAGTGCATGCAGAAACAAAAAAGGCTCTTGCTGGACAGACAGCTCTTCTAAGTCAAAATGTCTGTGTGGAAATTTCTCTCAAAACCTCTGAAGGAGATTCAATGATTTTAGAGACGTGGTACATAGGCTTGAACAAAGACACCTGTGATGTTAATGCTCGCGTTTCCTACACGGTCTACAACCGCATGGGTAGTGCTTTGAAGACATTGCTCAGTATTTCTCGAGTTACACCAGCATACAAACTTTCTCGTCAACAGGGTGTGTGCTCGGATGACTACGTGATTTGTTACCGCTTTTACCAAGGAGAACCACAGTTTTTCATGCTTGGAGACAATTACCAGACTATTAAGGTGGGTACAGTGCCCACCCCTGTTGGGACCATTTATATGAACCTTGCCTACAGAACCAAGCTCCTTATAACTCCACAGAAATCATCCAGGGAGATCCTGTTTGAAGTAAAAGATGATCACTTTAAGAAAGACAATAGTCCCAGGAGGCCAACTACGCCAAAACCATGTTCTCTAGGATATAGAAGGTATACAGTTAACCCCCTCCAAGGCGTATACACATTTCTATGCTTCTCGTATGAAAAGCAAAGGTACACATTATAATCAGTTCACAGTACTCAACAATGATTTAATTAAAATAATTAAAGAAACATAGGACAGGCTGGGGAACAACATGGTGTTGAAACGGCAATTAATGTCTTGAAAACTGACGATTAAATTTCTCCTACGATGTCAATCTGGAGAGCCTTGATCATGTTGGTTATCTCAGCGTCAGCTTATAAATACAAGGGTTGATCCATAAGTAATTTCACATCTCACAAATGCTATAAAGTCTTTAATAATCAAATTTTATCGACAAAATTTGACATATACTGATACTCCTATCTATTTTGACGTTGGCCTTAAAATTTCATAAGATTATATAAAATACTTTTTAAAATTTTAAGGTAAACACAACGTTAGGTTTTGTCTACTTTTGTAACTACTGACGTAGTTATGACTTTACTTTTCGGCACTCATTTTCAGTTCATCCCGATACCTTTTTAACCTCTCAAGTGCTTCATTTTAATAATGTTTGTTGTCATTTTGCCATTTAAGCCATCTTGTTTTGAGTTGAAGTAGTAAAATTATTTAAACTTTGTCTATATATAAATACTATTTCTAAATTCATTCCATTTTGCTTAAATCTAATGTATCATGAGATTTAGAATTAGTGTCAAAGGGAAATGCCATTACAAAGTTGTTACATGTACATTCTTGCTGTGCAGCGATAGACGAGACCTAACATGGTGTTTATTTTAATGTTTTATAAAGTATTGCATATATTTGAATGAAATTTTAGGGCAAAAGTCAAAATAGAAAGAGATATTAGTATGAAAAATTTTGATGAAATCTTTCCATTATTAAAGATTAATGGTAGTTGTGACATTACTTTTACAACCCTCATAGATAGGTGAAAAAGCTAACACTTCAGATTTTATTTTGTATTTTTTAACTTGAATTTTTGGGAAATTCTGTTAAAATTTTCACATATTTTAATTTTTTCTGACTAACTAGTTACGCATTTTCTAACAAATTACCATCGTTCCAACCTAGTAACTGGTTAACCAATTACAAACTGCCAGCCCTAATATTGATATAAATATACAAATATTACCAGATATAGCAGGAAAAGTGTATCAAATAATTGCTATCAATTTTCATCCCAAGCAGTGATAAAGTGTTACTTTCTTGTTTATGGTATTTAAATCAGTCAAATTATTTTTAAGAAACTTAAAGTAGTTCATGTTTCATTTCAGTATTATAGCTGGTGTCCCTTAAGTTGTAGTCAGATTAATAAGATTAACTTGTTTGAATTTATTTGTTGATTATATGCAAATCTTCTTGAAAACAAGATGGAGCCCCCCTCCCCCCCCCCCCCCCCCCCCAAAAAAAAAAAATGTTTCTTCAGCTATTTTACATGTTTTATAAACTAGTTACTCAATGCCTAATAAATCTTTATTTAGATCAAAAGGTGCTGACTAATTTTAACTAAATATATAAAAGTATGGTTGCATGTATATGGGGAAAATTTTTAAGAGTAAACACATTTTTGGCTTAGAATTCTATGAATTAGTGCTAATTTAAAGAAAAAAATTGCTTCTCATTTTGCGATGTCCATTGCATTTTTGCATATAGCAAAATCATGAAAATGTGAAGTTTGAATTCTTAGCAATTCAATCTAGTAGTTAGCATTATTATTCAGTGAAACAGATTAAAATGTTATAATGTACTATAGATACCTTATTTTCAAGTACTTTTCCACTCAGTGAGCTTCTCAGGAAGTGAAAATTTAACTGATAACATTACTCCAAGTCACTTTTTAAATAAGTACAATTTAACATTTATATATATTTTTTTCACAATTAAATTTTTACTAGAGTTTTAGGGATGGTGTCTTGCTATGTTTATTGTTGAAATTTTTTTTTTTTTGAGGGGGAGGGGATGGGGTACTTAGAAGGATAATTAGATAAATAGGGTCAAATACTTATTTCACTTATTTACCCTTAATACAACTGTTACAGGTAAATTACTTTGGGAATTAACAGGAAACCAAAAACTGAAAAAGTGGAAATTCAAAAGTGCTCTTACGTCATGTACATTGTAAACAGTCATATGTTTAATGTACTTTCCATATGTAAGATTTTTAATTGTATTTCCTGTTAGAGCAGGGTAATACACTAATTTCATAAGTTACTATTTGTGTAAAGTCTATTATTAATCAAACTTGTTATCAATATCATTTTGATACAAATTATGTGAGTTGAAAGAAGGATTTATCTTAAAAATCATGTGCACTTCTGGATGTCATGAGAGACATAAATGTATGTAATACATGTACATGTATATATATATACTCATATATATATTATTTTTTCAGAATTTATCATTACAGTACATAATTTTAAGATTAGTAATGTAAAAAAAAAAATGTTTTCTTATAAATTGATAACATTAATTCATTTTTGATTATTCAGATACCAACCATTCATGAAATTTTTAAAATGTTTCTGTGATATTTTGTCGAAAATTTCCAATTTAAAATGTTGCTCTATATGTCATGTTTAAAGTGGTTATATATATTTGCATTTCCTACAGTATAGGTACCGGTAATCACAAATTTATTTTATAATTTTATAGGAACAGTACATCAGAGGATTTGTTTGGAGAAGGGTATGATGGACAGGACTTGTGCTCCACCACGTTTGACAACAGTCCTGCGGAGGCGTTCTTCCATGGTATGTTACACAATCCTCAGCAGTTGTCCGCCCCTCAGCAGAAGACGGTCAGCAGAACACTAGCAGATGACTGGGAGGGAAAAGAACAATACAGGAACAAACAGGAAACGTGAGCTTACTCTGAAGTGTTGATTTATTTGCCTAACAGAAATGAAAAAAAAATTAGTTTTCATTACCTTTGAATTCTGTATTAGATGTGGATGTTTATTTAATAAGCCCTGCATGTTAAGGAGAAAATGCTTATGCATTTTATCTTTAAAAAAAAATGATAATTTAAATATTGGGATATACAGGTATACATATGATTAATATATATTCATACATTTAGCATGTTTTCAAGAAATATATACATTTGCAGGACAAATACCATTTTCTAAATCTTTGATGTATGTATGTTATATTATGTTTCAGTGTTGAAAAACAGCTAAGTTTTACCTCATACCAGAGGATAGGAGCATTTGCTCAAAATAGGAATTCCAAGGAGATCAAAAATGACTTTGAAGATGTACCGTTTCTGAGCTTACTTCAACCAGAGAGTAAACCTTCAGAGACAAAGACTGAAATATCGGGGGACCAGAATCATCTGGGGTCAAATGACAAAGTCTCTAAGGAGAAATTGAGTGGGGAAAAGGCAATAGATCAGGCTTTGTCACCCTCAGAGAGTGTATCCAGCAATACGTCAGCACCAGATGACTTTGTCATGGTGGAATTGGTATGTTATATGTATATATATCAGGTTTTAAGCTGAATGCAGGATCGTGGGAACCATAAACTCTAGACTTTAAACTTGATCATTTGCTCAAATAAAAGATGGAGGTTTCATGTTAGGTCTTGGTCAATCAAGCATCATGAAATAGAGTCCAATGTAAAAAAGTATCTATTTAAAAATTTTGTAGCTCAATTTTACATTAATTTTCTAAATATAAAATAGTAAAAAAAAAGTATAAATATTCAGATTTTGTTATAGAGCCTGACAATTCATTTTTCTCCATGTATATTACAGAAAACTCCCTTTGCTGGGGCTGATCCTAACACTGACCTGGGAACGTTTTACAGAGAATGTCAGGGAGCTCCACAGCTAGCCATGTGTAGTGGGGAAAGCAATGTCACTGAAGCTCTAGAGGAAATATCTTGTCAGTTACAGATGTTTGAGTCGAACATTGAAGGATTTGATGATTTTGTTACCTCAATAACAGAGAGTGTAACTGTGGAGTAACCTATTCAATTTCCCCCCAAAAATTCAGAGTTCAATGGCTATTGTAATGTACTTGCACATACATTTGTTAGTGCTTTCCTGTGTGCTTCATGTCAATGATGTTGTCACTATTTTAAGAGTACCATTTGGTTTTGTCAGTATATCATACTGTGTTAAGAGAATCAAATGTTCAAAGTAAATCTCAACTGATTGAGTCAGAGATCAAAAATTCAAAGGCTAGTACATTGTTATATCAAAATGAATGTTTAATTACCAATTGACTTTTCAATATCATAATTTAATAGTAGTTGGAAAAACTCTTGATGGATTGATGGGTTTGACAATACTGTTCTCTCAATAAGGAAAAACATGATGATTTTGTGATTGGAAAGCTAGCTATTAAGGTCATGCTCTGAATTCACACCTGTTTTACCCTCTTTAGCAACCACATAAGAGAAGCATTTCAAATTCTAGTCTCTAAATCACTATAAATTATCACATATATGTTAAAAGAAGAAGTCATTTGAAAGTTGAAAGATCAAAGTCAAATTCATTACCTGTAACACTTTTTACAGTTTGTTTGCCACATAGGAAAGACTATATTTGTTAATTCATTTTTTCATACTGTATTTTTCTCAGATTTTTTAGGTGAATATGGGAAAAAAAACATACATGTATATATATTTTGAAACCCACACATCAAGTTGAGATTGTATTTATTTCATGTGTGTATGTATATATATATATATATATATATATATATATATATATATATATATATATATATATATATATATATATATAGATATATATTTATATGTATAGATATATATATATATATATATATATATATATATATATATATATATATATATGTATGTATGTATAAAGCCTATGTGGGGGATACTTTGCTTTGTGGTGCTTCTGTTTGTGATAAGTGATTGCTTTCACCAAGTAAACCTTATTTTTCTGTAAATATTGAGGGAGTGACTGAATTACATTTGTGGTCTTGAAACTTAATTGTGTTATTACACATACACAGGAAAGAAGTGGGTGATGCTTTACTTTCAGTGCATTATATGAGAAGCCTATAATTAAAGGGGCTGGGACATAGATTTGAAGCTCATATTTTCTAAATGATATCGTGATTTATATGTTGCTAGAGCATTTCACACAAAAATATATAAAAATTGTGTTAAGAAAATTCTTTTATCTGGAGATTATTAAACCTAGGATTTTTGGGACATGTTTGATTGACAAATATCTTTGCACTTTCACAGAGTAAACTTTATCAATAATACTTAAGAAAAGTAGAAATTTTGTTGTGTATTGATGAAAAATATAAAAACTATAATCCAGAAAGTTCAGAGTAGAAATGTGAGAGAGCAAAACCAACTCACCAGTATTGTCAGTCCGTGCTCAGTGATGTGTGCACACTTTACAAATTGAATACGCCCGGTAAAACATAGATACATGTACTAACAATAACAGAGCTTGTGCCCCGTTTCCAAACACAGATGTTAGACATGATGATATGCAGAATGTCGTTGTCATTGAATTCTTAGAATATTTATGTAAGTTCAAATCGCTAAACTTTAGTTATTTTTTAAATAAAAATTAAGGCAATTAAAATTGTAAACAATGCAACTGTGTCCAGTCCCCTTTAATATACATGTATTGAATTTTAGTTGATTATGTGATTATAAGCCTACTGGATAGGCTGATCTGCCAATCAAGCAACAATGGGAGATGTTTGCATGCTAGTCAGCATTATACCTATATTTTGAAATAGCAGACAAGTTTAGTATGTTTATGACAGTGGAGAGAGTGACGTAGGACATGTGTGTACATTATTTCATGCAGTTACATGTAATGCATCTTTGCCAATTTAAGTGCAATTTTGTTTTATTCATCTTTCAAATTGTTAAAAAAGCATAATTTGTCCTTTTATGGTAGTAATACTTACATACTAAAAGTGAAGTGTGGCTAATTTTCTGCACCATTTAATGGAGAATGACTCTTAGCTAAATTGAATTATTTTTCAATCTTGTCATGAAAATATTAAAAGTTGAAATAGATGAAATTCAAGGAAACTTATACATGAATTCCAACTGGGCAAACTTTCAATCATTGTAGTAGACAAATGTTTCCAAAAGAAACTGCAGATTTTTCTAGTTTACAGTTATCTCCCTTAACAAGGTTATTTTTTCTTTTTCATCAAACACATTCCTTGGTGGTCATGGTGTTTTAATTCTTTTATGCTTGCTTCACTATAAAATTTGCAATTTGAAATCTGACATTGAAAAATGTGCGAACATGACTTGTTCATGTACTTTGGAAAAGAAAAAAAATGTAAATAGAAATATGTGCATTTTTGAAATAGAAATATTTTCTTGTATTTTACATTGCATATGTTTTTCAAAACTGGGCCATAGTTGCCTTCCATACTTTCTCTTCAAAAGAAATCAAAATGTGAGCATTAAAAAATGTGAACCATCTAGTATGTTCATAAAAGTTGATATGCTCCCTCTGTAGTATGGATGAAGTGTTACACATTGTTAAATTATTCCTCTTATTCTGATAAATTCATAAAATTGGTATATTATTTTTTTCAGTCACTGTCATGTCATATATGAGCAAGTTATACATGTCAGAAAATGTGAGCAGAACCAGTATTATATGAGATATTTTTTTATCCCAGCTGTTTTATTTTTGTCTATTTCTTACTCAACTTACAACAGAAAAGAATCAGAAGACCAAGTTTATGGTATCTTATGATCATTTGATTTTGGCAAGCTTTAAATAATTATGGCAAAATACATGTAGCCATAATGGCTGATCCTCAATCAGAACCTTGTTTTTTTTGTGTGCGTGCGTTAAATGCTTTCAATAGTTGATTAAAACAGCATTGGATGGAAATTTCCAGCTATTAATTGATCAAATAGTTCCTAAGAATTAATACTAGTTCCTAATAAGTTGTGACTTGAAATGGTTGAAATTGGCTAAAATTAGGGATAACAGATGACTAAACATTAGAGCAGTGTTTTATTTTTTTGTACTGCAAATTATTATGTAATTATAAATGTTCATGGAGGTGTATAATAAATGAAGAGATTTATTACTTTGTTGGATTCTTCATGGAGATCTTTTCTTTTTACTAAAAAGGTGAGGTCATGAAAGAAAGGATGTTACAAGTATATGAGTTCTTTGATTGGGGTATTTTCCCCTGCTGATACAAAACAATTCATTATTTAGCTTAAGGATATATTGTGACAAATATGCCCAATTTCATTCAATACTTCACTGGTCATGGTAGCCTAGTGATTGGGCGTTCACTTGGTGATCAGGAGGCCCAGGTTCTATTCTCCTCAAACCTAAGATGTAAACGTTAGGTAGTGACTGTTCCTTTGCCAAATGCCCGGCATAAGGGAAAGTCACGGGTCTTTCGGATAAGACCTTAAAAACCGATGTCTTGGTAGATGTTGGCACGATAAAGAACCCTAACTGCTCAATCATGTTACCATTATTATCTTTAAAGTCTGGACATGACCTTGTTTTCAGAAATTGGCCAAGGTCAAATTTTATTGGGTAGTGCATTTTACCTTAATCTTATCTCTCCTCATTCCAAGCTTAAAGTCTATGAATGTCTAAATGTTCTCAAGTTATGGCCAGCACCATACTTGGATGATATTGACCTTGATATAAAAAAAAATGGGTCAAGGGTACATCCCGTCTTAATCTAATCTTTCCAAGTTTCAAGTTGGAAGTTTTAATGTAAAGGGTTCTCAGTTATATGGCCTGAACAATATTTAGAGGATGAAGAATTGAAAAGAAAATTGACCAAATTAAAATGGCTCCCGCTTGATGTGGAGACGTAAATTGAAAATAAGAAGACATCTTCTGTGCATAAGAATTTAATGAATTTTCACAGAACATTAATTTTGTATCTAACAATGAATTCTATACCAATCATATTAATTAATCCACTGTAAAATTCTGCATTCAATTTATGAAATCATAAAACTACATGTAAACTTAATTGCTAAAGAGCATGCATGTACATTTGGTACTTGCAATAATAAATAGTACATGTACCTCAAATTTTTAGTGTCTAGTGAGACTGTAGCTTTACCAATTCAGAAATGGTTGGAAGAAAATGGATGCTTTTGACACTTCCCTTCCAAACTTTACAAGAAGTGTGACAACATATTTTCATATTAAAAAAACAAGTAACAGCAATACCAATGTTTAAATTGTCACAGAAGAGAAAATCTTTAGCAGTAGTTTGTTTAGATAATCTAGTAGATTATAAATCATTGAGTTGAGTAGTGATCATCCTCTCCATATGATCACTTAATTAAAAGAACTTTTGAATAAATTTACCTTTTCTACATAGATGCAATTAATACATGTATATGTTATTTTTGAACTAAATAACCAGGTCTGTTAAACTTGTAAGAATTTGGTCCATACACATACAGAAAGGGTATTTCATGAACGAAAAGTCAACAATATGTACTCATACATTGTATATGGTAGTGAATACTCTTTTTCAAACCATAAATTGGTAAATTTTGACTGGAATAAGAGGGGTGAAGTTCTTGATTGTCCTGATATCAATTTGTGAATGTACTACATACACATACTGTAGTTGTCTACAATATACATAATGGCGTGTATTTATTTAAGCTGGAATCATATTTTGATGCCTTACGCCCTGTTTACTTTGTGCCAATACCTGATCATGGCCAAAATATGATTTCACATACACTGTGCAATAAAGATGAGATGAAAGAAACTATAAAAATTCAGGGTTATGCCAAATAGTCCATAAACCACAGATTCACCATATTGTAAAAACACTTAAATACACATGTATAAGCACAAATACATGCATGTACAGTATACTATTAAACTTTGAGGTTATCTAGCTATTTTCATGGATTACATAGGCCCTTTGTCTTGTGTATATTCTTAGCATCCAGGGGCCCATTTTACAAAAGAAGTTACGAATAAGATGAAAACCAAGTTCATTTAAAATTTTGCGAAATTATTGATTCTTTTTAAAATTCTGTTTAAAAAATTGCTTGCAATTGCATACAAATATCTTTTCAAATTAAAAAATAAAGATTCAAACCAATTTTAAATTAAGTAAAAAAGAATTATTTGCAAAATTACATTTTGGTCTTATTCCTATGTTCTTTTTTAAGATGGTGCCCAGGATGAAAATGACATTTGTGCAAAATAGCATTTCACAGAATTTTTTCACAGCAAATTCACTTAAAATTTGTCTGTAGGAATTAATGCATTGGGGGGGGGGGGGTCCATAAAAATAAAATCAATCTACCAGGGGTTCAAAGATGTGTTCAATCTACAATTATTATAATATTTTGTCAACTTCATTCAAGGATAATACATGTAAATATTTGACACAATTTACAAATTTATCTTTACAATCATTCAATAAAGTGCTTCAATTTATTTCACTTGAAAAAAAAAATGGCTGAAAAATTGAAACCAATATATGTCAAAAATATGGTAGAAACATGGTTAATTAATATTCACTTAGTTAATTAATCAATACATGCACCAACATATTTGCCATTAATATACTAAAATAACTGTCATTAAAAAATCCCTTTGTAGGTGAAAATTAGGAAAAAACAATTACAAGTATGTATACAAAGATGTTTAAAAAAATGAACACAATGAACAAGACATACTGATAAATACCAAGTTTTAATGATATGTTAATTATTAATTAAAAAAAAAAAGTGGTTTGTATTTTCTGCAGGTACCTTCATATGATGTTAAGTGTTCCTGAATATACATGTATTTGGCTACAATGGAAAGGAGAAACACATGATGGAACATCTACAGGTGCCATAAAATCAGAGCCTGAGGCCTGTTTAACAGAGTGAACATGCATTTGCGAGGGTTCACCAAAATTCCTTATCCCTCCAGCAGAAATGCTCGCAAGCACTTGAAAATGTTTGCTCAGTTGAACAGGCCTCAGATTTATTAAACATCTTGTAACATATAGGTATTAAACTGTGGAGCAATTGAAAGTAATAGCAAACATTGGATGAAATCTAATTTATCCAGACATAAACCTCATACAATGTCCACCAGAACCACAGGCACCAAGTTCAAGGTTTGTGGTACCCACATTATGATATTTACGTGAATCAGTATAAACCAATATCAGTGACCAAAATCACACAAGTTTGGTGCTTGTCTATAACAAATGACATATTTGTTAAATACTAAAAGAATACTTTTTTTTTTTTATGTCTGAGTAAATGCTTAATATTTATGTAGAGTGTATATATACATACAGTAAACGTACATAAATTAGCACACTCAGAATTTAGCATAATCTTCCTTATCAACTGATTAATGTAATCATATATTAGCACATTTGTAGCAAAGCTTCTATATATATATTTTTACTCATACTCATAGTGTGTACTTGAATTAGCAGAAAAGAAGCAGTGCACAAGGTGCTAAAATACTGCTAAATTATGTATGTTTACATACTTAATAGTAAAACACTAGTGTTAAAATGTCATTAAAGTATAATACTTGTTTCATAATTTTTGAACAAGTTTCTGATAATTAAACATTGTGAATAAACCGATTATTCCTATATATTACACCCATCTATAGTACATTTTGCAAATAAATAGTATATCATATCTACTAATAATATCCATACATGCATACACACTACCAGTCATAAGATGAGGTATGTAATGAAAAGTAAGATGTAATACCAATCTGATTATAACCATATCTTAAATTTTGTCGACTACAAACCCACGATCCTTGCTTACAAGATTGCAGCGACATTCAAAATTTAGCTTTAATACATTGAATATGGGCCTACAGAGGTAAATGCACACTCATGAAGCTATCTGATATAACACATTCATACTTTTGATATAAGCTTTCAACAACGCGTGTGTAATTCACATAAATAAAACCTATGGATATGTACAGATTAAAAACACTGGTGACCTGGAATGGTTGAATTCCTCTGAATATCTTGCAGTATACAAGTTTATATTTGCATGTTAAGTTTTATGTAATCATTTAAAAGTACATGTTTGGTACCTCTACAAAAACTATTTATAAAATGATTTGAACTGTAGTAAATGACTTAAGAAAACTGTTTTTGACAAATCTCAAAGATTATACATAAATGAAATACAAGTACAGTACCTTTCTTTGATGTAAAACTATTGTCTTCTGTGTAAAGTTAATTTTTTTTTTATCATGTTGATATCTAAATGTTACCTTATCTGAAAAAAGGCTACAAAAATTTCAACTAAAATCAGCAATGACTAATATAATCTCAATATGAAATAACAGTTTGCAAAATTCATACAGTTTATATAAATACAGTGGCGCCTCGTTTATCCGGACGCCTCTGTCCCCAAGGAAATCGTCCGGATAAATGAATCATCCGGATAATTGAATCACATCTCAAAAAGCATTCTCTAAGTATGTATATATGCACATTCTTGTTTCAAATGTGACAGCAAAGAAAAAAAACTTTTGAATTATATTTTGGTTAATTGTTTTAAAAGCAGTAATTGATTAATGAAAAAATATATTAAAATGTAATTTACACAATAAAAAAAAATGGATGGGCAATTTTATGCCGAGACCTCCTTTTTTAATTCGCCTTCTCTTTGGCATGTGACTTCATGGGTTGAGCAAATTTTGATCTACTGTTGTTTTATTTCGCCATATATTATAATTATTGAAGTTCATATGATATGACAGAACTGTTCAGCAATGTTCAAGTATAAACTAACCCTGTATATTCCCCGTATATTCATTACACAGGGTTACTATAAAATTAACTGAACACTGCAAGCTAACTCAAACAAAGTATTAAAAACATTCGTAAACAAAAGCCATCTTCATGATTATCAATATTATTTTCTTCTACAGACGCTAAGTTTGAATTTCGATCATTAAAAAATACCTTAAAAACTTTACTAATCAACTTCTGTACGTAACGCCAGTTTTATATGTAATGGACGTTTGTAAACGGTGGTGCATTAAATAGAGATATTTCTTCAGTTATGTACCTTTCAATACTGTCTTGTGGGGGAAAAAAGCGTTTCAAATACATTTACGTTTTTTAGAAATGGAACTTCGTATTTTAAACTAACGCAATCGACATTATAAAGAGCATTACGAAATCGCTCGTTATTTAATGTTCATTTTATTTACAACTCTTCAAAATTCTCCTGAATTTACCGATGTATATACGGTTAGCAATATGATTTTGAACGGATTATTATTTAATTAATGCACGGTGTCAGCTAATTCTCTGAGCTTCATAATAGAGATAAACGTGGGGTAAACACTCGCTAATTATAGACGCTATTGTTTGTAGGTCACAGGTAACCGCCTTCAAACTGACTGCATGGCCAATGTTTTTACAACAATTAACACCAATGCAAGATAAGTGTGAAAATGTCGTTTCTTGAAAAATTACCGTCCGGATAAACGAGTCATTTTTGAATGAACTATTATGTTTTGTAGTAGAAATAGACCGTCCGGATACGGAACGCGAATTTCCGGATTAATGAGACAAAATAACGTGGAAAAAATCGGTTCCCCAAAAATATCGTCCGGATGGTGAAGCGTCCGGATAAATGGCGTCCGGATAAACGCGGCGCCACTGTATAAACAATGATAAAAATACATCTGTACACTTACAGCTATTGTTTAACATTACTACAGCTGATAACATTTCATAACTTATCTTTTCAACTGACAACTCAACTACTGACTGACTGTGACTCAGATAGAATAGGTATGATAGTGTTTGACTACATGTATTGAGTGAATGGCAAGACGATATATCATCTAACTGTCAATATAAACATCTAAATGCATTGGAAATGAGTTCATCCTGCCATGGCAGATAACTGCTGTGCATCAATTTCATTAAAAAAAAACAACTAATGACTGTGTTAATGAAAGCTATTGTTAATTACCTTGTACATAATTTACTGATTGAATTTTTGTACCTGTCCATTTAATCATATGTTATGTTAAGGGAGGTAACTCCTACACTGAAAATCTTTTAAAAATGCTCATCAACAATAATTTATTTAAAATTTTGCTGTGTATACTAAACTTCAGTTGATACAATTCATTCTTAACTTTGTTAGAAATTTGTTATTACAGAAAAATTATATTTTATGAGCAGAAGTTTGCTCTTCCTTCAGTGATAAATTTTAAGCCATTACAAGTTCACATAAATTTTTTCATATTATTTTGTATATGTACATTGTTTATAATTTAAGCATAAACAGAATACATGTATGTCCATAGGACAAAAAACAGATAATAAATAAATTTCAGAATATAATTGTTAAATGCATGTAAATTCCTAAATTAAATGTAATTTCTTCCCCAATTGAATAAAAGCAGATCTTTTAGAAACAGCCATTTAGAAATTTGCAGTTACCGGTATAAAAAAAAAAAAAATCTTGAGTACCGAGTCATGTGATAAATGTAAAATCCCTTTCTGGTATTAGATAAGGGAACCTTAAACAACCAAAGAAAATACTTTTAAATGTTATAATACTACCAAAATACTTCTACCTTAACAATCATGTTAATATCCACTGTTACATGACTAGTAGCCTAGATAATGTCAATTTCTTCATAATATAAAACAAACAAATCAGAATTTGAACATTTCACAAGTACATTTAGTAAACAACACTCATAAAAAGAAAGACCAGACAAGTTTTTCCATCATTGCACATATCTGTAAAAAACTAAACAATAACAAACTAGTGCTCTCTCCTCATTGAACACTTTCTCCAGCTCCTTTTTTGCGAATCCTCAAACTTCTTCGTGTCCCATTTCGGTCATCATCTGAATCTGCAGTGATGACATTGGATTCTGGTGCGTCTCCGTTAGTGTAAACAGAATCTGAGATGACATCTGCCGCCAGAATTGATTTGTTCTTAAATTCTAAGTACGCACTGACATGATATCCCATGTTGGAGTATGCTATAACATACTCGAAGGCTGAGAAAAAACTAAATGCTGAAATGGAAAAAAAAATTTAAACATGTATATTTTGCTGACTTTGTGAACAATGTAATTAATATTAGATCTTTTATTTTGTACCTTAGCAACATATCAACAAACATGATAGCCTAAAGGAAAAAGTTAATTGATATATCAAAAGATTTACCACAGTAGCTGTATAAAAAAATCTGATACATGTTTAACAAATTTACTGATAAAGTGAACCATTTTGTGTCCATTAGAGTTTAAAAATAAACAAATATACTCTTTTATAATGCATTTTCAATCTTAAAATACTGAACGGAACTGATATTGTCTTTAATAAGTATTTATATTTGATATTCATTAGAAATCTTAAGTTCCCCAAGGAAAGTTTTGAATTTAATACCACCTTGAATATATTTGGTAGTCATACTTGAAGTAAATGATGTATATTGCAAATTTGTTATCCTTATATACACTTTAATAAAATTCCTTATTCGGATATAACGAATTATGGAAATAGTGAAGTAAATTCGCAAGTCCCAAGAACTTCTTTATAACTGAGTTTTACTGTACTTTAATAAGTTTGGCTTTGCAAAAGGATGTTGAATAAAACTACCGGTATATTTTCTCAAAATAATTACATAGAAGACTATAATATAAATATTACTAACCATATGCAACACAGAACACTCTGTGCAATACAAAAGCAGTCAAAAGGCCAGTTGTGGCTGTCATTATACAGGCAAACATTATCCACTTGATTTTTAAAGATTTTTTTTCCTGAAAAATAAACAATGAATGATTGTTGGGCTATTCTATATATTTTGACCTTGGAGTTTGACCTACATTTTAAAAACTTTAACCTTGGTCTTGAGCTGCCATATGGGGGTATTAGTGTTTCACAACCACATTTTATTCTTATTCTGACTTGAATATGGATAGGGATGGGGGATATATAATTAAAACAATAAGAGAGGGTTAAACATTTACCCTTTAAAACCCATTTATCTTACTCCTTATTCTTACTTGTACACCAGTGGGAAACACTGCTTAAATACTGGGATAAATACTGGGTTTTACCAGAGTTGTCAGGTTTAAAGTGTAGATCAAATGCAGCATCCTGAGGCATGCATGAAATTGAACTTACATAAAAGCAGTCCATATTTGTTAGTCTTGGGTGTGGATACAACCAGTGAAAAGGTTGGAATAGATTGACCTTAATGCTGTCATGAACCTTGCACAGAAAGGCAGAAATGGTGAATCCAGAACACTCTGACAATTTCTTTATTTCTTTGAGAAAAACAAGGGGATTTTTTTTAAGGAAGAGGCAGATGAATATTGTGGTCTTAACACCTCCCCCTTTTCATGTAGTTAAAACATGTAGCCAGGAAAGGGGGGGGGGACTTAAGGTATATATTCTTACTGTTGGTGTCAAGATATCTGTCCTGGTCCATTTGTAGATGAGGGTATTTAGTAACATGTAACAGCAACTGGCAACCATGAAAACCACAAATATCTTCTCATGAACAGCTATGAATAAAAATATAAATTATTATAAGCTTCAAATTTTCATCACTGTTAACTGTAATTTTTCCTACTGTTCTCAATACAGCTATAAACAACATAGATGAACTATTACAGTTGTCATGTTGAACTTTTACATTGTGTATATACTGTACTTCCTAATTTCTGCAAACACGTTTACAACACATTCATATTCCTGAGTAGGAATTAGGATATACATGTATATGATGCATGCATAGCTGTTACTTTATACTTACGATAATTTTCCTTGTTGGAAATGTAGGTCACACCAACTAAGCAGGAATTCTCAATAGTGTACAACCAGAAATTCACACTCAGTAGCTTCTTAAAGAGAGGCCTAAATTCTCTGTCAACATAAGATATCCTAGCCATGTAATAATTATAGTGCATGAAGCCCACAGCAAATCTAGGGGTGGCATGTAAACCAATACAGATCCTCCAAAAATATGCCCCTGGGGTGATGCCAGTAACTGCACTGATGGAGGGCACAACATTGGATGCCTGAATTGGGAAAAAAGTCCATATACAGAATATATTTATACACTGTTCATGTATTTATATCAACAAAGATATATATACAATGTACAGACTTTTAATAAGAAATCCTTTAATTTAAAAATGAGGTTCTGCAAAAGAATTTGATCAGATCATACATGTATATTGATCAACAGATTTACTTATTGTCAATTTTCAACATTAATCAGTGGTTGAGTTTAATAATGTACATAGTAATGCATTATGTGAATAACTAATTTTAATGAGACTGTTGCTCTACTGGTTTGTGATCATAACACAGGAGAAGAAAAATAGTAATTCCACTCAAAATTTTGGCAACAACAAAAATTTATAGAATTATGATACTTGATTTAGTCTTTGTGTGGCAAGTTTTATTGAAATTGGACTAAAACTGTTGGAATAGTAGCCTTTTACAAAATTAGAAACCCATATACAGAATTATACAATTATTCCTAGTGTAGTTTACCTTTTTTGAAACATGTCAGAACTGTTAGAAGAGTAGCATTTAGAAAGAATTACATAGAAATATCTATTTTTAGTAACCATGGCCACTGGTTCAAAGAGATATATATATATATATATATATATATATATATATATATATATATATATATATATATATATATATATTAAGAAAACAAATACATGTACACAGAATTATGTATCTTAGACAAGTGTAGTCTACTTGCATGTGTACATGTACTAAATTTTATTGAAATCAAATCTGCATTCAAACTGTAGTAGTATTTTGAAAGAATTTCAGAGAAATTTCTATATTGTTTTAGTAGCATGGGAACACCACTCTAGGAAATATAAAAAAAAACCATAAACAGAATTATGTATCATAGGGTAGTCTACTTGTGTTCCAAATTTTATTGAAATCTGCGACAAAATCTGTAAGAGTAGAGTTTTGAAAATTTGAAAACAAACAGATCTTTAGACAGACAGACGATGGACACCTTACCATTGGCTTTTCTGGTCTTTAACCAGTAGAACTAAAAATAAACATATACTAATGTGTAGTACACATGTATACCTTTTAGTTTTAGAAGGTAAGCATGGTAAGAAGTACTCAAAGTATAGAAGGCATCTTGCAATTCTCAGCTAAAGATAAACATCTGTTTTTATTTTTTATATATAACAATTATCAAGATTATCAGGGATGAGTACTCTCATTATCTGGGTTCTATAAAGGGATGCAGTAGCAAATGGAAGTTTACATATTTTTCTCCCAAATTTAAGACTATATTTCCTGCAAAAGAGTTTGCTATCTTGATTGGTCCCATACAACGGATGGCTAATACAGATGTTGTGGCTGCTTAATACTATATTGTATCAAACTTTAAGATTTGATGATTACCTGGTTACATGCACTGATGATGTTTATTGTATAGTAATGCATATTATATGAATAATTTGTTAGGACACATAGAATATATATGTAAATCACATAAAATTTCATGTTGTAATAACACAGCACTAATAAAGTAAATGCTTAGACACACAGAAAAATCTTCCATGCATGATAGTACATGTACCTATAGCACAACAATTTACAAAAATTACAGTCAATATCTCATCATTAATGCATAAAAATTACCTGCATTAAGTACACAAATCAGCAAGAAATTAGAACTAAAGATTTCATTATTAGATTTATTGGTTTCTTTTCTTGTGCCTGTTATTTTCAATAATTAACAAGATCTTATTTGCTGAGCAAGCTATAAAGTTTCCTTCTCCCCAAGCCACACTAGTGTAATTATAATTAATATGCATAAGTGCCATAAACACAGAATGATGTTAATTGCCACAAAACAAAGATTTTTATTGTGGCTGATAACATAATATCTTATTCAAGACAAAACCAAAAAGTATGGCTAAAACATCCATTAATACCCCTAACTCACAGGGAATACCAGGGTCTCCCTAAACTGCACTGGCCAATTATGGAGAATACTTTCTATTTTACTGTGTATTAATTGCCAAATGATAAACGTCTGGGCAATAAATATTATACACCCAAATCCAAACTGGAAATCAATATTAAAAAATAGAAAATGTATACTATAGCTATTTGATGCTAATCATAATATATGTGCATATAATTTTGATACATGTAATATTATTTTAATTGAGGGTGCTCATATTTATAGCATACTGTATTTCTTATAAATCTGAAGGAACCAGTACCTTTTTAGTATACTGTAATACACATGGAATAGTTTCATATAATAAGCGTATAATGTATGATAAAACACAGATGTTAACAATTACTTCACGGCTGTGGCTGTGTGCAAGATAATTTTAATGAGATACATGTTTACAAACTGTCAAGATACAGTGCCACACCCAATGATGTTGGAAATGTTTTAGTTCATATTATGAAATCAAAGCATCTATCTATGAATTAAAAAAGAGTTTACGCATGAATAACCATAGTACAGTACCTGACACACTGTCTCATTGACTTCACTAAACCGGAATATCATTCCATGCAGAAAACAGTACAGCAATGAAACCGCTGGTAAGGAAACAGTTACGACCGAAAAAGGCTTGAATGGAATGGTCAGCTGCACATCTTCGACTCTTTTTGATTCTAATTTCCCCATTTCATTTAAACTAAATTGTTCACAAGAGGAATGAAGACGGAAATTCAATATACCCTAATACCGGTGTTAATCAACGTTATAATCAACAGCACATCGGTTGGTGGGGAGAATATGGAAGGATCGTGCATAATATATTCGTGCATAAAATTATTGCATAAAATATGACTCGATATATATGTATATATTGTTCCCATAAAAGATGAAAGAAGAAATAATTGTAAACTTACTTTTATATTTTTCTATGATTCGTCATTATCATTTATGTGTTCTCGAATTTTAATTGTATGATATAACAGAGGGAAAAATATGGCGACGAAGGTGCACGTGTGTTTGTTTTCATTTTGTATTGTGGATTTGTAATTCGCTTAAGCATTTTTTTGTGTTAAAATATTCATTTTGTAATTACGTATTATATTGTTTAACATTATTTTACATTGGGTTATTTCTTTATAAGAGTTAATCTTGAATAGAAATTGAAATGTTTACAAACCCAAAGTGCAAGTGAGCTACAATTTAGACCACCTGAGCTTAACAGGTCTGGTACTAGATTTAGCTACGTAGGTTGAATTACCTACATAGCTTTATTTACCCACCTGAAGTATCTTAAATAGCTACTAAATCAAACTTATTTCTTAAATTAGTTTTTTTCCCCAGAAAGTGCAGAAAAATGCACTTTGATGCAATGATAATCTTCAACTTTGAACTCATCTGAAAACAATTCATTAAAAAATCCCTCTTGGAGATGTGTCTTTTTCTGCGCAATTTCAATCAAAGTTCTTAAAGTTTTGGAGCTATATACAACAGTTAATTTGTGACCAAACAGTTACTTCTTGAATGAAATAACAAAGAAAACCATTTCTGGTTAACATGAGCACAAAGCGAAGTAATCATACTTATCCAGGCCTCATCGCACACAAGGAAGTGTACAGTTACTCAAACAATGGCAATACATCTTTTCCTTAAAAGTGTTCAAAAAGCAATGTTAAAACTATCTCTGTTTTGGACATGTTGGATTGCTTTTTAAATAATACCTAGAATAAATATTAGTAATTTACTTGCGATTTTTTGTCTTTTTAAAATAAAAAGCAAAATTGTGAAATGTTGCCTTGAAGTAGCTAAATAAAGCTACCTGAGGTAGGTAAATAAAGATACGGTAGGTAATTTTAGCTACATAGCTAAATATACTAATTGTACTGGACCTGCTTAAAGCTCAAGTGAGCTTTTCTGTTCACCTGTTGTCCGGCATCCGTCTGTAAACCTTTCACATTGTCAACTTATTCTCAAGAACCACTGGGCCAATTTTCACCAAAGTTGGCACAAAACATCCTTGAATAAATGTAGTCCGAAATCTCTGACGTTTTCTAAGCTTTTTTCACAATTTTGATATTTTACTTGCCAGGAAATCATCAGAACCGACGCCATTACAAAAACTTTAAATTTTGCCGTCTCCAACTGGAGTTGATTTTCGATACTTGTGAACAGATTTAAATGCCGAACTCACAACTTATCAGTAGCACAATGCTTTTAGTACTCACCAATATCAATGAAAAGAAAACAACACTCCACATTTCAATACAGGATTTGCAAGATTTTAAAATGCACAAAATGAAAACAAAACAGTCTGATAAAATGTTTTCATTGGATTGTATATTTTATAAACGAACCATAAAAACAATGTTGGTGAGTACTAAAACAATTGTTCTACTGATAAGTTGTAAGTTTGACATTTAATTCGGTTTGCAATTATTGAAAATAAACCCAAGAATGCTGCCTCCGGATTGAGGCGGCAAATTCCCAGTTTTCGTAATTGCTCCGGTTCTGATGTTTTCCTGGCACGTAAAATATCAAAATCGTGAAAAAAAACCTGGAAAACATCAGATATTTTGGACTATGGTAAAGGGATTCTTAAATTTTTCGAATGAAGGACTTAGTCCGCTTCCAAGGAGAGATGATCAAGAAAAGGCAAAATTAGGGTGAGGTCGTTAAAAAATCTAGTCAAGATTCACTTGTCCAGAAAAGGTGAAACTCGTGGGGGTAAGGTACGGCCACAATAAGGGATCAATGTATATAAGAAAGTCTTTAAAAGAACCACTGGACTAGATAATTATGTTGAAAGTTATGTGGAAGCTACCTGAGGAAATGTAGATTCTAAATTGTTCAAATCATGGACCCTGGAGGTACATGTAGGGCCACAATAAATCACCAAAGTATTACATTGAAATATATAAGAAAAATCTTTAAATATCTTCTTCTCAAGAATCACCCTGCATTATTAAAGATGAAACTTATGTGAAGTCTTCCTTAGGAAGTGTATATTCTGACATTGAAAAATCTTCAGAAATTTCTTTTAGAAAAGCAAGTCCATGATTAGTCATTTTTGTATGGAAGCATTCTTGAGTAGTGTAGATTCAAATTTGTTCAATTCTTGACCCTGGTGGTGAGGCCACAATATGAGATCAAAGTTTTACATAGGAATGTACAACAGGGCCATGGTGACAGGTGCTCACTGTGGTCCATGGGCCTCTTGTTGTATCTTAAGACAGTGTGTCAATTTCCTTAATCTTGCTAGAAAAGTCACATATCAAGGGGAAATAATAAGGATGCAGTGACCATAGGATTGGATTCAAAGATCAAGAATCTGCTGCATTTCAGCATTTGAACATAATAGTTGATGTTTACATAGTTATATTGATGGAAATAACTCCTAAAAACTTTTTCTCAGAGTTATGAAATGCAAAAATTATAAGAATATCATATTAATTCTTAATAATTGTAATAAAGTGTAGATTCAAGTTCAAATCATACTTTGTGACAATCAAGTGCAGTATATGTATTTGTTGTGATTTCTGAATTCTTATCTATGCCTTTTTTTTCCTCAGACATTAGATGATGAGAAACCCAAAGATTTGAAGTTTAATGATTTGGTGGTTGATATTTCATTCCATCCAAACCGTGAGGTGATTGCTGCAGGACACATAGGAGGAAATGTAACAATGTAAATGACAATTTATAAACCAAAAAAAATCATGTTTGTTTAATATTTAGATGATATCTTTTACATGCTCTCGTACTTTCAAATACTTCTGTTCAGGTATGAACATATTCTCTTTTAAATATATGTCTTCAAATTGATGAATTGAGGAAAGCCATGTTTAATCATGTCCTTCTTTAGAGAGAATAACCTTGTGCAGTTTAAAAACAAATCAGTGATTATAATTTTGTTTTTTTGATCAGATTGTAAATAGAAAGGTTTATGTAGTATGGCTGATTGTCATATACATTATGAATGTTACTTTAACAGTCACACTTACTCCAACACTGAAGACAGTAATGAATTGATGAACTTAGAACATCACAAGAAAGCCTGCCGAGCTGTTAGATTCTCCAGCGATGGACTCCATCTCTACACAGCATCCAAAGATAAATCCATACAAGTTGTAGATCTTAACACAGGAGCAGTCAAACATAAAATCAAAGCTGCTCACAGGTAAACACTAGTCTCTGATCTTAACACAGGAGCAGTCAAACATAAAATCAAAACTGCTCACAGGTAAACACTAGTCTCTGATCTTAACACAGGAGCAGTCAAACATTAAATCAAAGCTGCTCACAGGTAAACACTAGACTCTGATCCTAACACAGGAGCAGTCAAACATAAAATCAAAACTGCTCACAGGTAAACACTAGTCTCTGATCCTAACACAGGAGCAGTCAAACATAAAATCAAAGCTGCTCACAGGTAAACACTAGACTCTGATCCTAACACAGGAGCAGTCAAACATAAAATCAAAGCTGCTCACAGGTAAACACTAGACTCTGATCCTAACACAGGAGCAGTCAAACATAAAATCAAAACTGCTCACAGGTAAACACTAGACTCTGATCCTAACACAGGAGCAGTCCAACATAAAATCAAAACTGCTCACAGGTAAACACTAGACTCTGATCCTAACACAGGAGCAGTCAAACATAAAATCAAAACTGCTCACAGGTAAACACTAGTCTCTGATCTTAACACAGGAGCAGTCAAACATTAAATCAAAGCTGCTCACAGGTAAACACTAGACTCTGATCCTAACACAGGAGCAGTCAAACATAAAATCAAAACTGCTCACAGGTAAACACTAGTCTCTGATCTTAACACAGGAGCAGTCAAACATTAAATCAAAGCTGGTCATAGGTAAACACTAGTCTCTGATCTTAACACAGGAGCAGTCAAACATTAAATCAAAGCTGCTCACAGGTAAACACTAGTCTCTGATCTTAACACAGGAGCAGTCAAATATAAAATCAAAGCTGTTCATACTAGTTCTCATATGTGAACACAGGAGCTGTCAAATAGCACTACTCTCTTATTTTGCTGCTAGTGAACCTAGCATGGTGAAGAAAAAGTCATGGCCAATTGCCTCCCTTGAGGGAACTACATGTATTTGAAGTCAGTCTTTTGCCTTTTTAGGGCTATTACTTGTCAGGTTGAGAAAACAAAAACCTTCATGGCCATTGTCTGTGGAGACAAGTACAAAATCCTAATCATTCTTCTTTATGGTGCTTTACCTGTCCCCAAAGACATCAGGATAAATGCTTCAGTATTTCAGGGATTTTTTAAAAAACTCAATTTTAGTTTGTTTATGAACGGATGTTGTAGAAGTGAGCACTTGATCCTCTATAAATATAAAATAGGTGTATTCTTGACTTGTTAAGAAAAATTAAATGTGTTTCATGAGTTCATAACTTTTTCCTGTTAATTTACTGTTACTTACAGTTAAAATTGAACAACAACAAAAATACATGGGATGTGCTTTTTTTATTACATTTATTTTACACAGTTAATTTTTAAATACTAGTATATTAGCTGATATATGCCATGCTCATGGCAGTGTTGTAATTCTAAAGCTAAATAATGATGAATAAATGACATACATCTTAAAAAAGTAAATGGTTTCTTATTTAAAAATCCAGCAGATTTCTAAATGGCCTAGAACTTCATTTCATTCTATAGTGGCTAGTTGTCTGCTTTAAAATTTTATATCAGAATTAATGCACTTACTCACCACCACTTGTCCTATGATACACTGTGATATTCTGAGGACAGCCGTATCCTGGCTATGTGGTCACCTTATACAATATACCACTAAAGTCCCTCAAACTCCGTAGTATGATAAATTATAAAACAATCTACTGAGGTAATATTGCTAAAATGTAATGTCCAGGGCAGAAAGAAGTCAAAATGTTTTAAAAACCATTAAGGGGGAGAAGGGGCATTTTCATCTGCTAAATCACATTGGGTTCCCTCCCCTGCACCTAGAATAGGAAGACCACATGAAGTACATATTCCTTTTTCTCACCCTACAGGACAAAAATATTTAAAATTGTAAGCTTTTTAAAAAAAAAATGAACGTTAAAGCTTATGGGGATTTTATTTTTAATTTTATGTCCCTGTGCATTACAGTTCACCTATATACAGTCTACTGGTAACTGGAGAAAACTTTCTAGCTTCAGGAGATGATGATGGCTGTTTAAAGGTAATATTTTTAGAACCAGATCAGTTTCTTGCAAGAAGATCCTTTTTACCTGTTTTTAGCTCACCTGAGCTGAAAGCTCAAGTGAACTTTTCTGATCACTTGTTGTCCGTCTGTCTGTCCGTCCGTCCGTCTGTAAACTTTTCACATTCTCAACTTCTTCTCAAGAACCACTGGGCCAATTTTAACCAAACTTAGTACAAAGTATCCTTGGGTAAAGGGGAGTGTAAATTGTTAAAATAAAGGGCCAAGTCCCCTTACAAGGGGAGATAATCAAGAAAAGACAAAAATAGGGTGGGGTCATTAAAAAATCTTCTTCTCAAGAACCACTGGGCCAGAAAAGCTGAAACTTATGTGGAAGCATCCTGGGATAGTGTAGATTCTAAATTGTTCAAATCATGACCCCCGGGGGTAGGGCGGGGCCACAATAGGGAATCCAAGTTTTACATTGAAATACATAAGAAAAATCTTTAAAAATCTTCTTCTCAAGAACCACTGGGCCAGAAAAGCTGAAACTTATATGGAAGCATCCTGGGGTAGTGTAGATTCTAAATTGTTCAAATCATGACCCTAGGGGGTAGGGCGGGGCCACAATAGGGAATCCAAGTTTTACATTGAAATACATAAGAAAAATCTTTAAAAATCTTCTTTTCAAGAACCACTGGGCCAGAAAAGCTGAAACTTATATGGAAGCATCCTGGGGTAGTGTAGAATCTAAATTGTTCAAATCATGACCCCCGGGGGGGGGGGGGGGGATAGGGCGGGGCCACAATAGGGAATCCAAGTTTTAAAATCTTCTTTTCAAGAACCACTGGGCCAGAAAAGCTGAAACTTATATGGAAGCATCTTGGGGTAGTGTAGAATCTAAATTGTTCAAATCATGACCCCCAGGGATAGGGCGGGGCCACAATAGGGAATCCAAATTTTACATTGAAATATATAGGAAAAATCTGAAAAAATCTTCTTCTCAAGAACCACTGGGCCAGAAAAGCTGAAACTTATATGGAAGCATCCTGGGGTAGTGTAGATTATAAATTGTTCAAATTTTGACCCCCGTGGGTAGGGCGGGGCCACAGTAGGTATATTAAAAGGGGGGAAATCTGGTAAAGAACAGCATGGCCAAAGTTACTCAGGTGAGCGATGTGGCCCATGGGCCTCTTGTTGTTCTTTACAATACATACTACATACCTGCCTACCAAAAATTAATTTTTCTCCTAGTTTTCTATCAATTTGTCTGTAAGATTCCACCTTTTGTCATTTTGAGACAGAAAAGTTTAGCAACTTCACCTTGGAACACATTCACTTTTCATTAAAATGATATGTGGACAACTTGAAGTCCAAAATATTTCCATAACTTCTATGTTTGTGACTCTTTGTCTTGACATTTACATGTATGTGTTTCTACTCATTGTTATTTGAATGTTTTTAAACTGTATGTCACTATTAATCATTATGAAAAGCATTTGACTGATGAAGAGTTATTATGAATAATTTTAAAACTGAAAATTTTGGAAATCTGGAGATCTGCCGTTCAAATCTTAGATTGTTCGTTGGGATCAGAAATTAGGGTAAATCCGGAAAGTAGGCAGGTCTGAAACTACATGTATGTCAATTATACACCATTCTGGATAAGAAATTGATTAATTTACAATTATTTATTTTTACTTTAGAAATTGTTATTCAAGTGTTATTCAGTTTTATTTTTTCCAATTATCCAAGATAGAAACATTTTTATTTGAATTTCATGCTACATCATAATGTAAGTTCAGGGTCCTTTACATTGATGACAGACCTGAATATTTTGTGATTTTCCTAGAACAGCTGTGGGACATTAGAACTAAGACAGCTGTGATGGATATGAAGGAGAATGATGATTATATCAGTGATCTGGCCATAGATAACCAACAGAAAATCTTACTGGCTACAAGGTCAGTGTTCTTACACAGGGATCACAGAGGTTATATGTTAGCATGTTTATAAGAGTTATTTCATAGAATCATAAATTAAGAGCACAAAGTTTCATAAAGACAATCCTGTGATATATTCCAGATACTTATATTTAGTATATGTAACTTGTGAATACATGTACATGTCTATTTTATACTATTCAGAATCAAAATGGAAGCTTCTGATTATCAAGCTGATTGATGAAAAGTATAGAATTATAGTTATTTAAAAAGATAACATGAATAATAACAGGTACAATATATCTTCTTTACTTTTTTTGTATCCATTATTTTTTTAGTGGGGATGGTACTTTGACAGCATTCAATGTCAGAAGAAAAAGAATGGAAATCCAGTCAGAACTGTTTGATTCTGAGCTTCTGTCCTTGTCAGTAGTGAAGGTGGGCATTTTTTCTATGTTTTCTTAGTACAATGTATGGTGAACTAGAGTGAACTTGGTGCATGGGTAGAAAAATCTGCTGATAAAGAACAGAGGTGCCGTAGTTACTGGCCCATGGGCCTCTTGTTTAAACTGGGTGTCAAAGGTCAACTGTTTCATGGATCTTCCATTAATGTAACACATGGATGTATGGAAATACATGTATATACAAACTTTCACTCACATATACATGTATAAACAAGAAGATGATTAATGTGACATGCTTATTACTTAACTCTAGGGTAACCAGAAAGTTTTGTGTGGGACATCTGAGGGTGTCATTAATATTTTCAACTGGGGAGAGTGGGGGAATATTAGTGACAGATTTCCAGGCCATCCTCTGTCTATAGACTGCATGGTTCCCATTACAAGTGACATTGTCTGCACGGGTTCCAGTGATGGAATTGTGAGGTAAATTGATAAATTAACTGGAAGATTAAAGGCTCTGTACTACCTCTTATGTACAAAGTTAAAATAATGTATGTCCATGAAAATAATGAAAATGTTTGTATTGTATTTAGTTCATTATTTCTTTTCAGTTTAACTTTGATACTGTTCAGGAAATTTTTGCATGATCCATCTATAGCTAAAATTTTCACTTGAATATTCAGGCAAATACACAGATTTCAATGTATGACTTGTTTTGACCTATTTTTTTTCTTGTCCCTGACAATTGGTTATATCTATTCCTACCCTACAGACCCTCCCCGTCCTCCCCCAACCCTACTCCTGTCTTTGAAAAGAGAGGAACTTTGATACTGTTTTTTCTTCAAAGAATTCATTATAAGCAATTTGTCATTGACAGTTGTTTTCATTTCAAATCAATCTGAAGGTCAGCTTTGTTCCAGGTTAGGCAAGATGTATGTAATTTTGTAAATCAAGTATTTATTTATTCAGTATTTAACATGTTGACTTGCACAGTATTAAATTCACCTTTTTCAGAGCAGTTCACATCCTCCCAAACAGATTCCTGGGTGTGGTGGGGGAGCATGATGAATTTCCTGTGGAAAATCTAAGTCTTTCTCATGATAAGACAATACTGGCAAGTTGTTCACATGATCAGACTATTAAATTCTGGAGAGTTGACAATCTTAAAAAAGAAAAAGTAAACACAAGGAAAAGGGCCAAGAAATCTAACAAACCTAAGTATTTGGCTCCTAAAGATGACTTTTTTGCTGGACTTGCAGAGGGGGAATCCTCCACCAAAGATAGTGAAAAGAAAGATGATTCCGATTCAGATGATGATGAAGATAGTGATGATGATGATGATGAATAAAATTTGTATTTACAAAATATCTTACAATTTGTTATTTTTAAATATGTAATCTTTTGATGTAAACTTTATTTCTGTCGTAGTTGTGGATACTGGATTTTCAGGATTATATTCTAATCCAGGTCTGATGAATGTTTTGAAGATAAGGATCTACAAATGGAAGGAAGTTGAAAGAGTTTTAATATATAATTAGGATATAAAGTTTCTTACTAATGAATATCATTACAAATATAATTATTTTCAATATCTGTAGCTGAGCTCAGGGAGGAATAAAACTCACAGGGACACACATGTCCTTGCATATGATGTACAAAATATTTGAAAAGTTTGGGCAGGGATAATCTACAAAGTGTAAACATACCCTTATCAGTTTTTCTAAGTACAGTTGAACTTCTTGAACATCAATATCTCAAATATCATGAAGAGAGTTTGAAGTCCAAATCACTTTTTTCTTTCTGATTTTTACCTTCAATATCTCAAACTCTTGGATATTTTGAAGTTTTTACCCATTGAACTCGAGATAATGAAGTTGACTGTAGTTATAAATCATGTTTCTTTCACTTGAAAGCTGACTTGTACTCTGATCATATATTTGATACATGTTTTCATTTTATTTGAGAATTCGTGAGGACATGAACTACGATGCTTCACGCCAGAATATTTCATGAAGCACGTTAACTTCCCTTCCTAGCAGAACAAAGAAGTTTTGTGTTTGTGGCATGAGTTTCATTATTTTTTCTTTTTTGGAAAACTTGCAACTAAGAAATTTCATTTAATAGAGTTACGTATACTTTTGAATAATATTCCAGTATTCTTCACTTTACTAGCTACATGTAGCAAGCTAGAACATGCCATGGAAGAAGGTTCTTTACATTTTTTACAGGTAAAGGTTTGCTTAGGCTTTCAGTGTTTTTAATTCTTAAATGATAGACTATAATTAATAAAAGAAATTGTAACTCCATAGCAAGACAAAATGCATTATGTATGATTTTCATCCATCATGTATATTTTCTATCCTGAACCTTTTGCAAGATTTCGACACCTGGACAACTTGGCCGATTCATACCTCATCTAGCTATGAAGGTGACAGAATCATCTGAGGTTTATAGAATGACCTGGATAAACTACATGTACAATGTACTTTCCTTCAAATATTACTCTTCCTGACAATTTATTATTTCTTTAAGGGAGTCTAAAGTTCCTTAAAATATGGGGTTCTTCATAAGAATCACCCTGTCCATCTGTCTGTTTGTGCAATTGTCTTAGGTCATTAAATTACTTTGTATTTTAGAAACAACTTAACATACAGTTGCAGATCCAGGACTCTTCAAAAGGGGGGGGGGGGGGGCAACCAGTTGGGGGGTCTTGGATGGGGGCCCATGGGGCGAAGCCCCTTGTAGCTCGCAGGTTTTAGGGGTTTTATGGAACAGTTTTTTGACTTATTAGGCCATACTTCATGTATGATTAATGCAATATCCCACAACAAAATATGATTTATTAATCTTATGTATATTTTTTATCACAAAGGGGGGGGGGGGGGGCACCCCCTCTAAATCTGCCAGTGATAATTTTTTTTTAATATGACTATAAGGATGTGTCATGGTTCATTCTGTCATTCAGGCAAGTCCAAAATCACTGGCAGAAAAAACCCATATGATTGTGCCCATGACAAAAGGGCCCTTATGGCAATTTTTACACATTTTAAGTTTTTCATGGATTTTAATAGAGCAAGGTTAGAAGTTGCCAAATCTGAATTTTTATGGCCCTACGTCAACTCTAAGTAGGTTTTTTCTTCATTTATATCAATGATACTTTAACAGGTAAACAATGACGTCATGTTACTTTCGCACCAACGTCAAAAGTTTTCAGAGTGAACATGACTTTCACTTTGCATTGTAATGTTACTGCGGTAATAAATGTATGTTAATGAGCATTTCCAGAAATATTTTTGAGTCATTGTCTCTTTTAATAATTGTATAATATGATAATAAATAGTTGTATTAACTATTATCCATCATGCAGTGGTGTATAGAATTATGAGTGTTTGTTCGTTTGTTTGTTTTACATTTCACTATGCTGGAATGTCAGGAAAACCCGAGAAGCAAGCGGCTTCTGTTCAATATCAATTTATTCTCTCAAAACCAAAGTATTTATCTCGTGTAATAATCGTTTGAGAAACCTGTAGAATTCATTCGAAAATCATCTCATTTTAAGCATGGCTCTCGATAGGACAAGATGTCATGTATGATTAATGCAATATCCCACAAAATATGATTTATTAATCTTATGTATATTTTTTATCACAAAGGGGGGGGGGGGGCACCCCCTCTAAATCTGCCAGTGATAATTTTTTTTTAATATGACTATAAGGATGTGTCATGGTTCATTCTGTCATTCAGGCAAGTCCAAAATCACTGGCAGAAAAAACCCATAATTATAATTCTTGTCAGGACCATAAGTTTCTTAGGTCATTGGAAAAAACATTGGAAGTCAAACATCATACAAACATTGCTTATGACCTGAAAGTATCAAAGAACTAAGGTCATTCAAATTTAATCACTTTAAAAAAGAATTATAAATCTTGCAAGTCCATAGGTTTACCTAATACAATGATTGCTTTCGACCTTGACCTTGACCCAAGGTCATTTTGAGAAAGTTCAAGGTTACTAGCTGAAAAAAATATGAGTATATACAGGGATTCTACTTATTGACTGACCTTGTTTTATTTTCGTTCCTATCCTGGGTTATCCCTCAACTTTTGACTCTTTAAATTATTGTTATTTCGTTTAGACCTTTAGTGGCTACCGTACATTTTTAAACTAAACAGAGTGCGCATGTTCATTTTCTTGTTACATCCAATATTTGACAACTACTAAACTTTGTGAAGCAAAATATCTACGCTGTTGTCGTTCATTTATAAGTAAGTATTAATCACCACCGAAACAAAATATTAGTTTACTTAAAATAAGTTTTCATAACTGATAAAACATGTAAAAGGTACATACCTGTGTTAATTGTTTTCCGCCTACTTTCGTTTTGACCAAGTTAAAGGTATTCTGAAACCTGCACTGTATACATGTACATCAAATGCATTATTTGGGGCCGTTCATTTACGATCAACCGATAAAATCAATGAAAAAGTGCATCTAGTCCGAAGTATCTGACGTTTTCCAGTCTTTTTCACGATTTTGATATTTTACGGCACGTAAAATATCAAAATCGTGAAAAAAGACTGGAAAACATCAGATAAATATCAAAATCGTGAAAAAAGCCTGGAAAACGTCAGATACTTCGGACTAAGGTGCATCTAGACGAGTTGTTCTGTCGTAAACATAAATCTTGTAACAAGTGACTAGGACCATCATGATCTGTATATATTGATCAGTATACATATATAACATGTATAAATATATATATAAATATATATATGTATATATAACCTCTATATGTATCCAAATTCAGCTGATTGTAATGTCATAAACTTAATATTGCATTTAACTACAAGACATCCTTGAAATTGAGAAACAGACATGTAAAAGTCTCATTGCACAATATTTACAATTGATGAATCATTTTGCATTCCTGATCAAGATAATGTTTTTTTTTTCATGTATTTCTTTCTCTCTTTCTAAATCCGGGTCCTCTTGAGCTTAAACATTATTAAACAGTACATACAACTGTACAACTATTTACATATGAAATATAATGTAGACAAAAAGTGACTGATAACACTGAATTATATGCAAGATATACAAGAGGTACATGGGCCACAATGATCGCCTGAGTTACCTTTGCCCTGTACATGTTGTTCTACAGAGGAGTTTTAAAAGATATTTTTCCAAGAAAAAAATTTGACCCCATATTGTGGCATCAGCATAAGCCCCAAGGAAAAGGGTTTAATCAAACTTGAATCCATATAATTTGGGGATGCCTCATTATCAATAAGACTAACAAAGCCTTTCTGTGAACATTTTTCTGCTGTACACATGCCTTTCTCTATCCAGAGTTGTCTTCCGCTACGCTCACAACACCTCTGTCAACGTTCGTACAAGATTCTTGTACAAATTTTTAATGGTGAAAATTTGAAATTTAAATAGTAATTGATTATTGTAATTATCGATAAAGATGATGATTCATCATTTATTTTAAATCTGTAATCCCTCAAAACGACTTGTTTTCAAAGTTTTAAGGGAACTATTTTGCAGAGTAAAATTAAAATCTTAATTAAAAAATCCTTTTAAGGTTTAATAAATTAAAACAAATAATGTTTTCCAATAAGAAATATAATTAATAACGAATATTAATACAACTTTTATTCATTTACAATTTTCCCAAGAATCTTGTATAACAAGCATTGACAGAGGTGTATGTGGGAGCGTAGCGGGAACGACAACTCTGGATAGAGAATGGTACACATGCACTACATTTGTGTAACAATTGATACCCAAATTTAGTCAAATCCTTACCCTAAGGTCTATCATTTAAAGAAAAAAAATTGAATCAACACAACTTAATGTTTGCATATCAATATGGTATACATGATTTACATGTATCATGTTGTAAATTTTGAATTTACTAGGTGGAGGTAGCTGCAAAATTTACAGCATAGTTATCATGTTGTAAATTTTGCATTTACCTCCACCTAATAAGTTCAAAATTTACAACATGATAATAGCCCTGCTGCTCTTGATGATGCATTTTTATGTCAAACTCTAATCCCCCTGAGTCTACACTATGTCAGAAAGCTGTGGCTCAGTGGTTCCTAGAAAGAGATTTTTTTTAAATCACCCCCTATTTTTTGTCTTTCCATGATTATCTCCCCATTGAAAGAGGACATGGCCCTTCATTCGAGCAAACCTGAATCCTCATCACTCAAGGGTACTCTGAGCAAAGTTTGGTTGATATTTACCTAGTGGTTCTATAGAAAAAAGGGTGAATTTGTAAAGATTACGACTACAACATTGATTACAATGACAGAACACGGACAAATTTCGATTGAGGTTGTGGCTCAGGTGAGCTAAAAACGAACAGTATAAGATTTTCAATTGCTAAAAAATATTACTGGCACCTTCATGTATATATTTCAACCTCTACATGGACACTAAATAATGAGCCTTCAGTCAATATGGTAATGTAATATACACAAAAATATGTGTTATTTTTGAAGTGTCTAGTCTCTCCCCCTTTTCTTTTCTTAATAAATATACACTAACTTAAACTAATTTAAGGAAACATAAAACCATATTACCATGCCTTTTCAAAATTACCGGTAATGAATTAAAAGGAAAGAAAGAAATAGGGCGAAAATGCACAAAAAAGTTTAGGCCTTACTAGTTACTGATTTCTACAGAATACAATATTTCTTTTTTTTAAAATAAATTTGATTTTTCTTTATTTTTTCTGCAGGGGGAAAGAGAACAAAAATGGCATGTGCCCAAGAAGACCGTCTTATGACAGCGGCCATAGATTTTGGCACGACATATTCGGGCTACTGCTTTTCATTTCGGCATGACTTTGAGACTGATCCTCTCAAAGTATCAGCTAATACGTGGACTGCGGGCACAGCGGGCCTCGTTTCCCTGAAGACCCCCACTACGGTGCTACTAGACGGAGATGGGGAATTGGTCGCATTCGGTTACGAAGCAGAAGATCGCTACTCCGAGCTTGCAGACGAACAGGAACACGCAGATTATTACTATTTTAGAAGATTCAAAATGACGCTGTTCAATTCATCCTCTGTAAGTTGTTGATAATATTTTGTGATTCAGTTATTTCCTTCCTTCCTTGATCCGATATGGCAAAGATCGAATAAAAAAAATTTAATATACACAAAGATTTTGTCTTCAAGTTCACATCTTGAGGGGGACAAACTCAAGCTATTTACAATCCACTAAAATATTTTTTGAAAAATTTTAAAAATCCAGTTTAATTTGTATAATGTATCATTACCTTTTTCACAATCTAACGTTAAAACAACGCTTTCATTGGAATCCCGCAATACATTCTTTTTCCTGCCATTTTTTTTCCTGAAATTTTTTTTTCTTCACTCCCTGAAATTTCTTTTAGAGATCCTCTTGCTTGATAAATCAAGGAGACACACGGCTAGGCATGTCATGAAAGAAAATGTCAAAATTCAAACTTTTGTTTGTTTTTTTTTGCCAGAGAAAAAGAAACTGTGCAATGAAGCTGTCAAAAGCCCCAATTCTGAAGATTGTTAATTATATAACATGCATGTACCATTCGTAAACGATGTGCTTTTCTACCTGCCGTTTTCTATAGCTCTTTGGTCGTTCATTCCAATTTCTCCAGACCATCGAACTACAAATTGCAGTTATAGTTCTGTAATTTTCAGTAGCGCTAGACAAAAGTTGGCAAAAATAAGTTTCGTACACTACAATTTACAGAAGTCTCTGCATTTTTACGTTGGAGTTTTTCTTCTAATTGTGAAAAAAAAATGAATCCAAAAAAGTTAGGTAAGAAATATCGATTTTTAGAAATGAAGTTTGTTGATATATTTGTTCTTTTACATTTTGACATAATGTTGGACTATCTAAGTATCACTTCCTATAAGTTCTTAATTTCGGAAAAGAATAGATTCCAGCTAGTGAAGTGGCTATTATCCTCTAAATGGATGGGTGTGAATATAAAAATTAGAACATATTTTCGTATTCACTTTCAAAAGTTTCATACGAGGAGGGGGGGGGGGGGGGGAGGGGGTTGTTCCACACCAACTGGAACAAACGTCGGACTCCGAAGGTTTTGAAAGCACAAAAAATTTACCCTAAATTGCTATTTTGTGGGTGGGGGTGGTGTGGTGTGTGAGAGATTCTTTTCTAATTCTATGTACACTTTTCATCATGCTGATGTATGGCTCTCCTTACCATATTACAAGGGATCCGTATTTTTGGAAAGGGGGGGGGGTTGATATTTTTTGTAAATTTAATAACTCAATCCTTTGCAAATAAAACAGATCGCTGTGTTGTATTTTGAATAACAAGTTTCGTACCAATTTTATGCCACTGTTTTTTTTTTTAATTTTAACTTTGGGTTAATCCTTTTACCTGATCAATACAGAGGACTCACTGCGGGTGTGACCGGTGGATAGGGGATGCATACCCCTCCTAGGCACCTGATCCAACCTGTGATTTTCTAAGTTTTTTTTTTTTGCCTTGTTCAGAATTTGTATTGTTTAAAGAATTATGAGATCGACCAAGTTCATTAGCTTCACCTTTTTAACTTATCCCGGGGTGGGGGGTGGGGTGGGGGGTCCCACTCTAGATCCGGGCATGCAATCACATCGTAAAATTGAGACTTAGAACATGACAATAAGGTAAAAAAGTAAAAGTTTAATTTTCTGACTACATTTGGTGTTCACGAAGTTACATCCTGCCTCCACAAAGACGATGTCATTTGAAATGCAACGAAAAAGACATAGGAAACTTCCAACAACATCGAAACATATTTATTCCCTATTATCGTGATTATAAAAATGAATTTTTACTAATAAATTAATAAATAATATGAAGTCCGCCCACGTCTTGATCATTGACAGAAAAGAGAGCACGTATCTCCTATATAATTGTACATGTACTAGTATATGATAAAACACGAATGTGCATTCCATTCACCTTATCAGTCTGTGTCTGGAATATAAAGTCATTATGTTAAGAAATTGAGTTATTGCATCAAAAGGCTCAACTGAAACAGACAGAAACTATCTTGACATACTGGCCTAGGCTTGTTCTTTGATTGAATTGCTCAAGACTTCCGTAACCATCTTGATCCTGACCGAGTATGACCTAAACTAAAATATTGATTGTTTGCCCTTAGCCGTCTGACCCTTGAAAATTAAACTAGTCAAAATAGTTTATTCCTCTGTTCATTAAAATTTTATATTTTTTATATGAATTTGGGGATCCAAGTGTGAACAAAGTGATTCTTTTCAGAGGCTGACAAGAGACACGATGTTGAAGGACATGACAGGAGGAAAACAGATGAAAGCCATAACTGTCTTTGCCCACGCCATTCGCTATCTCAAGGATCATATGTTGAAAACTTTAGACCAACGAGGGGCTGGGATCAAAGCAAGGGACATCAACTGGGTCCTGACAGTGCCCGCTATCTGGGACGACCCCTCAAAACAGTTCATGCGGGAGGCTGCTGAAGAGGTAGTCTTTATAGCAAGATTTTCAGGAGGCAAAGCCATAAAAAAGAAAACAAATGCGAGGAAATACTTGTCATAAATGGAATTTACTTAGTTCATATTTTCACGTTTAATGTAGTTTAATAATTATTACTCAAAAAACAACTATTGTAATGAAAATAATTAATAATGCACAGTGTAATGGTTGAGCATTGCGAATTTAAAAGAAGTGGTGAGTGGCTGGAAAACGTTTTTGCAGCAAATCCAGGATTAAAACCATCATTTTAACTGTGTTAAATATTTGGTATTGGTGCGTAATTTTTTCCACCTTTTTTCCGTTTAGGCTGGTATAAATCGAGTGCAGTTAATGATAGCTCTAGAACCTGAGGCAGCTTCTTTGTTTTGTAAATATCTCCCTATAGAGAAGCTACAGGGCGCTGAGGGTGGAATCAGTGCTTTCAAACCTGGCAGTCGATACCTTGTTTTAGATGCTGGTGGTAAGCTATTGCTTCTGTGGAAGATATAGAAAGTCCACAAAAATTAACTCTGCAGAAATGAGTTTAATATGTGAATATATGGATACCAGAATGAAATCTAGTCAAATCCCCACTTCCAGACAGTGGATTCCATAGTAAACATCAAAAGCAAGTTTTTGAGGCGGAATTTGGAATCCAGTCCTTAGTAATTTTAATCTGTGAACCTGAATTTGCTTTGGAATTTATACGCATTTCTTAAATCACATGTATCAAAAGTAAATAATTGTGCATGTATTTGTGGAAGTAAAACTTTCTTTTCCCTTCTTGATTCCGAACTTTATCAGTAAGTGTTAATTTACAATTTATGTTCTTATAATTTAGTGAGATTCAGAAGCAACTACAACTATCATTACATACAAGCAATGACAGAAAGTGAGTAGGTAATCCCCTAAACTTCGCTTGGTTTTCTTTAGTTTGCTTTGAATTTCTTTTTCAAGGTGGTACGGTCGATATCACAGTGCACGAGGTTCAATTCAACGGAACTTTGAAGGAACTGGACAAGGCAAGCGGCGGCGCTTGGGGCGGCACTAGAGTCGACCAGTCATTTAAAGAAATGCTGGAGGAGATAGTGGGGGGAGGGATGCTAGAAGAATTTGCATTGTCGCATACTGCAGACTATATTGACCTGTTCCGAGACTTTGAGACTAAAAAACGTAATGTTAAAGACGATGCTCCAGGAAAAATCACCATTCGTATTCCAATAAGTCTACAAGAGCTGTACGAAGAGCGATCGGGAGAGGAAATCAAAAAGAAAATTCGCCAAACCAAATACAAAGATGATCTAACTTGGGTTGGAGATCGTCTGCGCATTAACAAGCCATGTTTTGTGAACTTGTTTTCGGCAGCCAGTGATGGCATGGTAAATCACGTTAAACAGTTGCTACGATCGCCCAGAGTTCGAGGCACAAATAATATTCTTATGGTTGGAGGTTTTTCGGAATCTCCTTTACTTCAAAAGAGAATTCGGGAGGAATTTCCCGATAGTCGAGTGATTATTCCACAAGAGGCTGGTCTAGCTGTCCTTAAAGGTGCTGTTATATTTGGTCATCAACCGGCCACTATTGCGGCACGTATCGCAAAATATACATACGGCATTGAAACGAATACGACCTTCGATCGTAGAAAACACCCAGAGTCGAAGAAGAAGATGGTAGAAGGTAGAGAAAAATGTAAAGATGTGTTTGATAAGCATGTTTGTACCGGTCAATTACTGGAAATAGACGATGTTCAAAGTGAAAAGAGCTACTGGCCTCTGTATTCAAATCAAACGAAAGTGTCGTTACCAGTATATACGTCCACAAGAGAAGACCCAGAGTTCGTTGACGAATCTGGCAGTTCTTATCTAGGAAAACTTACGGTTGATCTCCCAAAGTACGGGTCAGATAAAGAAGTTTCAACAAGTTTCATTTTTGGCGGAACTGAACTCAAAGTACAGGCTGTCGTGAAAAGCACAGGAGAAGTCACCAGTGCTAATTTTGATTTTTTGGAAGGAGAACCGTAAATAAGAAATACATTTTTAAAGGTTATTTTTCATGTAATTTTTCATCACGTTTTCAAGCATAATAACCGTAACATTATCAGTATCAAAAAGACACAGCGTCGCTGATTGTACGATTTTCATTAATTGCTCCGCCCACAAGATTGCTGATCGATCAATATAAATTCAAGTAATGTTAGGGAGACAGCAAATACCGAAATACTTTCATAAATTCAAATAATCATATAAATTATGCTTGTCATTTAAATTACTGTCATGTCAAATATGCGCAAAAATAGAAAAGTACTTTTAAACAACTGAATTAGGTCTCATGATTTTCCCAAAGGAGGATTTTGTATTTTTAATTTTTGTGTTTGTACATCATTTTGCGTCTCGTACTTTATTATACTGTACACTACGACGAGGGATGTCCAAATTGATACGCATAAGATTGAATGGAATTGAGTCGAAAATGTGCCTAATGCATTAAAAAATGGAGTATACGTACATGTACAATTGTTGTATAGAAATGTAAATAGAGGAGATATACACTGTCATATACACATGTAAGGAATAAATTGAATATAACAACCTGAGAGTACACGATTCTTCTTCTAATCAGATACTGCGGTGAAGTAATCGTATAAACAAATTAATGAATAAATTACAACAGACACTGTAGTTGGTGCTTTAGATTAGTTTATACTTTTTTATAAATGGCCTGCATTTATGTGTTTTTGTAGCAATTAAGTAAAGTCAAAAGGAGATGGTGTTTGAGAAAACTGGTTCAAGGAAAAAAAATGCAAATTTAACTTCAGAAATATTTATTGGAAGATGAAATATATCAGTAAGAGTGTGTCATAAACCCAGAATTAAGTGCATTCATTCTATAAACATCAGGCACATAGTATCCCCACTTTTTTCCCCAGACAATGTTTTACTGTTAATTTAGTGGGGAAATGTACATTGCATAAAAAGCCACCCCCACTTTTGTAGTGTAGTCAATTTCTCCGATGTTATTGTATTCAAAAGTTGGACCCCCATACCCGAAATAAGATTTTCGACTGCGGACAATCCCCCATTTTCTGCTTATTAAAGATTTTTCAGGTAATTTACATGTGTTAGTTATTTTTCAGGCTGCCCCCTCCCCTTTCTGAAACGAAACTACGTGCCTGCCTATTTTTTCATTATTTCCACAATAAAACTTTCCCCAAAACCGTTGTTAATAGCCCTCCTTAATTGGCCTGAAATTGAGACCATCGAAAATTTCCTTATTTTACTGCAATTTTGAGTGGCAAGACAGTTCGGTTCAACACGCTTCGTACGTGACGTTTTACGAACCGTTTGTTGTGGAAGTATAGTGAGGGAATGCTAGGAACATACTGTAATAGTAATATTTAGATATATACGTATAGAAATAAATCGAGAAACGGTGCACTTTTTGTGCATAATAAATTGACATTTTTTTTTTTCAATTGGTCAAGAACTGTAGCTCTCTGGTCTTCCATACACATTTCTTTTCACATCAGCGCGCTACAGATCTGCAGCTTGTACCTGCTCATCAAAATTAATTGATTCAACAAAGTTTTTAAAAGTTTAAGATTGTATTGCTGTTATATTGCAGTACATGTACTTCAATAGTAAGGAGTATATGTACATATCCCACGTTAAAACATCTAATATTTGATTTTCTGACCAATGTAATGTATGATAGTTAGGCTTTGTATATATGGATACCTTTCTTTTTTCATAGTTCAGGTGGAGTGCAGGGAAAATGCACAACGTTTAAAAAACTACAACAGAATTAGCAATTTCTTTAAGACACTGAGAAATTGTTGTCTTTGAGTTGATTATAAATCAGGCAAAGTTGTTTTTTTTTTCTTAACGAATTAATGCTAAAACGTTGAGTTGAAGTGTTCATCCCGCTAACATTTCTCACAAAACGGAGAAATGTATTTCTCTGACCATGATATCGAAGTGTAAAATCCAAATGCCATCTTTCCCGGACTGCAGTATTTTTCCAACAATTCTAATAGTTACATCTGCATTATTTTGAAATTCTTCAGTTTACACCATGAACATTGCTCAGGAAATACATGTAGTAAAGCTTATGTTTTTTTAGGTCACCCGAGTCACTCAGGTGACCTATTGCTATCCGTTTTTGTCCGTTGGGGTGCGTCGTGCGATGTGCGTTAACATTTGAACATTTTTGGCTTCTTCTCTGAAACCGCTCAACCAATTTCAACCAAATTTGGCATATAGCATCTATGGGTGAAGGGGAACAAAAATTATGAATTTCATGGTCACTGCCCCCCTGGGGCCTGAGGGGTGGGGCTAAAACCACCAAAAATAATGCAATCTTTAAAAATCTTCTTCTTTACTCCTGGGGCTCGTTTCTCAAAAAGGCCTACGACCGGGCGTAAGCTTAGTCCGGACTAAGTCAGTGACTAAACCCAAAAATCGGACTAAGTAGCGTTTCACAAAAAGGCGCAGACTAAGTCGAGACTAAAGTTAAGCTTAAATCTAGGCCTGCTCATGAGTAGGCGTAAGTTCTTAGTCTGTACACAACTTGAAAAAAGTGGCAAGTGTTTTGATCATAAAGAGATAAAAGAATAATTATTTTGTATGTATATTATATAATACCTATTCATGTGTATATATGATATACGAAAAATCGGGAAATTTTCAATTATTATGTAGGTAAATAGAAAGGTAGTAAAAATCCAGCGAGGATGCAGACTTTTTCCCGTTAAAAGGTTTGATGAACTAGAAATTTGTAAGTAAGAATTTTGAATTGTGAAATTGGGTAAGATATAAAGAAGTGCCCGGGTTTAAAAAAAAAAAAAAAAAAAAAAAAAAAAAAAAAAAAAAAAAACAGGCACGCGTAGTATGGGGGAGAGGGCTGCAACCCTCTCGCTTTTTCAGTAATGGTGTTTTCTGTTTATAATTACCTTGTAATTTAGGCTGACCTGCACTTTCAGTATTTGTTTTCTTGTACTATTACAAGTTTGCTGAATATTTTGATTACTTAATTACCTACCCCCCCCCCCCTTCCTCCTCTCCCCAACACACTGGGTCCCTGATAATGTTTAATTTTTGAATTGGATAATGTTTTTGGGAAAAAAAAAAACAACTCCTCAAGCAATATACATTTAATATATTTTCGATTAGGCCCTCCTTAAAAAATTGTTTGTTTGGAATTGCCACCTGGGAGGTTTCAGACCCAGTAGGGAGGGAGGGAAATTATTTTTTTTTCAAAATTAAAGTTAAAATAAGAATTGATGATAAAAATCTCAATAAGGAATGAACACATTATTTTCTGTCTTTTTGTAAAGGGTATCACCCATCAACCAGGAACCCAGTTTTGCTTAGATTCTACACTTATTAAGTAATTGGGTGACCAATGTGGTAGCAGGCCAAGAATTGATTAAATAAAAAAAAGTCTTATTTTTGGTCCATAAAATTTTTCCAGGAGGGGTCATTTCAATGAGGCAGGAGGCAATTCCAAACAAACAATAATTTTATTTTGGCCTAATAAGAAATATTCGGTAATTATGCCATTAAAGGGGAGATTAAGGTAAAAGGTGCATTAACTTAATAGTTAATGCACCTTTTACCTTAATCACCCCTTTAATTAAATATAAAATTATAGAACAGAAAAATATGAATTCGTAAAATGTTCCAGTGTTTAATTATCTTGTCCGTAATACTGATTTTTTCCTATTTCAAAGTATTAACTGTCATGGCGTTTAAGATGTGCAGATGGGTCTATCTTTTTTTTTTTTAATAGGTACTTGTTTTTACTTGTTTATAATTAATTTACAATCAATCGTACTTTTCTCAGACGAATTTTGTTTGAGAGTGTCTTTTGATCGATTTATCAGATAAACACTTTATATTACATGCATTTGAAAAGAAAGTGGCCAATAACTTGTTAAAAATGTTTTTTTTTTTATTGTAAATGAGAAACAGAGTTTCAAATTTGCTGTCATTTAATGCATTATACTCATAAAACATCATGAAGAAGAAATTTTGCTTTCTAAAAGTATTTATAAATATGAAAATCATGACTTGTTAATATCTTTAAATCTAGATAAAATCTTCAAGAAACATTCAGCATCTATAAAAGAAATATTATACGATCATATTCTTTATAGAAATTGAAACGGGATTACTAGATTTAAAAGAAAGAGATGGTGATGTTGAAATTTGTTCCTTTCCCGATCTAAATAAATCTGATCCCGAATGGAAATATATTAAATGAAAATATTTCAGAAATTTATAAAAATACTAGATTGCTTGTCTGTAATATGGATTACAGGAAATTGATTAAAAACTAATTAAGCTTTTGCAAACCTTTATTGAGAATGCGTGTGCTAATGGAAATGTTGTATATATGCGATTTCTACGTGGACTGTGTAAATCATCATATCGATATCAATGTTATACTGTATGCCCAAAGTGTAATACATGTATTATACTACATGAATCAGCTTGAATGCCAAGAAATCTAATTCAGTTAGAAGTGATTATTCTGTTATGAAATTATAAATTCAATACAGCTTATAAATGTTCAAAAATCTCTAATCCATATTTTAATAATATATAATTTCATAATTGTTGAATTTTTCCACAGGTCCGTAGGACGCGGTGGGGCCAGGGGGCCCAGGCCCTCCACTTTTTCTGAGTGTAGTATTTTGCTATATATAATTTTCCTTCAGATGCTGGTGCCCCCCCCCCCCCACACACTTTTTGTCGCTGTAAGGTCGAGCACTGGCAAATTCCATAATTAATTCCATGACTTGGACAGTTGATAAGCTTTTTGACTTGGCAAATTGCATGACTTGGACAGTTAATTAGGTTTTTGACTTGGACAGTTAATGAAGTTTTTCTGGTCACATTAATTTGGGAAGCCCCCCCCCCCCCGCGCCCCCCCCCTTTTTTGGTAGTTAAGAGGGTTTTTTTGGCTTGTCAGATTTTTTTTGGGGGGAGATGGGTCCCCCACTTTTGAAACGTTGCTACGAACCTGTTCCAGGTCTTTGCCACTACCTTATGTGTATTTATTTTAATGTAAAACAAAGTGAAAAGACAATATGGCTTATTTTCAAAGGAAAGTTCTTCAGTAAAATTCCTCATGCTTAATGTATTCCAATTTTTCGGAAGTACATACATGTATGCTATGTACATCAATTGGGTTCTAATTTACGATTGTATAAAACACAATTGTGAATATCACTATCGAGTACATGCACGTTTATGTTTTTCAAATGAAATTTGTACCAAAATAGATTTTTTTTTTAAATTAATCTGAGCAAACAAAAATACTTATTTAATTTTAATGCTTTGACCTTGAAAATACAGATAGGTTTGCGTAATATATCTGTTTGAAAGATGGTGAAGAGAGAAAACATGCACGCACGCTCATGCTTTCCGTGCTTTACTTCTGTATATTAAGTTTGATATTAATTGATCCGCCACATGTAATTGTAGTCTCTAAACCAAATAAAATGCGATCTGCGCATGCTTAGTACTTAGCGGAGAGGTCTTAGTCTTAGGCCTAGTCTTACGCCGCTTTCTGAAACGCGATTTAGGCCCGTCTAAATTTTGGCGTAACTTACTTAGTCGGACTAACTTAGGCCCAAATCTACGACTTTTTGAGAAACGAGCCCCTGGACACCAAGCAGTCAAACTGTTGGCATCATTGTAATAAGCATTGAGCCCTCTACCAAAATTGTGAAATTCATGGCCCCAGAGTCAGGGGTTCTGGCCCCAGGGTGGGGCTATATAGATCATATAGTGAAAGTGCATTATTTCTTTGAAAATCTTCTTCAATCTCTGCTCCTGGGTATCAAATAATCTAACTACGTATATAGTTATGATGAGTAAGAGTGCCTCTTCCAAATTGTCCCCAGGGTCAAGGGTTCTGGTGTTAGGGCGGGGCTCTATTGATTATATAGTGAAAATGCATTAGTTCTTTGAAAATCTTCTTCTCTGCTCCTGGGTATTAAATAAACTAAGTAAGTACATATTTATGATGAGCAAGAGTGTCTTTTCCAAAATTGTGAATTTCATGGCCCCAGGGGCAGGGGTTCTGGTTCTAGGGCGGGGCTCTATTGATTATATAGTGAAAATGCATTAATTCATTGAAAAATCTTCTTCTCTGCTCCTGGGTATTAAATACAGTAACTAAGTACATAGTTAAGATGAGCAAGAGTGCCTCTTCCAAAATTGTGAATTTCATGGCCCCTGGGTCAGGGGTTCTGGTGTTAGGGCGGGGCTCTATTGATTATATAGTAAAAATGCATTAATTCATTGAAAAATCTTCTTCTCTGCTCCTTGGTGTTAAATACAGTAACTAAGTTCATAGTTATGATGAGTAAGAGTGCCTCTTCCAAAATTTTGAATTTCATGGCCCCTGGGCCAGGGGTTCTGGTGTTAGGGCGGGGCTCTATTGATTATATAGTGAAAATGCATTAATTCTTTGAAAATCTTCTTCTCTGCGCCTGGGTATTAAATACAGTAACTAAGAACATAGTTGTGGTGAGCAAGAAAGCCTCTTCCAAAATTGTGAATTTCATGGCCCCAGGGTCAGGGGTTCTGGTGTTAGGGTGGGGCTCTATTGATTAATATAGTGAAAATGCATTAATTCATTGAAAATCTTCTTCTCTGCTCCTGGTATTAAATAAACTGACTAAGTATATAGTTAGGATGAGCAAGAGTGCCTTTCCAAAATTTTGAATTTCATGGCCCCTGGCTCAGGGGTTCTGGTGTTAGGGTGGGGCTCTATTGGTTATATAGTGAAAATGCATTAATTCTTTGAAAATTTTCTTCTCTACTCCTTTGTATTATTGAAACAAATTAAATACATAGTTATGATAAGCAAGGATGCCTCTTCCAAAATTGTGAAATTCGTGGCCCCTGGATCAGAGGTTCTGGTGTTAGGGCGGGGTTCTATTGATTATAAAGTGAAAATGTTTTAATTCTTTAAAAATCTTTTTTTCTGCACCTGGGTATTATTTAAACAAACTAAGTACATTGTTATGATAAGCAAGGATGCCTCTTCCAAAATTGTGAAATTCATGGCCCCGGGGACAGGAGTACTGGTACTAGGGCGGGGCTATATAGATCCTATAGTGAAGGTGAATTATTTCTTTGAAAATCTTCTCTGCTCCTGGGTTTTGTTTAAACAAACTAAGTACATTGTTATGATACGCAAGGATGCCTCTTCCAAAATTGTGAATTTTATGACCCCAGGTTTAAGGGTTCTGGGGGGGGGGTTCTATTGATTATAAAGTGGAAAAGCAAAATTTCTTTGAAAATATTCTTTTCTGCTTCTGGTTAAAAAAGCAAAGAAGCCAAGTGTATAGTTATAATGAGCAAGAGTGCTTCTTCCAGAGTAGTGAATTTCATGACCCCTTGGTCAGATGTGCTGGTGTGAGGGTGGGGCTCTTGATAATATAGTGAAAATGCAATAATTCTATTAAATAATCCTGTTTGCTCCTTAGTGTTAAGCAGATAAACAAAGTGATAAGTTATGATGAGCAAACGTATGGTCCCAGAGTCAGAAGCCCTGGTGTTTCGGGGGGGGGGGGGGGGACTCTATTGATAATATAGTGAATCTGTAGTAAAAATGCTTTATTTCTTTAAAAATCTTCTTCGCATCTGGGCATATCTGAGACAAACAGAGTAAAAGTTTTTATAAGGAAGGGTATTTTTACCAGATTTTTGAACATCTGGACCATTTGGTCAAGTGTTCTGGTCCTGGCCAGGGCTCTATTAGTTTGTATTCTACTGAGAGGAGTTATTCCCCTTTGCCATTTACTTTTGATAATTTATCACGGTAAAAAATGTACTTGAAAGGTAAATAGAATAAGAGAATTATGCAAAAACTTTTATTGTATAATACAAAAAGTACTTTCATAGTTTTAATGATCAGATAGACTTGTAAGTAGCAGATAAATAAAAATGAGACAAAAATAACTTGTCTTATTAAATGTTCATCAAGGACCAAGAGAGGCCAATGTAAGAGATTTCAACAAGGGATTAAAATAGTACAGAAGCATTGATTGATAATTTGTTAATATGTTGTATGGTGATAGTGATGAATGGGGAACAGTTTAGAACCTAATTTATGAACTGTTAATGAATATTAAGACCAATTATTTTGTTGATCATGATCACCCTATTTTTCTTGCTTTTGGGCAATAAAGCTTCACCTTTCAGTTCATTTTATACTCTATGCATCCTTTAAATTGTTGTATCATACTCAGGTGACCATTAAGGCCCTTGGGCCTCTTGTTTAGGATTGTTTTAATTAAAATGATCTGCTTGGTAAAGCTAGGTTACATTTTTATTCATTAATTTTAATAGTAACTGCTTCAATTGATTAGAAATCCAGAGAAGTGCGAGTGATAAGTTGCACCAGGATAGTTAGACTTTCCAGCAATGTAGAGAAACCCACTTCCAGTGGTTCTTAGGTAGAGGTTTACTCTGTCCCCTTCATAGGGGCTTGTCTTCCCGATTGTTAAATGTAAAATAAATTTTAAAGAATTTGAATCTTCTTTAAATACACTTAAAACTTGTTAAAATAGACATTCTGAAACTTTCAGTCAAGAAAAGCCACGTTTAAAAAAGACGTACCACACCTATATACATAAACTCTACAAGGAACGAAAGCTCTCGTCTTGGTAAAAATACCCCAACCCACTTCAGCGCCTATTTCTGGACTCAAAAGCATTTATTTCGTTGTCATGGTTCTGTCCCCTACAGTGACGATTTTCCTAAATGTTGATGCGTTTTTCAGTCGTCAACACGCGTGTAATCAACAGAAAACGGATACAATTTCTTCGATTTGGGGCTCATTTTTTCTAAATCGACATAATTATCTGTCAAGTTGACATTAATATGTGGTAAGTCAACATAAATTTCTGACAAGTCGACATAAACATCTGAGAAAGTGGTGGCAGAAATACATGTATGACACCATAGAATATAAATCAAGCAAAGTTGTTTTAATCCCCTACCGGTAGGGGACTAGTATTGTTAGTGAAATCAGTTTACAACATGATATTGCCCAGGAAGTAGTAGCTTATGGTTTTTTAGGATTGTTTTATTACAAATGATTTGCTTGGTAAATATTACATATTTATTCGTTCGTTTCAATAGTAACTACTTCAATTGATTAGAAATCCAGAGAAGTGGGAGTGATACGTTGAACCAGGATAGCTATCCTTTCCAGCAATGTAGTGAAACCCACTTCCAGTGGTTTTGATGAACAAATTAACTTTGTCCCCTTTTGAAAGCTCCAGTAAGGTATTTTCTGATCTTTTGATCCATAAGCCTTCAGGTCCGATAAACAAGTAGGAGGATATTTTGCCGTTCTTCATTATATGTATCCTTAAGTAGTCCGAGCCTTTAGAGGTGGAAGGAACTGGAAGACCAATAGTGACCATGAAGAAGTATGTCCCAGTTACAGGGGCAGTAAACATACCGGTCTTGCCGTTGTAAGCTCCTCCCTTATTAGTGAGAACATTGCCAAAAACAAGAGTCCCTACGACGGTTTTTACATTGGTTGCAGGAGCCGCCATGAAAGAGACATGATGAGCTAAAATGACAATGATAGAATAATCATTTAAGTTTCTCTTTTGTTTTTTAGCTTACCTGAGCCATAGGCTCGAGTGAGCTTTTCTGATCGGAGAACGTCCGGCTTCCATCTGTAATCTGTCGTGTGTTGTCTTTTTCTTCAGAACCACCGGGCTAATTTGAACCAAACTTGGCACAAAGAATCTTTTGGAAAAAGAATTTGTTCACATGAAGGGTTATACGTCTCTTTCAAGGATAAATAATAAAAGATAAGTGAAATTTTAATGGCTTCTCTAAAATCTTCTCAAGAACAAATGGGCCAAACAAGATGAAACTTACGGAAAGCTTAATTACATACATGTAGTGTAGATTCAAATTTATTCAAATCAAGACCCCGGAGGTACAATGAAGTGTCGGGCCACAACAGGGGATCAAAATAAAGAATATACATGTATATGAAAAATCTTCTTTTCAAGAACAACAAAGCCAATATTAGTCGTATTAAAACAGAAGTATCCACAGGTAATGTAGGTTTAAGGTTGTTCAATTCATATATCCGCCGTGGGTAGGAAGGTGCCACAATAGTTCAAACATTTACATAGAAATATATAGGAAAAAATCTTTTTAAATCTTTCAAAGCCATGATTAGTCAAAGAAATATCGAAGCATCCTCAGTCAGTGTAGATTCAAGATTGTTCAAACCCAATCTTCCGCATTTGTTAGATTTGTATATATTAAACTTTTCAGTACTGATGTCTGTTTTTCTTAAGCCGAAATGCTCAGGTGAGCGATGTGGCCCATAGGCCTCTTGCTTTTAAATAATGAAAACGAATTGAATTCATCAAAGACCAATGAAAGAATTATAAACTTACTTGTTCTGTTTAGAGAATGCTCAAGGGATTCAACTTTAGACTCTAAATGCGTAAATCTTTCCTTCAAACACGTATCGTATTCGGTAAGGTGGAGTCCACACGCGTTGTTGCTGTTTTGGGCTGACTTCATACAGATGTTGTAATATTCTATGTTCTTCTTGCAAGGACAACTGCACCATGCCATCGCTATCAAAGAAAGACAAGTGCTTAGAGAAAACGTTATCTGAAACATTGTGGCGGATAAAATGAAAGATAAGACTCTTATTTATATAATATGTACTATTTTACGTGGGTTGAACATGTAAATTATAAATTTTCATGTGCAAATATCGAAACCTGATACCAAGTGCGCCATATGCTACATCTCAACAAAAATTGACAAACTAGTTATTAAGTAGGTCTTTTCAAGAGTTCAAAGAAGTTTTACAAATACAGTCTGAGCAACAATGTCATAATTTAAAATTTACCAATAAAAAGCAACCATTTCACAAATTCAACTGCCATTGGAAAACGTAGTTTGTAGCAAATTGCAGTCATTTTTCCCGAACGTTTAATTGCCATTTTAAATGTTTGAAAACAGAAAGTCAATAATAAATCTGTTTTTGTCTTTTAATGACACGCGTTTATTACAAAAGATAAGGGTTACCATAAATTTTGTGGTGTTTTATACAAAACAGAGGGTCCTTTGTAATATGAAGTAGTAAAGAAACTGTGTATTAGGGTGTATTTTATATAATACATGACTGACAGAGGCAATCTGAATTAGTTGAATAGTTGTTTAGTGTATTAGAGTGTGTTTTTATATATATATATATATAATAAACGAATATCAGGCAGAAAAAAATACTTGAATAATCAATTAAACTATGTTCATACATTTATACTTGGATGAACAAACGGTGTATGGGGTTATGAGAACGTTTATGTATCAATACTTTTACATAGAAAAATGTTGGTCCTTCTACGAATTACAAGACTGTAATGTTCACATGTGCGGTCTTTATATTGCTTTCTTCATTGAAGATATCTGTGACAGGGTTCCAGATTTACAGTGTGTTACCCACAGTTTTTTTTTTTTATACAATCCAAGATTCGGGGGAGGGGGGGTATAGTTATTGCTTTGTCCATCTCTCTGTCTGTGTGTGTGTATGTCTGCAAAATCTTTAACCTTGCCATACCTTTAGATTGGTTAGAACTATGGTTTTCATGTTTCACATGCGTATTCCTTGTGAGAAGACCTTTCTTTGGGTATCAACAAATTTGACAGCTTGACCTTGAAAACTGACCCACTTTTGCAAAATTTTACCAAATTATTTTTGCAGAACTTTAATCTTGGACATAACGTTTGAATGATTGGTGCTCGGACTTTCATAGTTTACATGATTGTGTATTTCTTGTGATAAGGCCATTCCTTGGATATAAATATATTTTTGACCTCTTGACCTTGCCCTTGGCGTATGACCTACTTTTGAAAACCTTTAACCTTGGCCATAGCTTTTAAACTTTTGTTGCTAGGGATTTTTAACCTTGGCCATAACTTTTAAACCGTTGGTGCTAGGGTTTTCGTATTTCACAGGTGTATTGCTTGTCACAAGACCTTCTCTTGGGTACCAACAATTATGACTCTTTGAGGTTGACCTTGGAGTTTGACCTACTTTTGAAAAACTTTAACATTGGTCACCGTTCACGGTAGATCAGTCGGTAGAGCTCTCGCTCCGTGATCGGGAGGTCGTGAGTTCGAATCTCGACCGCAACTGACCTTAATCGATAAAAATGGGTAGCAACTGTTCCTTCGCCATGCGCTCGGCACTTTGAAGTGAAAGTTGCGGGTCCTTCGGATGAGACCTTAAAAACCGAGGCCCCATGTCACGGCAGGCGTTGGCACGATAAATATCCCTCACTGCTCAATGGCCCTGAGTGCCGAGTAAAGGTCCAAATTTGAAGCCCTTCACCGGTATATGGTGACGTCTCTATATGAGTGAAAAATTCTCGAATGGGACGTAAAACAACATACAATCAATCATTTGACTTTGGTCATATCTTTTGAACAGTTGGTGCTAGGGCTTGTATATTTCACAAGTTTATTTCTTGTGACAAGACCTTCCCTGGGTGCCAACAATTTTGACTTTGACTTTGACCTACTTTTGAAAAACTTTAACCTTAATTATTATGTTTATTGTCGAGTTTGTAGAATTTTTGTATGCCAATTGAACTATGTACATAATTATTGCTAATTGAAATATTTGAAATCTACTTGTATCGTTTGAACCGAGTAACCAGTACTATAGTATACCAATTGAAGTTTTGATGGTACGGCGAGCTAAATAAAAACAATATATAATGTAGCAAATCTAAATTATACTATCCCCCCTTTACACCCACCCCTTCAATTTAATTTTGTGTTAAATCTATCATTTATGTTCAACAATTATTTAAGAAAAACACCCCTCCCCTTTTGTTACTATTCGTAATTTTATCTCAACCCTCATCTTTATTTTCTCTATGTATTAAGTTGACATTGTAGTCCGTATGGTCGGCCACCAAAAAATGATTGCTCCAGTCTCCTCGGCTGGGTAACACGGTGGTTATTTATCATTTATTTTTTTTTTTTTAAATAATAGGCAGATATCCTTAGTATATCTAGTCTACACGATCATACAGAGGCCTGTTCATCTCTACACCAACTCAAACAAACGTCGGATTCCGAAAGTTTTGAAAGCTCAAAAACTTACTTTAAATTGCTTTTTCGGGGGTGGTGTGGTGTGAGGGAGATTCTTTTCTAATTCTGAGTAAGCTTTTCATCATGTAGATGCATGGCTCTTCTTACCATATTACAATGGATCAAACACACAAATAGGATTGTACGAAAGAGGACCCAGAATTTGTTGACGAACCTGAATGTAAATAGAGTGGTTAAGCAGATGACCGTGTACGTCTACATGTACGTGTAGCTAGGGAAATCCCCTAATTTACTGCGATTTACGTCATCAGTTTTGCATAGCGCGTAATTCTACAAATTGTTCACAACGTGTAGATTCATATATATACACGTAGGGAAGAACGTGTAGCTTCTTAAACCCAAATTGTAAAATGTATGTTTTTCAGGCGGTGTTTGTTATGATATTGAGAGTTTATTACGTACATCTATGTATCTTTTTTAATCAAAATCATATAATTATTTAATACAAATGAATTGTAAAGTGACTTGTTGAAATGACGTTTTACACGTACTGCTACACGTACAGATTGTTCAACACAACACGATGTTAGTTACGTGTACTTGTAAAACCACTTCTAGGCTTACAAGTACACGTAGACGCACACGGTCAAATGCTTAACCTCTCTAATAGAGATCTAATATTAATATCTCGGTAAATTGACAGTTGATTTACCGAAATTTGGTTCGGACAAAGAAGTATCCTCGAGTTTCATATTTGGCGGAACTGAGCTTAAAGGACAAACTGTCGTGAAAAGCACCGGAGAGGTTACAAGTGCTAATTTTGATTTTTTTAGCTCTATTGGTCAGAGACCAGAAGAGCTTAAATGCGATAGTAAGGTGTCCGTCGTCCGTCCGTCTGTCTGTCTTTCTAGCTGTCCGTCTGTCTGTAAACAATTTTTCAAAATGCTACTCCTCCTATAGTTTTGATCTAATTTCAATATTATAACTTGGCACACAAGTAGACTACACTAAGATACATAATTTAGTGCATCGGTTTTTGTTTTTGAACGGTGTTGCCATGGTTGCTAAAAATAGAAATTTCTGTGAAATTCCTTTAAAACGCTACTCCTCCTACAGTTTTGGTCTGACTTCAATATAACTTGGCACACAAACAGAGTTGACAAATATTAATGCATTACTTTTATAAACTGGAAAATCAGTACACGATCATGAATGCTTATCATTACTGTAAGTCATACAAAATAAACCACTAATTAAGAGTCGAGTGCTTAATATATTCCAGAGAGGTTAGAACTGCAGTTTTCAGAGATATATAACATGTAGTATTATAATGTATAAGTCTCATGTTAAAACAGCATAAACATTTTCTGCTGTTATGTATTATGGTTTTGCTATAATGGTAACTAAAGTAGATTTGATTTCGATTCTTTTTCAGTTTGAAAAGAGTACAGAGAAAGTATATCTCTCCTCCAATGGTCAAAGAAACCTATAATTTTTTTATTTTAAGGTAGTCTGATCCTCAGGTTCTGAAAAAAAAAAAAAACATGAGTTGAGTAATTGAAAATGCTCACAAAAATGTATCTAAATTCTCAAAGTAATGTGTATTTACCCATGTTATTTCTTCGAAGTTCATCATATTAGTTAATCATATTATAAAGGGAAAGTTATCAAATCTCAAATATATTTTCAGGAATCGTGAATAACAGCACCAACTATGCATTTTTTAATTGAAAATTGATCAACAAATATTTTTTAAGATAAAAAACTAGAGGTATCTAAGGCTAGATTTAAGGAAATTCGATTTCTCTAAAAATGTATGTACGTACATGTATGTACTTTTGACTTTTTACAAGAAACGGACCCGTCACACTGTCACGATTTATGCTAGAATTACTCACAAATTATTAAAAGTTAAAAATCGCTGTCATTCGCCAGATGAGTCTTGCGATTTTTCCAAAGCGTGTGGTATTTTGGCTGCTCAAACGGTATAACGACATTGTCTGTTCGACAAAATAAATATCATATCAAGGTTAGTTTATCAGGACAATAGCTACAGTGCAGAGCTTTTGATAATGTTTAATCTCTTCATGAATTTATTGAACATGGTCGTGAAAGGTTCTGTGACAATTCAGTTTTCAGTTTCTTTCCCTTTTCGTGTCTTCTTTCCTTCTCTTTTAGATGGCATTTTAACTTTGACAGAGTTAACATTAGAAAACACCTGCCCTCTTCGTATTGACTCATAGTTCAATCGCACAGTACACAGTACTCGTATTGCACTTGCCATCAATCGCCCTTTTCCGTATCATATTCGCGGGAAAGATTAGAACACTAGTAGTACTCGTAAGACAATCGCAGTAACTCGACGGACACTCGCAGTAACTCGACGGACACTCGCAGTAACTCGTAGGACTCTTGCAGGATTCCGAGTACCATGAAGTTCCGCAGAACCGTCTGCTACAAATTATGATGTAAGAGTGAAGTGCGATTGTCTATGAATATTTAAAAATCATGCTGTGTTCACGATTGTTGTGAACATGATCAAAACAATCGCCGAGTTTTGCGATTTGCTGCGATTAAAAAAGAATAAGGAAGATATCCTGCGACTACCTCCACGATGAACCCCGAATTGTTGCGATTTTTGAATTCGTAATGAATCGTAGCTCTAAATCGTAAGAGTATGTCACAGGCTTAATTATAAGATTTTAAAGAACATTGAGTCATATTGAGATGCATGAAATGAAAATTGTTGCACCAAAAAAAAAAAAAAAAAAAATTAAATTTCAAACTTCATTTTGAGATTTTTTTTTAAGTTAAGTATTAATTTTAAGAGTTAAGATTTCTTGCTGAGGAGCGGATATCCTTGATTTTTGAGAACTTGTTGACAAAGTTTGATATACTAGTATAAATCCATAATTTTTTTAAGTAATCTCATGATGGATTAATGTTAAAATCATTGTGTAGTATAGTGTTTGTTTTTTTCCCGGCGAACATTTCATCTCGACAAACAGAGGAATGATTTCTCAGGTCTAATAAAGGAATGTAAAAGAAAAATTCAAATGTCATCCCTGTATAACTAGTAATTTTTCTCTTAAACTGCGATTTATCTATAACGATGCTATATACATGTACATGCAAGCCATTTATTACATACTTAGTGATAAATACAGGATTTTTGCATATGCAGTATGCCTAATGTCACAATAGCCGTATCAGCCCTACAGGGCTGATATGGATCTGCGGGGCTGATACGGATCAATATCACACCCCTAGTAAACTAAACTAAATGTGATATGGAAAAGGGTAAGTATTATTCTCTATATACATTCGAATTATTTTGAAATATTCAGTTTTCTTGCACAACACAGAGAGCATGGTTACTGACCAGTAATTAAAATGATCTGCCTTGTAAAAGATTTCAACTTTATTCAAATGATTCGAACTATAACTGCTTCAATTGATTAGAAATCCTGAGAAGTGCGAGTGATAGTTTCCTCCCGCAATGTAGGAAAACCCAGTACCGGTAGTGATGATGGACAGTTTCACTTTGTCCCCTTTTGAAAGTTCCATTAAGGAATTTTCTGATCTTCTGGTCCATAAACCTTCAGTTCCGATGAACAAGTACCCAGAACGTTTGCCGTTCTTCAAGAAAAGTATTCTGATGTAGTCCCCGCCTTCAGAGGAGGAAGGGGTTGGAAGTCCTAAAGTGACCACAAAGAAGTAAGACCCGGTTACAGGGGCGGTAAATATACCAGTGCTGCTGCTGTAAGCTCCTCCCTTATTGGTGATTACACTGTCAAAGATGAGTAGAGTCCCTCTAACAAGGTTCAAATTGCGTGAAAGACTTGCCATAAATGAGATGTGATGAGCTAAAATGACAAAAGACAGAACAGAGTTATTAAAAAAAAAGTGATTCACATGTAGGAGAAAACAAATAAAAGCCAAGGAAACCTGTAAGACTTACTTGTTCTGTTTTGTGAATGCCCGAACATTTCAACCTTAGACTCCAGTTCTGTAAACTTTTTCTTTATACATGTATCGTATTCGGTAAGGTGGAGTCCACACGCGTTATTACTGTTTTGGGAAGACTTCATACAGATGTTGTAATACTCGATGTCTTTCTTGCAAGGACAATGACACCAAGTCATCGTTGCCAAAGCAAGGCAAATGCTAAGAGTTAAATGAAACATCGTTTGGTGGATAAAACGAATTTTTAAAAAGCTTTCTCCCCTATATAACTATATACATGCATGACTTACATTGGTTACACATTAATTATGAATTTTCGTGTTGAAACATTGAAACCCGATACCTAGAGCGCCATATGCCACATACATTTATGAACGAAGGTGACAATCTTCATCATAATACAATGCCAAGTTATATAGAAATCAGACCAAAACTGTAGGAGCGTTTTGAATTCAAAGCATTTCACAAAAATTTTTATTTTTAGTAACCGTGGCAACACCGTTCATCGAAATCCAAAACCAATAAAGAGAATTATGTAACTTAGTGTAGTCTACTTGTGTGCCAAGTAATATTGAAGTTAGACCAAAGCTGTTGGAGGAGTAGCGTTTTGATAGTATTTGACAGAAATTTCTATTTTTAGTAACCATGGGAACACCGTTCATCGAAATCAAAAACCGATACACAGAATTATGTATCTTAGTGTAGTCTACTTGTGTGCCAAGTTATATTGAAATCAGACCAAAACTGTAGGCGGAGTAGCATTTGTTGAAAAACTGTTTACAGGCAGATGGTCAGAGAGTCAGACAGACGGACGACGGACACCTTACATCGCATAAGCTTTTCTGTCTCTGACCAGTAGAGCTAAAAATTAGCAATAATGTCAAAATTTTAAAATCTCTGATTAAACAACATTTTTACATTTCCCCTTTCAACTATACCATTGGTTATTTTTAGACAACGAAGCATCCCTAACATTCGGAGGACAAATAAATATGATTTATAAGAAATTTGATTATTATCCCAGTGACCTTACTGACCTTACCTAATTAAGATGTAACTAACAATTTATTGTTAAGCATGCTTGTCGTGGCCATTTATTCAATATCTTTTATAAAAACAACAAAAATATGCGCCGATCTTCAAATCGATATGGCAGCATATATTCAAACAACTCAAAGCAGTAGAAATACTGACCAAAGGGACCTGGAAAAAACAGTGCCCCATGAAGGTGGCATTCTATGTATGCAAAATTCTATCAAAAGAATCACTTAATAAATTTTTTTGGGTCATCTGCCAACAAATCTAGGCGGTCAGTTTTGTATACATAAATTAATCAAATTTACACTCGACACTAATCATACACAAATCATTTGCAAATATGCAACTTCAGCAACTATTCAAAGTTTGGCCATCATGTGGCAAGACTTAATTTGTAGCAGAGGGATAAAATCTGTCAGTAGTTGACAAAAACAGCACTAAAGCATTTCATAAAGAATTTAAAAATATGTCAATACCCAAGTCTGACAAGTGTATACCATCTTTGCGGAAAAGAGATAAATGTCTATTTTAATGTCTATTTAAAATATCAGGATATTTGATGGAGGCCCTACATGCTTTCTTTACAACAAATGTAGTAAGAGCTGAATCAATTTCCTCCATCTTTGTTAGAAAGAAACAAGGTCCAATTACATCGTGGTAAAATATGAGACCAAACAATTGAATAACTGTCTCTGACATTAACTGTGGAATATTATCACAGTAGACTTCATGTACATCTGTGAGCCCTTCAAAGTATTATGTTGGTTGTCAATATCATTGCCACCACAATGTAATATGGGGATTGTTAAGGGGTTATTATTTTACTAAACTTTTTTTGGATGGTTGGATAAAGCGGAGACTAAATCATACTCCCTATTCCATCCAATATTATCCTATGAGATTCAAGTCCTAATTTGCTATTCATTCTCTGTTGAGCATAATTCTGAGCCCAATAAATCATTGATGGTCTAATGATCCATATGCAAGCTGATGTAGTGCTAGCTGGTGATGCATGTGCAAGTGTGTCTCCACGGTCTGCTGAGTGAGTACAGTCTGTACAAGAGGAGTCTGGGCATATCCAATCTCATAAACAGGCTGTAGGTGTACTGATTGATCTAACGATCCCTGGCTGACCATATAACTTCTTCCCGAAACTGAGCTACATGTAGCTGCCTCTGAATGAAGACCCGCGACTGATGTGGGAATGATGGGGTCAACTGGTGATACTGGGAAAGCCAGGGTGGTCACCGTGGTGGCTACTAAACTGTGCGCAAGGGATATCCTTGTTGGTGGTCGGGCATTTGGGCTCTTCGCCTCAGATGTTTTCGTTTTATTGGCTCTCAACATGGATTATAAACGTCATCATTTCATTTTTTTTTTAATTTTCAATTATTATTTACTTATTTATTTATTATTCAAGCATAACATAAATAAATCATTGCGACTAAAATTATTTTTGTCAATTTTATTGAAATATTTTCTAAAGTTTTTTTTTTACAATATGGCTGACCTACCAGGCCAGACTGAGCTGGTATTCCTATTCAAGAAAACTGGACTAGAAAGACTTAATTTTATATTAAACATGCAATTCAATTAATTGATCCTAAGTAACATCCGATTAATTTCACACTTTTACTTTGTCTTCATGATGCTTTAGATCTAGTTATTCTGGCACCTTGCAGGCTCCTCGGGTGGCTCATGCCTTGCACACTAATAACAGACGTGAACGGTGTTCTACCATTTTGCTAATACAATCATGTGATTTTATCCGAAATTCTTACAAATATTATTCCATTGAAATCTGAGTTGCTTTAATTTGTACTTACTTAATTACTTAGGCCTGTCGTTCCGTGAGGAACATAGGCCATCGACGACAGTCCTCCAACGAACTCGATTCTGGGCTGCTTTTACTGCATCTTGCCAGGCCATATCCTGTGTCTTTAGCTCTGACTCCGAGTAACGCCTCCAGGTGTTTCCTGGACGTCCCCTTTTCTTTTGCCCTGTGGGTTCTAAGTCAGGGCCTGGCGTGTGATGTTGGATGTTGCTTTGTGGCACGCCCAAAACCATCGTCGCAAACCACGGCCGAAATGTACGATCCTCTCCCATTCTAGGAGAGAGCAATATGCGGACTCCAGACCGTGGCTTGAGACGATGGCCTTACACTTAATGTTTCTGCTTTCACAGACTACTAACAGAAGGTTGTAATCAAAACCAACATACAAGAAAGAATTAGACAAGAAAGGAAACTCTTTTTTGGTGAACTTTATGCAGAGCGAAATATGAAATGAGTTAAAGGCAGTTCGGAGAAATGCATCAATTTAAATGGAGCCTAGCGGAGTCAGCCGAGAATTGCTGATTGGAAGCTTTCTTGTTCAGCAGGAAATGGAGTAAATACTGAAAAAAAAAGCACGAGTTACCGTTCTTCCGATAGTAAGAAAATACATGTATATGCTCAAAATAACCGTTTACCCAGAGAAGATAAACTCTAATAAAACTTAAAATTTGCATAATTTTGTAGCTAATTGTCGTGATTGCTACGTGCCAAATTTTTCCCGAAAGAAATTTACCAATCAAAATATACTTAAACTACTGTCTGTATAATTATACATCACATGAATCCCTCACCTGTCGGACATGCCATAACTGGCAACTATACAACTACAAAGCGGGATTTTTTTAAACAGGGTGCTGACTCGGGTAACATTTAGTGGTTTGGTAGTATCCCGCTAAATTTTTAATCGCGAAATTTGCTTTCAACATAAATTCTGAACGCAAAAAAAAAATCATTTAAACTGAAAACTCAACTGAAAGATTAACCTCTTCTCTCTACTTGACTGTTTTCTGATCTATGGTACTTGGAGTATTCTTCTATTAAGTGGTACAAAATTAAGCTGTTAGTTTGCAACGTCATGGAATGGAACACTGTTTCCAGCAAAAAAAAAGTTCCGCCATAATTATTCTCGTTCACTTGAGCAAACAAAACACCAAATTTTACACCCGCTAAAGTAACCCGCTTTAGGGTATTTGCTCGAAAAGATTTCATGTTTTTTTTTAGACAAGATTTCCTTTGAAGAAGGTATTATTTTGCAAAACGGGTTTTATTTAATTGAGATATTAATTAGAATTAAATTTTTAAGCAGAGTTCAAATGGAATGAAAAATGATTCCAGTTAGTATAAAACATATCCATAAAAATCACAATTACATGAACAAAAGAAAAAAAAACTTGAAAAAAACAAGTATGTTAAGGGAGGACCTGTTAAGGGACCCTCTATACTGATGGTTTTTGGACTTATGCCATCACATTGTACCAGACTTTTTATTTCTAGAAAAAATGTTTAAAGACAATGAAATATTGATGAATACAAAAAACTTTCTTAATTAAATAGGGAAAATGCATGCAAATAGAGTGTTCTTTTACTTATGGGCCTAATAAAATGTCAGATTATGTACAAACTGAATGCTAGTAATACACCACAAAATTCAATTTATGTTTTTTATTTAAAAGCTCGAATCGAGATAACTACAACAAATGGAAAAGTTGCATGCAGTATATAAAGGGTCGTTAGTAAATATAAATTAGTGGATGCCTGAATAGATACATATACCTGAAATGGGTTTATCTGAAAACTACTAGACATGTTTTAACAAAGCTATTTTTCAAAACAGAATTTTGCTCGAAGTCAAATTTCCCAGGTATATTTACAAGTAAATAAACTACAAAATCCGTTCTATCCGTTTTTTTTTTCAAATGGAATGCCCGCTTATTAGTCCCCTACCGGTGAAACCGGAGTGGACTATAGGTTTCCTCTGAGTCTGTCCGTCCGTCTGTCCCTCTGTCTGTCTGTCAGTCTGTCCCACTTGGTTTTCCGCACTTTTTTCCTAAACGCTTGTAGATATTGAGCTGATTTTTCGTATGAGAGTGTATCTTGATGAGTTACAGATCAAGTTTGCATTTCGTTCCGCTTCATTGATTTTTAACGGAATTACGGCCTTTTCAATTTTTAGGGGTTTTCCGCAATTTTCTTCTAAACGCTTGCAGATATTGAGCTGATTTTTGGCATGTGACTTAACCTTGATGAGTTATAGATCAAGTATGCATTTCGTCCTGCTTCAATGATTTTTGACTGAATTATGGCATTTTCAATTTCTAACGGGAACCAGATTACACTTGCCGGTAGGGGACTAGTATTGCTAATGCAATACTCTCAGAATGCTTGTTTCATATGCCATTCAAAGCATTGATCAATCAGAAATAACTGTTATGAAATGTTACGGTGAAATTATAGGACTATATATTTTTTTTTTTTTGACTGATGAACATTGAGTACGTTTTTTGTGTTCACATGATATTCTGTATTCTCATATATGTAGTTGTTTGTATATTGTGGTATATTGTCTGAGTAAATGTTGGTAAGAGAAAAATTTCTTCTTATGGGTGAGATGGGTTTGCAAATATATTTAACATATAAAGTATATAAGTAGTACCTGCGATACTTTATGTGGTCCATGGATACTAAATAAGTTTTTACGTTTAATATAATAATATAATATTCATCTCATTGACATTGTCTGAGAGGTAATATCAGAGAGCTAGAACAAAATAACTTTACATGATGAAAATTAATTATGAGTGCTTTATTGGATTCAGAATGTCAATAAATGAACCATATCAATTGTTTTCTTATATCCTCCAGCGTCTTTATAATATCAATTTTTTATTACATAGTGCCATTGGTGCACTTTCTATTTCATATTGGAATTAAGATTTATTTTCAAAAGAAAAAAAATTATTCCGGAAAAACAAAAACTATAAAAACTATAAAAAGAAGTTTATTTTACAGAAAGACCACAAAACTAAGTTACTGATGATGTATTTCTAAGACAAAAAAGCGTTAGAATAACCATGAATTCTTCATGCTTGCTGTTCATCACTGTAAGCAAATCTATTTGTTATAATGTTTTCTGTTTCGTCGGGAAATATGTAAATTAATGAAAATATTCATTACTTCCTTTGGGTTAATAAGGCCAAATAAATTGAATTACAATGAAACATAGGAAGTCGTTTTCCACAACATTTTCGCGTAGAAAAAAAGTTTTTTACACACTAAAAACTGGCACTACTATTGACATCCATATTTCCTTAAAGCTTCGTAAAAAGGCAACATTATCAGCTCTTTCGGTCAGGAGCCACAAGAACGTATGAATTAGTAAAGTGTCCGTCGTTCGTCTGTCTGTCTATCTAGCTGTTTGTCTTTCTGAACGTGAACAATTTTTCAAAATGCTGCAATATCGCTGCTCAACCTCAGTTTTGGTTCAATTTCAATAAGATTTGGCACACAAGTAGGCTATACTAAAATACTTATGTCTGAATACTGGATTTTGATTTTTTTTTTAACATTGTTGCAATGTTTACCAAAACAGTATAGTGTTGAATTTTTTTTAAACTTTACTCCTCCTGGTCGGTTTTTGTCAGAATTTAATGAAACGGAACAAAACTAAACTAACCAAAAATCATAATTTTTATTTACAGGGGCTGCCATAGCTACAAAGTTTCAAATGCAGATTATACTTTTCTTTTTCGTACTATACGTACAAATCAGAAGGGGTATAGTCTCGTCTTGTTTTAACTTAACGTTGTAGTATTTTTCGGAGTAGACGAAATAAGAATTGTATTGAGGATTAACACCGCAGTCGGGGATGAAATGATTGATTGTGTGTTTTTACGCCCAATTCGATAGAGAGACGTCACCATATACCGGCGAAAAGCTGTGCTCGGTACTAAAGGCAATTCTTTATCGTGCCAACGCCTCGTGACACAAAATTTCGGTTTTTATGGTCTCGTCCAAATGATCAACGACTTTCAATTTTACTGTCAGGTGCTTTGCAAAGAAATAGTCACTGCCTATGTTTACATCTTAATTAGGTTTAATGCGGCAGCAAAGGAAAATCGAACTCGGCCATCCGAAGCGAACGCCTACCACTAGGCTACCGTGAGCGGTCTGCACAGTCAGGAAACATCTTAAATTGTTCTACGAGAACAGGGGCTATGGAAAAAATCAGTCTACACTTCTATATTTTCTTCATATAAATTGAAAGCAAATATAAACCAGATTCTGTTATTTATAGTTATTCTGATATTATGAAAAAATAGTACATAAATTAGATAATAATTACACCTTCAGTCACTCCAAATTATATAATTATAACAAGACACATCTGGTTGCTTTTTCACACTTCTATTTTGACCAGCTCTTTCTTTAAATCTTAAGTTTCCTTTAATTTAAAAACAAAATCAATACAAAACGAAGAAATTAGAAATATTTTTCTTTGACCCGTAAATCCAGAGCAGGAGTAGATTTGAAGGGGAGGTTAGACATTATATGGACTTGATTTAATACATGAATTTACAAATTACTTTGGAAAATCCATAGGTCGGTGTGTCAATTATGTATTACGTCAAACCTGCAAGTGGAACATATGATGTATCAGGTCTAGTTCATAGGCCGTTTTACTTTTTGTTAATTGAATAAGATATAAAAGACTGCAAATTTCTCAGTTTGTGTAAAACATTGTGGAATCTATTTCGAAAAGGTAAAGTTTTTGCATTAAGTTTTAATGTTAATAACTGACATCACTGATTTTTCAAAGTGAAATATGGAGATAACGAACAGTAATCAAGCTCAAAAGTCGATTGAAACAATACAAATATATCATGAGCAGAGCAAAAAACTCAGAGGTGGGATCAGGTGCCATGTACATGGGAGTACATGTGCATGTACATGGATGTATATGTGCATGTAAGCATTCCCTGTCGATCGATCGGTCACGCTCGCAGTATGCTCTGTTGCAACTAATTATTTATGAAATAATTATTTCAATAGTGGTTGAAAGTGTATTTCAAAACCAAACACAGGTTGTAACCACTATTGAGATAACATTCACTATTGAAGTATTTATTTCAATAGTGGTCGAAAGTGCATTTCAAATCCAAACACAGGTTGCAACCACTAATGAAATAACGTTTATTATTGAAACAATGATTTCAATAGAGGTTTTGAATGCATTTCAAAACCTAATCCAGGTTGCAACCACTTTTGGAATAATGTTCAATAATTTAATTTTGTTTGTACTCTAGCCTCTGATTGGTTAATATCCAAAAAGGAACACAAATTATTTCTGTATAACCTGGTTTGGTATCGGGACCCCCCCCCCCCCCCTGACAACCAGCTGAATCATCTGTATCCATACAATCCTCTCATTTTCAGTCCTTGGGATTCATGGAAAATTCCAGATTTAATAAATGTACCTTTAACTTCAAACAATAATTCGATCTTACCACATGTAAACAAACAACAAGGCTGCTAGGCCTATGTATCAGTTTTTACCTCCCCTTGCTTCCCATCACTTCCGTTACTTCCGTTACTACGGTTGTATTATTGAGCGGCAAATTTGAACTAATAAAAAGCGACGAAATTTTACGCCCATAGTTATTTAATGATTTTGAAATTAAATTATAAGGAATGACTCTAATTCTTGGCCAAATTATTCGAGTATAACCTGGTTTGGGTCAGTTTACGCTGTTTTATAATCCGCTTCGCGGATTATAAAGCGTAAACTGACCCAAACCAGGTTATACTCGAATAATTTGGCCAAGAATTAGAGTCATTCCTAAAATATTGAAATAAAGATTTCAATACTGATTGAAATAATAATTTCAGTAAGTATTGAAATACTGATATAAATATGGATTGAAATAATAATTTCAGTTGTGATTGAAATAAAGATTTCAATAGGGATTGAAATAATTATTTTAATAGTTGCTGATTTCAATACCAAAGCCACATTGCAAGCCTTATTGAAATAACCCCACTATTGAAAAAAATATAAGGATGAATTGTTCATTACGTTTTAAAACATAATAATTAATTTATTGAGTTTAAAATAATTATGATGTGTAAATTTATGTTTTCCATTCTTTTCTAGAAATTACCATTAATACACGGATATCTTTGATTTAACTGACGTACCTTAAATTCAAACAAAGCATACAGATGCTATGCAAGATTCTGCTGAATCTGGCCGACTCGGTGAAACCAACAGACAATCAATCAATATTCGCAAGTTTTAAGTAATTCAAGTATGAATTATGATGTTCATCTTTGCCATTGATTTGGAAAGGAAATGATCATAAATACAGATAGTTGTAGAAATTAGAATATCTACATTAAAAAGAAGAAAGAAGACTGATATCTATGTGTACAAACTTTCTGATGAAAATATGGTTATTTTTAATAAAAAGAATATAGAATAAAACAAAATTCTCGCATATATTCACGGGTTTGCCTACACTACAAATATAGATAGTAAATCCGACGTCTACTCGTCAACACACACACACACACACATACTCCCTCTCTCACACACATACACACACACACACACACACACACACATGGGTGTGTGTGTAAAACCCCGATACTCACTACACGCACTAGGTAACACACCAGCAAGTCACTACATTTTGAAGAGTCACCACTTACACTCATGTAGTGAGTTTTCTAAAGTGTTGAAAACGGAATTTCGCACCGTATATTACCCAGAAAATACAAAATTGTTCATAGTGTGAGTTTCCGGTCTGAACGTGATTTTTTCCACACACATTTTCATGCTGCATCATGGCGTTTACACACTTTCCCCTGATGGATTTTTTGCGCATGCGCACGAGTAACTTCCGTGAAAATGGACATCAACAGTAAAAGTAAGTTATTAACAACATATTTTGACAATTTTTACATAGTACAAAATCCGAATTAACTGTTTTTGATATGTTTTATTATTATTTAGTCACTTAAAGACCAGAGTACTGATAAAAAAAATTATAACATGATTTTAACAGATTATTTTGTTAGAAATGACATTCAGTTAAGGATGTGAATAAAGTTGCACTTCTTCTAAGGATATTTTCTCTATTAATTGAAATAATTAACTTTAAAATAACGTACCGTGTTTAATGTAATTATTATTTTAAACTTTAAAATCAGTTTTATATGTTACATAACATTTATTAATATTGACTGAATTTCCTCGAAACTCCGACATTTTAAAGTAGTTTGTCAAAGGCAATGCGATTGCAAACAGATAAATTAATAAATTATAGGCCCTAAGTTTGTCTTTTGTGCACTTAACATTAGGATATTGAAAAAAGTCATTGTGAGTTACTGGTTGTAAAAGTAGAATGAGGGATAATCCGAATTTCCTGATCAAGAATGATAAAAGTGGACTTACCTTTTCTTAAAAAAATGTTTAGTAAATAAACATATGTAAATATTTTACTTAAAACAAGTGAATTTGTTTTAGTGTTCTTTTATCTGTTTGTTTGGGTTTTTTTTTTTTAGTGTTTTTTATCTGTTTTAAACAATTCATTGTAAATAATGTTGCCTTATCTAATGAGATTATTTCATCATCTCTAATGAAATTATTTCATCATATAATCTCACATTTTATATACCAGTAATTTGACTTAACCAGAACTTCCTGAAAGTTAAGTTTATTTGAAAGAAAGAGTTTGACGAAATATATGGAGATAACGAACAGTATTCAAGCTCTGATACAATTGCAAAATATTCAAGAGAAAAAATAAAATTCTTTCATATTTGCTTAATATTAAAGAACAAGTAATTAAAATAATTGTTTGCTTGTTTACCATCCCTTTGAAAATTTTTCTCTCATACTGAGATGCCACCACTTGCCGGTGGAGGGTGTCGCATAATTTACGTTCCGGATACTTCGCGTTCCGGCCGGAACCTTAAAATCATAATATTGGTTCCGGATTTTGCTGTAAGTTTGGTTCCGGCCATGGCTGCAATCTTCGAATCGCGGTATCTCTCAATTAATATCTGCCAGATTTCATTCTACACTGAATCATAGAAGTAGTTTTTTCCTTGAGGATTGAGCATGGCGCAGCGGCATGCCATTCTCATGTGGCGCAATGTTCTTTTTATAAGGTGTCATGCCCTTTTTTTACAGCCATTTTTAAAAATAAATGAATTAAATAGTCCAAGTAAAGATCGTGAAATACGCTTTCTGATACATATACACCGAATAAAATTTGGTCGCAAGAAAGGCTTTGTTTATCTAATGCATACAAATTAAGTCCCTTTGTTTATTTAGTGCATGTCAGGTGTGAATTTCTCGCTTGAATGCACGCAGACCTGGTATTTACAGGGTAAAGAGGATAGAAGATAAACTAGACTGAGATTACAAAACCCTAAAAAGAAGCATAATGTCAAAGATAGATTTGATCAGTAAATTTTAATTTTATAATCTGATAAAGTAAAGAATTAAATACAAAATGGTATATGTATTTATAGAGATGCATTCTCTGTTTAAATGATATTACAAGTGTTGCAAATTCCACAATGTCGAGCCTCGAATACATGGCTTCCAATCCTCATAGATATTATCACTTGGCATGAAAATATGATTTATATTCCATTAGAAATAAACAAACATAAAAAAATATAATTCACTGATGATGATAGTTAAATAGTTTTTGTGATAAATTAACAATGGCTATTTCAGGAATATGTGGTTTATTCTGCAATGAAACAAACATAAAACATAACGATATGGTTTATTCCCTTAGAATGAACAAACACAAGTAATTAATGAAAATTATGTTGTTGTTGTTTTTTAAAGACCGTAGGAAGAAAAAAAAACAAGGTTGAAATATGAAAAGTAAAGACCAGCAATGTTGATTTTGAAAATAGCAGTGAGGTAAACTGAATTAGCTCAAATATTTTAGTAAAATCAAGGTTTTAGCAAATTTTAAATGATTTTTTTTTATGTTTTAAAGGCTTTCAAATGGATTTTTCTGTAACTTCGATGCATATCCTACCCACCCACCCCTTAAGATATTTGGGAAATAACTTTTATTCCTTGGTGTTTTTTATACATAAAACACAATAAGAAAATGACAATTTTCATGACACTTTAAAACTTTATCGTTTTATACATACCATTATGTTTAATGAATAACAAAATTTGTGGAGAAAAAAAATTCAAAATACATATAATTATACATGTAGGCAAAAGGCAAGCGGCAATAATGTAACACCCTCCATTTTTTTTAAATCTCAGCCCCCTCCCCCAAATTTGAAAAAAAGGAGGTTATAACAGCTCCAAAAATAAAAATTATTAAAAAAATTGTTAGTTAATTATCTGAGCCCCCCCCCCCCCTCCAAAAAAAGGGAGGAGTTTAAATTATAGCATCTGCAAAAATGTAAAATTGTAAATTAATTTTTTTTTTAATTAAAAATAATTATCATTCCAGGTTACAATTTCTGAGACTAATATCAAACATTTTTGTTTCCTGTTCATTGTATTCCACCTTATAAAAAGATAATAGTAAAATAAATTCAGACTTTTTTGTAACTAAGTTGTTTCTGTTTCACTTTATTACGAAGATAAAAAAAGTCCGGAACCATAATTATTGTCAGAATTAACGTTCCGGGTTACAATTGCGGAGAGTATTTTCAAACATATTTGTTACATGTACTAGGTTGTTTCTTTTCCACTTTATAACGAAGATGAAGTAGCCCGGAACTAAAATTATGGTCATAATTAACGTTCCGGGTAAGAATTGCTGAGAGTATTTTCAAATATTTCTGTTACAAGGTTGTTTCTTTTCCACTTTATTACAAAGAAAAAGTAGCCCAGAACCAAAATTATGGCCATAATTAACTTTCTGGGTTAGAATTGCTGAGAGTATTTTCAAATATCTTTGTTACTAGGTTGTTTCTTTTCCACTTTATTACAAAGATAAAGTAGCCCGGAACTAAAATTATGGTCATAATTAACGTTCCGGGTTAGAATTGCTGAGAGTATTTTCAAATATCTTTGTTACAAGGTTGTTTCTTTTCCACTTTATTACGAAGATAAAGTAGCCCGGAACTAAAATTATGTTCATAATTAACGTTCCGGCTTACAATTGCTATGTATTTTCAATTATTTTTGTTACTAGGTTGTTTCTTTTCCACTTTATTACAAAGATAAAGTAGCCCGGAACTAAAATTATGGTCATAATTAACGTTCCGGGTTAGAATTGCTATGTATTTTCAAATATTTTTGTTGCAAGGTTGTTTCTTTTCCACTTTATTACAAAGATAAAGTAGCCCGGAACTAAAATTATGGTCATAATTAACGTTCCGGGTTAGAATTGCTGAGAGTATTTTCAAATATCTTTGTTACTAGGTTGTTTCTTTTCCACTTTATTACGAAGATAAAGTAGCCCGGAACTACAATTATGGTCATGATTAACGTTCCGGGTTGGAATTGCTGAGAGTATTTTCAAATATCTTTGTTACTAGGTCGTTCCTTTTCCACTTTATTAGGAAGATAAAGTAGCCCGGAACTAAAATTATGGTCATAATTAACGTTCCGGGTTAGAATTGCTGAGAGTATTTTCAAATATCTTTTGTTACTAGGTTGTTTCTTTTCCACTTTATTATGAAGATGAAGTAGCCCGGAACCACAAATAATGTTCCGGGTTACAATTTCTGATATTATACTTTCATGTAAATTAGTTAAAACTGATTCGTCGAGAAACATTATTTTGTTTAAAAAACACGATTACCCGCTGAATGATGAAGCCACGCATTCCAGCGTAGCAACATGCAACACTGTTATGTGTACATGTATTTGTATAAAAATTCAGTATAATATAATAAATATTGCATGTAGTTGCGTTTAACATTTAAAATTTTCACCTTTCGAAAACCATTGTCAACCTCGGCTGCGCCTCGATTGACAATGGTTTTCTTGTGGTGCATTCAACTATATGCAATATTTATATAAGAGTAATTTCAAAGTTATTTGTTACCTGTTCATTTTCTCCCACTTTATAACAAAGATAAAATAACCCGGGACCAAGTTAACGGTTATAATAGACGTTCCAGGTTACAATAGCCAGAGTATATGTAATTTTAATTTCACAGGTGTATTTCTAGTGACAAGACTTTCTCTAGGATACCAACAATTTTGACCTTGACCTTGGAGTTTGAACTATTAAAAAAAAACCCTATAATTTAACCTTGGCCATAACTTTTGACATTTGATGCTAGGGCTTTTATATTTCACATGTATATTTCATGTGACGGGTCCTTTCCCTGGGTATCATTGATTTTGACCCTTTGAGTTTGACCCACTTTTTAAAAACTATAACCTTGGCCATATATAACTTTTGAACGGTTGGTTCTTGGGCTTTCATATTTCACAGGTATTTTCATTGATACAGCTCCTTTTTTGGAAAACAACATTTTTGATCTCTTGACCTTGAGCTTAGAGTTTAACTTGCACTTCAGAAACTTTACCCTTCACAAAAGACTGCCGTGCGGGAGCATCAGTGTTTCACAAACGCATTTTGTTTTTTATTACGACTCACTTTATACCTAATGTGTTTACGTTAAAGCGTTTGAACTTTTTTTAACTATTAATCTAAAACAATTCCAGTATTTAATGTGAGTATGTAACCCTGTCTTTGACACATAATCTTTCAATTTTAGCCTTAAAAATATATTATTATCAATTGCTTTAGACATATATCTTATTGCATTTCAACAATAACAAACAATGCATAATAATACACAATGGCATTGTATGGTAGTTTTTATAGATGACTCAACCGTAATATATAATTATATCATGGAGAATTACCATATCATATAAGAAAAAAACTTTTTCTCAACTTAAAGGCATAAT